CACGTTTCATGGGTTTGGGTTCGACCGAAATCAATGGGGCTGGTTTCCATGCACGTTTACAGCTGGGAATTATGGGGCGGGTTTCCATACGCGTTTACAGCTGGGAATTATGGGGCGGGTTTCCATGCACGTTTACAGCTGGGAGTTAAGAGTACGGTCGGAATGGGGCAGTGCATGGGCATCATCACTCGGTTTCCCTTCACTAGAATACGATTGATGAATGGCAAATGAAGGGCCTTGGGAAAGTTGTGTTACACTGGCCCATTCATGCATGCATCATGGCCCAAATACGGTATCAAGTTGGTGAACTTACCTTTAAGGCAGGGGTAGGGGACAGGGATGGCTCTGCCCTTTGGAGGATTGTGAGGTGTCAGCCTCAAGCAGCAAGATGCTGAAGGACTAGGAAGCAGGCAGAGCGCAGCCTGTCCTGAAACTACTGACACCAGATGTGGCGGAAGAGTGTTGAAGCAAGGTGCAGCTCCAAATCTGGTGGGCTTCTGCACATGGTGGGGAAGAGACCGTCTTCACCACAGGTAGTGGAATGTCTTCCCTGGTGGGGAAGCCATGGCTCTCTGGATGCCTTTGCTGGGCTCCCATCAGCCTCAGTCAGCATGGCTAGTGATGATGAAAGTTGCAACCCAACCACCTTGGGAGGACCGCAGGTCCTGCTTTAATGGGCTGCATACGTGGGCCTGCCATGAAATAACGAGTGCACAAAATCTCTCTGTGAAATATGGCACCTTCAAGAGGTGCTCAGTGTGTGCAGTTAGGAGTGTTGCAGAAAATGCTCAGTGAATGTCCAATCAGGCCAATACTGTTTATTTCTGCCTGCAGCAGAATCTCTATTTCCATGGTTCTGAAAGCATCAGCCAGGCAATGCTGCAAGCAGCGACTAGAAGACATATATCGGCTCTGTCCTGACTAATCTTAACCAAAAGTTTTTGCATATCTTCATTAGACTTGGAGGGAGGCTATTGATCCACTCCCCATTTCCTATTCACTAAGGCCAGATTCACACATACATGTAGATCTCAGGATTGTCCCATGCTATACTTTTGATGAATTAAATATCTGACTTTATTGAAAAGCCTTGCATTTGAAATTACATGCCTTATTAGCTACTGGGTTAGATCTCTGATGGCTCATTCACACACGCAATCCATCCATTGCTTGTTTTTATAATCAAGTAATAAAGATGTGTGTGTGAAACAGCTCTAGGAAATGAGTAAGCATGGTTTCCCACTTCAACTGTTTTCCATAAGTGACACATGTTCCATCCATGATCGTTTACAAGGAATCCCTACTGATTTTAACAGAACTTGCTCCTGAGTGCAGAAGACTGTAGCCTTAAATGGCTTACTGCATTTCCCACATTCATAATTAACTAAAAACCTGAATTGGCCATAATGTGCTGTTGATTTTGCCTTTCTAAATTCAGAGTATTCATAAGTGATACCTAAACATTGTATGTGCATTTAATTTGCACTGATTTCAACAGAACATACTTCTACGTAAGCATGTTCAGAATGAAAGTGCCTTAATTGTGTCAGTTGATGTCCTGGGGGAATTCATGGTAGCAATTCTCTTAATTTTTTGCTTCCTTGGGTTCCCTCTCTGGACTCCCAAAGCATGCCATTCTCGTTCTACTCTACTTGGGCCATACCCAGGGGAAAGGTGAACTCTGACCTATTTTTGCTTTGACAAACCACAATCACCAGACAATTATTTCTTAGATTTGGAAGCTCATTACAGTACGGTTAAGGACTCACATTCTGTAGCAAATCTGTTTTATTTTTATGCAGAATTACTTCTAATGCAAATACAATCAGATATATGTATGAATCGTTTTAATCTGATTTGCTGAACTATTCAAAATTGCCTCATTAGCTAAATCAACCACAAAATCTTCAACTGTACTGTGGTTGCAAGTTGATGCTTGCAATCCTCATATTTCATCAAAAGCCGAGTAAGGCTATGGGACTGCTGAACTCTCAACAGAACATGGTGCGGAAGTCATTGTAAAAGACCTCTGGAACTTCAAAACCAAAGCAGTGCAAAAACTATTTAACAGGCACTGCAGGTGTAAGTAAATGGTGAGCAAGATACACTTTCTGAAAGCTCAAGCTCTTGCCCCATCATGTAGATTTAGCTGAAGTTGTCAGATTAGTAAGCACTGACTGCACATAGCTTTCAGCTTTGTCTTCAAGGAGCTGATTCACTACTTGGAATGACAATTTTTTCACATCCGTTTTAACAAGCCCAAAGCATAAAAAGGTCAGCTCCATTCTTCCTGTTCTGTCAAGAGCACGTATAGCCCAGATAGGCAGAGGTCAAACTCTGCAGGCAGAATCCCTTCTGCAGCTTGACAACAGAGCCTGACAACTGTAGGACACACATTATACTTGATGATTCTTTATTGGCATGGCTGGACATGCAAGAATTCTTGTACACTTTGACACATAATGCTTTCATGTACAAGACATTTTGCACACAAAATATATTAAGAATTCAGGCTTGCTGCTGGGACAGTAGCAGTTCCCACCGTTGACCAGCAAGTATCTTGCAGGAGCATGAGTGGGAGAGATGGTGCAGGCAGGTAGTTTTTCCTGCTTTACAGCTCTCATTGCTCAACCGGGGGAAATACTGAGTCCTAGTCATGTGTCCCTTCCTTGGGAACAACAACCACAGTAAGTAGCAGAGTGTGGGGGAGGGAGCTTATTTCTCTCTTCCTTGTCAGCTTGTGTCACTGGAATTGTTATCTGCTGCCTCCCTCCTCTGCCAGAATTGCTGAAACAATAAATTGTGCTGTCGCCACCACGAATATTCGACTAGGAAGAGGATTCCAAGCTATGGTCAGTGGGTCTTGCTCTCAGTGGGTCTTGCTCTCCTTATTTTCCCTTATACTCACCAGGCTTTGTTACTAGCCGTGCGCGCACACGCTACTGAGAGGTTATGTTGCGCTCTTTTTGCACGCATCACAGTTTACTAAGTCACGTTCACGCACACGTATCAGAGGCTTTCACTTTAAAAGCAAATCTTTTACTCATTCGTGACAGAATCAGAGAGGCCAGTTCGCATTTTTACCAGATCAACCCGATCACTATGGTGACTGAGCGAGGACTCTCTCTTGGATCCCCGTCGGTTTTCTCTCCAGGGCTTCCTTCGCTCAACAGGCTCCTCCTTCTATTTAGGTCACCCCAGCCTCTCTGCTTACCGCTTCCTTGCATGTATTATTGGACCATGACGACAGGGGCGGAGCCAAGGCTGCGTTTACCAACGTTGTAAAATATGCTTACGCTCGTAGCAGCACTGCTTCCTGTGTCCATAAATGGGCAACCAGACGAGAGACTCCATTGAGTTTCCGGGATCCTGTCCAAAGAAGGGCTCTGCGCCTGCCCCTCCCCCTTCTGTTTACACACTGCCGCGACGTGATGTAACACGGCACTCTAGATACACAAGTTGCACACAAGCCACTAAAGCCTGCCATAGCAATGTAACCTAAAGGCACAGACTCCCTCATTAGAAACAAATACTGCTTGTATTAAAATCAAATATTGCCCTGATACGTTTTCTTTTTCGCACATACACGGCCGTAGGTCTGTAAATTCTTATCACTGAACTCCCCCGTGATCTAAATGTATTACCTTCTCATAAACTCAACACGCCGTCCGTCCATGCACAACCATCTTTGCTGGGTCGCATGCAACCCGTTTGCACGTGCTCTGCGTTGTTCCCTCCACAGCCTCGCCGCATTGTCTTCACGCGCGCCCAGCTCCCATCCCCAAGCATATTCCAAACCTCCGCATTGATCTGTACACGATCCACTATGGCTAAGGGTTCTACACACATACATACGTACTTGGGAGTAAATTCCATTGAACTCAGCGGGACTTGCTTCTGAGTAGACACCGGTAGATGTAAAATCGCGATCCTATACACACTTTAATCAAGAGGCAAGTTCCGATGAACTCAGCGGAATTTACTTATTAGTAAAATACGCGTCAGATCGGGCCCCACATCCTAGGGAAGCCAGCAATGACTATCTTTAGCTGGTCTTGTATTACAAGCTGGCACGTTTTCCCTTACTCTTGCATCACGCCCGAGTCTCCGCAGGCGACCTTTCTTCCCCGCGGACTCTCCTTTCCTGCCCGATGCCTGGGCATGCGTTGGTCACGCTAACTATTACACCGAAATAAATGGCACAGAGTAATGCGGGGAGTACAAAGGAGCGCACTCCATTGTGCCCTGAATCTAAGTACTGTTCCTGGTCCCTTAAACAACCGCCACCAACATGAATTAAAATCTGCACTTCACCCACAGACAAGCACTGAAAACACACACACACACACACACACACCAAGCAGGGACTTGCAAACCGCTCTGTAAGCCTCTTTGCAGGCGCCCTTACAGTGTGAATGAGTGGCTAGAGTGTAACCGATAAGGAGCTGCGGTTTGGAACCCACGCCCAGGGAGCGGAGCCCAAGATCTCAAACGCTCAGTTTGCAGGCGGAAAATGAATGAATCAGGAAGCCGGGCGGGGTGCGGCCTGCGCTATTTTAGGGCCGCGTTTCTTAGTAATAGTGACGCATTTTCCAGCTCCAGGAAGCTGAGGCGGAGGAGGGTGGAGGAAAAGAAAGAAAGGAGGCCAAGAAAGAAACGCGAGGCTGCTCGAAGCTCCAGGGGAGATTCCTGATTGCTCTCGCCAAGCGCTCTCCTCCCTTCCCCCGGCTCCTCCCCAGGAAAGTCCGGCTCCACTTTCGCAGGGGAAGGGGTGGGGGAGGGAGCGAGCGCCGGGTTGGGCTGAGTTGAGAGAGGGCGGCCTGCTATTATTAGGAAAGAGGCGCCCGTAGTAAACGTGGCTGCTAAGCGGCTTCAGCTCAGGAAAGGAGGGAGGGACGGACAGGCTGGGACGCTTCGCTCATAGACTTATATGGTTTGGCCCCCATATGCCGCTCTCCGGCCGGCTAGGCTTTTCCTGAAGGCATCTCGACCGGTCAGCAATGTCTCTGGAGGACCCGTTCTTCGTGGTGAAAGGGTGAGTGGCAGCCACTCCCACGGCCGCCGCAAACTCCGTCTTTCCTCGCCCCTGGTGGGGATAGGCGCCGCAGCAAGGCAGCCTGGCCCCGCGTGGGTCTGCGAGCGTGGGAAGCGTCGGGTAACGCGGGGATGTGGAGGCGGGGCGGGGGCGAGAAGCTAGAGAACTCTGATTAGAAACCCGCCTCAGCTAAGGAACTTCGTCGAAACTCCGTTTATTAGCCGGTCCTAATAAAGGCACTGCCCTACTTCTATATTATTATTATTATTATTATTTTATTATTATTATTTTCCACCCTAATGGATCAAACTCTCACGAAAGCCGCCACAGGGTCACAGCAAAGCGGATGCATTTCAGCCTCGAATTTGGGACTCTATTTAGGGTTCTTGCTACAACACACTTTATAAATTTTATGGACCGCTCATATTTGGGGAACTGTGGACATTACTAAAAATTATTGTGCACAAATATTCCACGATGACAGAATCGTGTGTCTGAACAAGCTACAGCCCCCAAAATATGTGTCTGTGACAAGTAATCAGTTTCTGTAGCTGAGTATACTTACACACACACACACACGAGACTAAAAAAGGAAGTTACTTTGTAGAAATGGGGCGGGGGGGGGTTGGTAAAATATTTTGCTTGACACTTGCACTTTGAAAGAATTGCTGAGTAGGATAACAAGGGATTATAATAACCACTGGGAATTAGTGATGTTTTCCAGTTTCATATTTCATATTTAACAGACTATTCTCAAAAACCCTTGAATATACTTGGTTGCGATTTGTCCCTTGATCTCCTTCCTCATATTGTCTTACTGATCTGGTGAATGGTGGGACTCTATATAATTTGCCAGCTTGAAGGAACACTCTTGAGTTTTGGCAGCTGGATCTCATAGATGGGAACAAGGAGATCTAGAGTTCTGTGCTTTGCTCTCTCTTTAAATCTACTGTTCTTTGTTTGGATGATGAAAACAGACCTATGCCTCCCTTTCACCACACTTATCCTCTGTGAACATCCCATTTTATAGCAGACATGGGAAACCTATGCCGCTCCCCTGGGCAGATGTTGTTAGACTCCAGCTCCCATCAGCCTCAGTCGGCATAGCCAATGCCCAGGGATGCTGGGAGCTGTAGTCCAGCAGTATCAGGAGGGCCACACTTCTGCTATATAATTGCAGTAATTTTAACAGTGCCTTATCTCATTCACTGCCACAGTAGCCTTTCCAGTACTGTACAGAATTAGAAGGAATGGAACAGAGGCGGCTGGAAGAGATGGCCAGTTGTAGGCTAACTACTAGTTTGCATCTTTCAGACACCACTATTTGTTTCTGTCGTTTAATTAAAAAATAAAAAAAATTCAATACTGGGTAAAATCCATTAGCACCACCTTCTGGAATAATTCAAACACCTAGCAACAGAACCACTGGAATGTGGTACCCCCGGTTTGGAGGTTGATTGTACTGAAGGTGCTGAGAGGTCTAGGACAGGCATAGGCAAACTCGGCCCTCCAGATGTTTTGGGACTGCAACTCCCATCATCCCTAGCTAACAGGACCAGTGGTCAGGGATGATGGGAATTGTAGTCCCAAAGCATCTGGAGGGCCAAGTTTGCCTATGCCTGGTGTTGGACAACTCATAGCATCATGCTCTCCAGGACTATCTTTTGGCAAAGGCCATTCATTAGGGGAACCAAAGCTGTTTCAGTGCCAAATGAAGGCATGAAGCCAGACTGGAATATGTCAAGATGATCAGTGCTATCCATGTTTGCCTGGAGTTGACAGACCCTCCCCCTTTCGAGCAGCCTGCCCCCAAATGGAAGTGCCCATGGGGTGCTCAAAGCATGGTTCCATAAGTACTCCTCCATATGAAGTATCCAGCAATGAGAAACTCACCCACTTACTTTAAGAAGAATCTCCACATCAAAGGAGCTGACTTCAAGGTTTTAGGTTTATGTATATTTATTTGAGATGACCCATTAGGTATCCTAGTGCAATTGTCAGACTGTCATTTCCTGGAGTGCATGAGATGCCACTTGAGTTAATGAAGGTATCTTGTTTCTGATTAGATCCAACTTTCCCTGACCCAGTGCTCTCCAGGTATCGGTGGGATTGCAGCTCCTATAAGCCCCTGCCAGCAAAGACAATAGTTAGGAATGATGGGAGTTGTAATCCATCAACATCTGGAGGGCACTAGGTTGGGGAAGGCTGGACTGGAGGGATCACCAAAATGCATTTACCCGCTGGACGTGTGCAATATTCACATATATCTGTGCTAGACTGTTGTGATCTAAAACAGGGCTGTAGCCATGTTAGACTCTGGCTCCCATCATTTCTTACCATTGGCCAGGCTGACTGGGACTGGAGGGAGTTGGGAGCCCAGACCAGGAACATCCCGTTAGCTAGAGGTTTGCTACTACTGGACTAAAAGAATGAAGAACCACCATTTTTTTGTAAAACCTTCCTGCCTGGTCTCCAGGAGGCAGCTCTTATCTGCCACCAGTGGTCCAGTGCGCACCTTTTTACAAGCCCAATTTCCTCCAGGGTAACTCATCTCTAGACCCACGGAGCCTGGAGTACCATGTGGTTCTCCGGACAGCTATTCATACAGATTTTCACCTTCCAAACAGTCCTCTGAAGTGAACTGTTTTTTTAATGCAACAATACCTTTCTCAGTATAGAGATGCAGCTGCTTCGAGGGAGGAAACTTTGCCTTATGGGAGGCTCTCTGTCAGGTGGAACAGCGCTGCACAGCTTGCGGTTTGCCCACTTGAATGGACCCAATCGATGATATATGGGGACTCACCGGGGGTTTGGCAAACCTCTTACGCTTGTCACCTGCCTGCAGCTGCAGAAACAGAGCTGCTGCTACGCAAGGCCGGTGGGTTGTGTTCAGTCTGGTGGTCTCACGGCTTTGGCAGGAGAAATAGTCCCCTGTCCTGGCTCGACCAGCTCATCCCTGCCCTCTCTTGTATTTGTGTTCTGTAGGGAAGTTCAGAAAGCCGTAAATGCAGCACGTGGGCTCTATCAGCGCTGGTGTCAGCTGCTGCAGGAGACGCAGGTCATCAGCAAAGAGGAATTTGACTGGACTACTAATGAACTACGCAACAGCTTGCGCAGCATCGACTGGGACCTGGAGGACCTAGAGGAAACCATATATATCCTTTTGAAGCTGGGGCTGGAACAGCGTATGGGGGGGGGTCCCTCTCCAGGGAATTATGTTGCATCATTTTTTAAACGCACTGTCTGCTGCTCGGATGGTAGCAGCAGGCAATAGCAGCCCCCCACCCCACCCCCATCTTGCTCTTTGCAGGGATATTTGCAAGAACTGGAAGGGGAGTAAACCCTTATTCAGTTACAAGAGATAAGGCATTCTCAGCAGTAATCCCCCAGCAGTAATGCCCTAGCTGAAGAGGTTTATCTGGGGCCTATGTTGCCTTTTTTGGCGCATGTCACCCAGAAAACTGTGACATACAGACGAAGAGAACTAGAGGGCCATATTTGGCCTCTGGACCAAAGGTCTCTCCCCCAGTTTTAATGTTCTTTTCTTTCCTCTATCTGATTATTATTTTATATTTTCCTATAAAGTGTAGTAGCGCACTGCCCTGAAATGAAAAACCGGATGTAGGGTGCCATATAAATTCTTTCTTAAATAAAATGAATTAATAAATAGGTAGCTTTCTGCTACAGACAGAGAGCATCTGGTAGGTTAAATGCAGCATTGGCCCACATGATATTTGTAACCAGGTAGCTCTGTCTGCTTTCTAACTCGGTGACTCAAACTTAACTCACGAACACGCATTGTGGAGTCAAACCCGCGCAAGTTCAAAATTGAGCCTTCTGAGGTTGCCACCCGGCGCACTTTTGTCACAGAGATGCGGGAATCAGTCAGGGTGAGTCAAACGTATGCCTTGTCACTCTTGCAGCATTTTGTCCTGTGCAGCATAAAACACTTATTGTATGCAACAGGAATAGTTCTGTTGCAGGGTTAGGGAGTCTGTGGCTCTTTGTGTTATTGGACTCCCAACAACCCTCAGCAGTAAGCTCAGTGGTCAGGGATGATGGCAATTGTGGTCTAATAACATCTAGAGGAACACAGCTTCTCCATCTCTGTGCTACGGTAAGTGAAATGTTGAGTGATGATTTGGAAGTGTTAACAAAATTGTGTGGCTGGGGTGCTTTATTCTGAGAGAGAGGTTTTTTTTAATTATTATTAAAAAAAGAAGGAGGATCTAATTCCATACTCTAATCACTATACCACACTTGTAGCTGAAGCTGGGACAGTACTGCATTTTATATCCAATATTTTGACCCATCGGTGATCTACAAGGATGTCAACTCATGTAATCTTATTTATTTACATATATACCCCTTGGACCCTATGACTTAGGATGGGTTACAATAGGAGACCTTCAAAAACCTACCCTTGTTGTTGTTGTTGTTGTTGTTGTTAGTGTACTTTTAAAGGCCATGGTTTCATCTGATTATATTCTCTTACTGCTTCCTTTTCTTGACTAAAGGAAATGCGAGATCACATATCCAGTCCAGCAGCACAGGCCTTTGCGGAGAGGAAAAACAGAGAGGTAAGCACATTTTACCACCCTCACCACACCTCAGTGTTTTGCTGGAAATTTATCCCCTGGGAGGGAAAGAATTATAATTGGCAATGGCTAGGGTAGCTCTTTATCCCCGGTAGCATCCCCCATCCTGGTACCTTCAGAGTCTCCCACTCACCAAGTGGGCAGGGCCTGATGGGAATTGTAGTCCAGAACATATGAAGGGCACCAGGTTGGAGAAGGCTGGTCTAGAGCTTCTTTGCCACAAAGGAAGTACAGGTGGTCATCTAACCAAGGGTAAGGTCAGCTTTCTTCTGCAAGGCGCAAATTGCTTGCATAAATGGTCTCTCTCTCTCTTTTTAAAGTGAAACATCCTTTGTCTCACTGTCAGTGTCCTTGGAGTGTGGATTATAGTCCAGAGCTCTTATGAAATGCATGATCACCCTTGTTGATTCCCCCTTAAATGAGTAGAACCACCTGAGAGCATCAGCTTCTGATCTCAACCCCACATCTTTTAAGAGCCATTTAATTCTGGAATGCAGTGAAAAAGGTTCCTGATCTCCTTACCAGAGAAAGGCTCTTCCTAGGCCCTGAGTTCCACTTAACCCTGCAGATTCTTCTACCCAGCTCACCCTTGCTTGCTTGCTTGCTTGGTCTCAGCTCTCCCGGGAGCACTAAGAATCCTGGGCTTGCTCAGATAGTGTCCCCCTTTTCCTCCCTCTGCAGATGCTGGTGGGGAGCAGGGAACACTATGGGATGCTGGATGCAGAGGAACTGTCAACAGCTAATTCACATACTTTGGAAGAGCAGCAGTTGCATCAGAAGGTAAGAGCAGGGACAGTGAGCCACCCCAATCCATCATTTTCACCAACATCCCTTCCTACAGAGACCCAACCATGTCCTCTATCTTGATACCTGCACTGAGAGAAAACTTGGGCTCTAGTGCAAAAGATGCTCACAGCATCGGTATACTCCCTGTCCCCTGTACCTCTCCTCCCCCAGCTATGGGTTCAGTCAAGTACAAGAGTGAAGAACGTGTGGTTCTCTGAATGTTGTTGGACTCCAACTCCCATCATCCTGGACAGCATAGTCAGCAGTTAGGGGCGATGGGCACTGTAGTTTAGCAACGTCTGGAGGCCACAGGGTCCCCATACCTGGAATTGCTTTCTTCTTTCTTCCCTGTCAGACTACAGGTGACAGATATCCTTGAGTGCAGGTGAGGATAAATGCTTCCTGCTTCCCTTTCTTACAGTGAGTATGGTTTCAAACCTAGGCAGGAGGCAAGGACCTGTTTCTCAGCAGTAGAATTGGCTACTCAAAAGGTTATTGTGAAGACAGTCAAGATAAGGAAACACATTATCCAGTCTTTGGGAGGACTTTGGCTAGAAATCAAATTGTTCCATGTTTATTCAGGACCAAAGCAAACCTCTTTTCCCACTCTGTTTGGTCTCCTCCCAAATGGCCATTTCAATATATTGTTAGGGACTGGCAGTGCAGGATTAAATCCTGTGGAGGCCCCCCTTGCAAATTATCTCCTAATACGTTTTTGTAATTTTCTCTCAAGATCAAATCAGTATTATTTTGATCCATTGTCTTGGGGCCCCTAAAAGACGTGGGGCCCTTAGGCCAGTGCCTACTCTGCCTATTTGGTAATCTGGCACTGGGGGCTGGCAGGGCTCTGAGGAGTGACCGGAAGTGGTGGCAGGGCTAGAGGCTGATCTTGGGGAAGGGGGTAGTGATTTATGTGGTTGTGGGCCTTCTGTGAGGCAGGAGCCTGAGCTGGAGGATGGGGAGGGGTCTGAGTAGTCAGAGACTGTGGAAGGACAGGACGTTCCAGGAACTGAGGAAGAGACAGTGCATGAAGGGACGAGGCCAGCAGAATCCCCTCCGTACCCTTCCCCACTGTCCCCCAGGACCAGGAGGGGCTTGAAGAGGCAGGCACAGTGACAACTTCAGTGTAGTTCAGTCACAGGCTGTTTGTGCTCACACCATCAGATGAGGGTACTTAAGTTTGGGGTCTAGGCCTGGCCACCTGTCCAACAGTCCAACTTGGAGTGCAAGCCTGAGGAGAGACGCCAGCTACCTAGCCACCAGAAGTGTGTGTGTGTGTGTGTGTGTGTGTGTGTGTGTGTGTGCATGTTCAGTGAGCCTCAGGAGCTGTAATTCTTTGTCAATAAAGAATTAAACATTTGTCCTCCTTGGACTGGGTGTGCTCAGGAGGACGTCTATTGAGCAAGTACCAGAGGCCTTTCTCTTCTTGCTAAATGAAGAGGAGCCCCATAACCACTCTTCTTGTTCAGGTGCTGGATTCTTTGACAAAACATTAATGTGACAGTCAAGATCCTGAGGGCTGACTTCTGTGAAGGGATATTAACCTGTAAAAGCATTCACTAGTTTCAGGTTGTTTTTTGTTTTTTTTATTAAAGATTTTCTTGATTTACAGAAGTATGTGTAATGTCTCTCGTATTTTTTCCATGTAACATTTTTACAAATCAGTTTCATTTGTTGAGACAGTAGGAAGAAAAAGGGTGGAGGGGGGGAAGATGGGTGGGGTCGGGTGGCGGTGTTTCTATTTTGCTTAATGTATGTAGGGTTTGGTGTCAGCGTTTTCACTAGTTTCAGTTTTTCAAGATTGCTGTTGAAATGAGTTTTGGTCCCATTTGCCTAAATGCACACAAAAAGATGGACATTTATGGGTCATATGTGGGGCGTCAGCAGTGACGGTACGGCTGCCTAACTCCCAGAGTTGCTGCTCCAGCTTGGTCCTCATTTCCCCTCACCTTGAAGGCCAGTGCCCAGTTGAGGCTGAGACTTCTTTGTACAACATATTGTTGTATCGTGGGCAGGAACCCTCTTCGTTTCTCTTTGCTTAGAGTTCTAACAGACTCCCCCGCTGATGTCTTGCATTCTCACTTTCTCCTTGACAGCTGATCATTGAGGAGCAGGATGAGCAGCTGGAGCTCGTCTCTGGCAGCATCCGAGTGTTGAAGCACATGTCGAGTCGGGTCGGAGAAGAGCTGGATGAGCAGACTGTGTGAGTGCAGGTAGTGTGGGGTGTGCGTGTGTGCTGATGTATTGCAACACTCCTATCTTGCTCTTTAGACAAACCTTTCAAGCAGCAAAGGGGACAGTGGGGGCGGCCCATTAGCAGGTTGGGCCTGGATAAAATGGCAGCAGACTAGTCCCAAGGCCGCTGCTAGATCAGAGAAGAGGATGCAGAACCTTTGTCTATCTAGAACTGTGGTGGTCACTCATTTCTAACAGATTCAGGAAGGACTCGAGTTTCGGAGACATGAGCACAGGATGCTCCTGTACCTGTGTGAGCCCCCGATAGGGGCTAAGAGTGCTTTACCCTCTCCCTCCTGCCCTTCTTCAGCAGGAACGGATTTCTTTGCCAGAGGGCCCCCCTCCCATTGCTGTGCACTTCCACTGCCCAACCCCATTTTCTGGGTGAGCATCACAAGGAGAGCACATGGCCAGAACCTCTGTTGCTGTTCACTCTGCCAGGGAGCAAGCTAAGAAACCCTTTTCCTTGCATCTTGGCTTGGCAGAAGGGAGCACCCTTGTATTTATTAAGGCTGGTTATTGGGATCAGGGATTATGCTTGGAACAGATTGGACCTCTGGCTCCCAGTTGTGTATCCCATTACTAGAAAATGCTGGTGTAGCTCGAATGAGTAGATTCTGAACTCTCTTGGCAGGGAAGATACCCCTAAAAGAAAACTGCTTGCAACCTGCCGGCATACCTGGCTGACATCCCCATGCTTTTTGTGGGGTGGAGGCAAGACTCAGAAGCTCTTATTGGGAGAGGGTTGCCCTGTGGACAGTTGCCACTCGCGTTGACGATGCCTTTGCTGGCCTTTCAGGATGCTGGAAGACTTTGCCCACGAGATGGACAGCACTCACAGCCGCATGGATGGCGTGCTCAAAAAAATGGCCAGAGTCTCCCATATGGCAAGTGGTAAGAAACAGCTCTCTGTTCCATAACTACTTTGGTACAAGGGAGATTTTACTCTTCCACACCCCGATAACCTAATTCCCCAGACTTCTTGTAATTGCTTTCTTTTGCCCATCAGTTTTGCTCAGGGTTTGGCATCAAGTAACTGAAGGTGTTGGTTTAGGAATCTGGATGCTTGCCTTCTCCCATAAAAGAATAGCAAATGTTATTATTTTAGTGGTGGGGAATGTTTCTCATCCTGAGGGCTGCCTTCCTTTGTGGATAATCTGCTTGGAGCTGCAGTGGGGTAGCCAGGAAGCAGCACCACAGCAGATTCTTACCTTTTGTACAGTAGACTAATTCCAGCTTTGCAAATGTCAGATAATTTTACACATACTCACCTTCCAGGCAGGCGAGAAGCAGTAGAATCCAGGAACATATTCAGTCAGCCAAGACAGGACTAGTGAGGGGTGTGGCCTCAGGAGAGGGGTGTGGCCTGGTAAAAGTCCCAGTGGCCAGGTAGAGAGGCCTTAGCTTCCTCACCCTGCCTTCATCACCATAAACATCACCACAGGCGAAGGCAATCTGGCTTCCACAAATGAATTCTGTGTTTCACAACTGTGAATTTCTGCCCCTTTTCGCCTGCCTCTTGCCAACACTTCCAGCACACCCCCTGCCTCTTTCCTCTACAGCCAGATTGGCCCATTCGCTTGCTGGTGGGTGGTGGTGCAGGTGGAACAATAATACAGGGTTGAGCTTAGTATTCACTTTGGAGGCAGTTTTTGCTGCCTTCCTCTCTTAATCAAAGGAGCATTTGGCATCACTGCTGAGACTCAGCAAGGCAGATTCATCACAAGAGATCTGGAGTACGTGCATATGTGTGAAATAGAATGGCAATTAAAAGAATGATGTAATGGTATAAAAACCTGAACATTCTGGTTGGGCCAGTGTTGCATCTCCATTTCTACTGCTGGCTCTCAGCACAAGTCCCTAGAGTAATAGATGCAAAAGCAGGTTAAAACCATTTTTTCCCTGGCAGGAGTGCCACTACAGTGTCATTTAGTGCTCTTGTTTCTGGCTTACAAAGAGCAGGCAGTTGCACACAGGAATGCAGCTTCCCGAGTCAGATCCTTTGTCTACCTAGCTTGGTATTGTGAATGCCAACTAGCAGCAGCTCTCCAGACACTCCCAGCCTTACCTGGAGAGGCTGGGGACTGAGCCAGAGATCTTCTGCATGCAGATCTCTTAAGTTGCAGCCCTTCCTCCATGGGTGAGGCAGGCAGGAATTCAAGCTCCACTGTATGGCATAAACAGGCCTGCAGTGTCTCTCCATCCTGCCCCACCTCTTGCCCAAGAGTGCTACAGATGTTAGCTACCTGTGTCCAGTGCTGGAAATTCCCGTTGTTCTAGGCGCATTTTGCGACCGCGAATTTCATTCGTGCTAGCAGTTTCTGAGCTCTGGGCGCAGTACTGTGTCTTAAGATTTCAGATTAAAATGGCAGTGTGGAAAGGAGGACCCTTTTCTGCCTCCCCACTTCCAGCTACTCTCTGAAGACTGGAGAAGAGACCCTCTCAATAAGATTAGGGGGGTGGGCAGGGGAAAGACTAGACCCTGTGAAAAATGAACATAATATTTTAGCTGCAGTTCATTCCTTTTAAGCTTTGTATTCTTATTATTTAAAAAGTGTTCCTAGACATTCACGTCTGCACGCACACAGATACCGGAAATCGTGTCTACTCATGTCAAATGCTGAAAATAGCTTCTGCGCAGGTGTGCTTTTTGGCATCTGGGCATGCGCAAAGCGATTTCAGGCACCACGAACATGCGCAGATGTGATTTCTGGTGTTGCGCTGCACCAGTCCGGCTCACACACGATCTCCTTGGGGGTGGTCCCGCCCATGGCCAGTAAACCTTGCTGACCCCTGGATTAATGATTAATCCAACAAAATAGATTAGGTCTCCACACTATGGTGTTTTAATCTGGGAACAGACCACCCAACATCATTTCCTCGAATGTTCACTTGAGCTCTTTCTACTTGTGGTCTTCCAAGGATGATTCTTGCACCTGTATCCATCATGCTTGGAGTGCAGGCCAGTGGGATGGGGCACATGGTTCAGAGGGTTAGAATATGGTTCAAATTGCAGCATCTTACCTGCTTTAAATTAATTCTGTTTAAGGCAGGGCTGGAGAACCCATAGCTTTCCAGATGTTCTTGTACTACGGCTCCTATGATCCCTGACCATTGGCTATGCTATCTGGAGCTGATGGAAGCCAGAGTCCAACAAGATGTGGAGGGCCACAGGTTCCTCATCCCTGTCTTAAAGCATCCCATCTAACTGTTTTTGCTTATTTGCAATGTCAGACCCCTCACTGTGGTGGAAGGGCTGGTGGGTTCTTAACAGGATTGGTCTTCTTGCATTTAACACCATTTCCCCCTGTATTTTCTCTTCTCCCACTCCATCAGAACGGCGTCAGTGGTGCATCATCGGCCTGTTGCTCGTTGTCATGGTGGTAGTGCTGGTTCTTATCTTTGCTCTGTGATCAAACGGCAGAACGGACATGGGGGAAGGGTGGCATGGAACCAATCCCATCCCTGTCAAGTGGAACACCGGGGCCTTGTATCCTGTGTGGGATCGGTGCGAAGCTTTCTCCAAAGGTGAAAAGGAAGCAAGTCCATTTAATCAGGTGGAATGATGGATTTCCAAATGGGCTGCTCTCCCTTGCAGTCAGACTTTGCTCCTAATTGTTTAAGGCTGCAGAATTGTGAAAAAGGAGGACTGGGTTCTGGAGCTTAGGAAATTTGTGCCATCTCCCCCTTTTGTGTGTGCCAAGGTGAAATTATAGACAGACAGATGTGTCTGTTAAATGTGGAAGCCATATTGCATATGCGGTTTGTTACCCATTTTGCAAGTAGATGCAGCAGCGTCAGTTTCCTTTCCCCCACTGAGTAGCCTTTTCTTCTCATCTCCAGCAGCCAAAGAGGAAGAACATGGTCCCAGCTGACTATTTTTGCTGCCATTATAGGTTCTTATTCTTCATGCCACCTCTGAACGGGCGCAAGATTGCTGCACATTTAATGTGCCTGCTGAAGAAGCACAATTGACTAAGCCATCGGTTGTGTTTTACCTCAGCCAGTAGCAGATGGATATTGTGAACAGACGGGGTAGGACAAAGGCCTCGCTTCCTTTTTAAAGGGCAGAATTGCTCAGAGTTGAGAACAGGCCAAAGCCATCTCACTGCATTAAGTGCCAAGAAAGGGATTTTGCTTCGTGGAACTGGCAACATCACCCCAAAGCTCCTTCTCTTACCGTGAGGCCAGCCGTCCAACAGAAACGGAGCAAAATGTCAGAATCTCATCACCCAAATCCCTCAGGCCTCAGTGCTGTGCTTCAGGTTGCAAGTGGTGCCAATACTTCTGGGGCGCTGCCAAGCACTTCAAGAAAATTGGTTTCCAGACACCCAGTCAGCTCAATCCCTTTCAGTTATATGGTAAACAAACCCTCTCCCCTTAGGTATAAATCCCTGCCAAGGACACACTGTCTATGCTGATATAAAGAGGCTACTTTCAGCCAAGCCCAAGTGACTCAGTAGCCTGATGTGGAGTATAACAGTCCTTTCTATGAGGCAGCCCTGCTGTCACATGCACTCAGAAGCCATTCTGTTTCTATTGTGAAGTATTATTAAAAAAAGGTACCAGAACAAGCTTTTTAGTTCTTCCAAGAAAAAAAATAAAAGTTTTTATACTTCTATTTAATACAAACTTTGGTTCTGTAATGTTGCTGTGGGAAGGGAGTGGTGATATTTACATACCCCGAAATGTGAAAACAAGAGCAGCAATGGCCATCCAGATGATGTCGGATTGTCACTATCATCCCTGGCTGCTGGACACTGAAGACCAACAAAATATGGAGCGACAGAAATTCCCCACCTCTGAACTAAAAGAGAACCCTACTTTGATCTCACTAGTCTAGCATTCTGTCTTCAGCTATGGCCGGCCAGCCACAGAAGTTATTTGAAGCTAGGGATCTAATGCACTTTGAACGCACTCTCAGTCATTCTTATTGAATTGTGTGGGCATTATTTAAGATGATTCTTAACTGATTGCCTAAAGCTCAAGGCTGTGATCACATTGTATTCCGAGCAAACGAGTAGTTTCTCTCTCGTCTCTACCATTTGCAGCAGTACAAACCTCGTATCGTGTCCTCCCTCCCTGAGAGTCTTGCTGTGCAGTTTGCAGGCTTATCTGATGTAGTTCAATCTGTGTTCAGTGGGGCCTAGTCCCAGGGAACTGTGCACAGCAATTTAATCGGAGCCACTCTTTTCAGTAGAGTCATAGAAATTCAACATGTTCTGCTGAACTCAAGAAAAGGTAAATATGCTAATCAAATGATGCTTGATTTTGCAAACATTTATGCTGTGGCTTAAGGAATGCTTTGTCTAGTCCAGGGGTGGGGAACTGGTGGCCCTCCCAATGTTGCTGGAGTACAACTCTCATCAGCCTTCACCATTGGCCATGCTGATAAGGGCTAGCAAGAAATGAACGAACAACATATGGAGGGCAACCAGTTGCCCATCTGTACTCTAGTATAGGGGAGTTGAAGAGCAAGATACGAAATTTAATGAATCACACAAACATGAATCTCAGTCATATTTGTTTTGTATAATGGGGTTGCTTAATTTGGAAATAGAAGTTACTTAGCCTGATGGATCCACAGAAATGCTCCAAAGCTTAGATACCTACCTTAAGCAAATCCGGTCTGTTTTTAATTTCAGCAAGGCTGCTCCATGATAAACTCCCCAGGGAATAATCAAGCTTACAAATGAAATGGTCAGGCACGCAACTGTTACAAACTTTTTTTTTTATTAACATTTCTGAATTCCTTTTTTTATTTTTAATCTTTACAGTAGTTAATGTGCAATTTCTTGATACTCTCAGGTCACAGGGATGAGGGAGTCACAAAATTTTTCTTGGCACTTATAACACAGAACAAATACTGGCATTATCCAGGGGCAAAGAGGTGGGCTTTAAGGTGAAAAGCAGGGGGTGCTGAGGGAGCTGGGGTGGGGCGGGCGGGGGAAAGGGGGAGGATGCTTTTGTTATTTCATTTTAAAGGATCTGTTTTCCTCTCTGAGAGGGTTTTACAAGGGGCAAGGGAGGGAGAGGGGCTGATATTGGAGTAGCTGCTTGCATCAACCCAAAGCGCCTGGAAGGGGGAAGAGAGAAAAGTCCATGCTGCATCTGCACAGAGGTTACATAATCAGGCTTTGTTAGTGCTTTTCAGTGTACATTTTTTTGTCCTTTTTTATAAAATTGTTTGCTCTAGTTTAGAAAAAAAGAAGAAGAACCCAACAAAAGCAAAAAATAAAAGATGGACCAAAAAGTGGATACAACAAAAGACAGAAGAAGGCCTCATTCCCTTCGCCCCATCGTGGGATTATTCCTATTTCCAACAGAAAGCCTGCCCAAGATACAAATAGACCATGGGGGGCGGGGAGAATTATTCAGCTGGCTAGAAGGAACCTCAGAGAAAGATTATAACATTTTGAGTCCAAGTGATCCTCAGAGACCCTCTAATATAGGTAATTCTTAAGTTTGCTGCAGGACATTTATGCTGGATCTCCCCATTCTGTTACATCTCCAGATAATATCCATGAGGCTAGACAGTGCCGTTTCAATTGCCTCAAGAGTGGGCCTCCCCAGGATTCTACATACCCAGAATTCCAAAAAGCACAGCCCCAATAGGTCACAACATATGTCCAGACATTCCTCTTCCAGTGTCCCTTTGTTTTTGAAATTTAGATCTGGCAGTCCTACCAACACAGCTCACAACACAGAGAAACAGGATAGGATTCTTCAAGGTTAGTAGCTACTTTGGGCCAACTCTCCTAAATATGCCAAGCCTCCTGGTGAGAAAATGTACAACTCTTATCTTTTTGGCCTAGGGGATGCCCTAAGCCAATCACACCTGATTTTTTAAAAAACAACAACAACCCTTTTGCATGCAGACAAATGCTGCAAGAAGTTAGTCTGTTTCATGTTCCAGTGTAAATAAAATTGCTCACCTAAGTGCAGCCAAATGAGATACAGGGTAAAGGTAAAAAAAGGTAAAGGACCCCTGAACGGTTAAGTCGAATCAAAGGTGACTGGGGTGTGGCGCTCATCTCGCTTTTCAGGCCAAGGGAGCTGGTGTTTATCCACAGACAGCTTTCCACCGTTTACCTTCCCGCCCCAGCGGTACCTATTTCTCTACTTGCACTGGTGTGCTTTCGAACTGCTAGGTTGGCAGAAGCTGGGACAGAGCAACGGGAGCTCACTCCATCACCTAGATCTGAACCGCTGATCTTCTGATCAGCAGGCCCAAAAGGCTCAGTGGTCAAATACAGAGTCAGACCATTAGTCCATCAAGCTAAATTTTGTCTGTGCTGTCATCCCCAGCCCTACCTGAAAATGTCAAAGATTGAACTTGAATGCAAATCACTTGTTCTACCTCTGACCTATGACCCTTCCCCCAAGCGTCCTTGTAATTTCCATGCACACTTCTGTCCATATCTAAACAGCTTTATGTTAGGAAGAAGGATCAAGAAGGTACTCAGATCAGTTACATAATAACTTACTGGTTTGATTGAACACTTACTTTCTACAGATGTTTCCAAACTCCAATAGTAGGTTAAAAAGTGTTCTTTCCAAAGCTCTGGAATCAAACCTTGTGGCTGATATACAAAAGGTAAAACTCAAACTTTGCTGACTGACCGCTTGCATTTGCAACACCCGGATGATATAAAATGACCACCACCTGCATCTGTCTTGCAAAAAAAGCATGAGAGAGGGGAGGGAATTTAGGCAGAATAAAAGAGCTGTAGAAATGAGCAAGAATGTGAAGTTTCTTTGTCTGTCCCATCTCAGTTTGATTGCAATGCCATTTGGTTACTTGCAACAAGACATGGTAATCATTTCAAGATAACGGATGCAAAACTGGGAATAGCATCGGGATAAGGAAAAAGCAAATATAGTCGTACCTTGGATCTCGAATGCCATGTGACTTGAATGTTTTGGCTCCCAAACGCCACAAACCCAGAAGTGAGCGTTTGCAACCGGTTTGCAAACAATCTTTGGAAGCCAAACATCCGACGGGGCTTCCAATTGGCTGCAGGAAGCTCCTGCAGCCAATCAGAAGCCGTGCCTTGGTTGTTGAACGTTTTTGGAAGTCAAATGGACTTCTGGAACAGATTCTGTTCAACAACCAAGGTACGACTGTATGAAAACTTAGAAAAGCTAATGGAAAGCAGTCAAAGCAAGCAAACAAGCTTCCATTCTCATGATGCAGCAGCAAAGCATGTCTTCCGCTCTATATACATGCAGCAGGTGATGGTATGTTCAGGCTTGGCTTAGGTTTGGCCTTCTCATACACATGGTAAAGAAAGTGCATTTGGCCTAGTCATAAATATCAGTTTTAGCTGTGTACCCTAAAATGTAAGCCATGAAATGCATTCCAGCTGGAAGGTTAAAAAAACAATTTTTGGTGAGTTACTAGTCTGGGAGGCGGCATTAACAAGAAGCATAATTTATGACTGACCAGTCATTCCAGAGATGAGAGTTTGAAACAACATTTTATGTTGCTTCAAACAATGGCTTGTTCTTTAACAGGGTTCAAAGTGAGATTTGGGGGCTTGTCCTGCTTTGATATGATCTAGTTTCTACCATCCACCCAGAAGTCTTTTTCTTCTTCAGGGGAAAAAAAAATCAAGCTTAATTTACTGGATCAGGTAACGATGTAGCCCCACCACAGTGTTTTTTTAAAGAGTGCTTCTTCCAATGATGGTCTTACGTGAAGGTCATGGAGAAAAGTAGGCACACAAGGACTAGTACGTGAAGAGGAACATATGAAAGCATTCTAGCCTCTTTCACCACATTTACTTAGAATTTCAGAGTAATTTCCAAACCAAATATAAGCCACCCAACCTTCACTTCTCCAACTTGATTCTTTAGAGAGTGAGTGAGTTCCATTACAAATTCCAGTTCCGCCATCACTGGGAGAGAGGAGAGGGAAATCTATCTGAACTTGTACAATTTAGAACTTAAAGGTCAAATGGGAGAGGTTTGGTGGGGTGGGGGAGAAAGTAAGAGAAGACAGTATGATGCACATCAGTCAGCCAGTGTAATGATGTGTGTATATATTATATATATAACAGAGTCAATGACCAGGCATTTGGAGGAGAGGGACTTGGGCCATATGCAACTGGAGTTGAGTGCAACTGGTAACTTCATAACCCCATAACAAATGGTGGCCTCATGTGCATTAAATTATTCACCCAGCCATTCAGCAACACTTAGATGAACATGCAGGTGTGCATCCAGGGGCAATGTATATGTATAGTTGCTTACACATGTGGTTCTTTTTTTCTGGATTAGGTTGACAGATGCCTTGCAACCAAGCTGATTATCTTATTTTGTTCCATGTTCATATTCAGCATGACTTAGAACAAGGCCAATCCTCAAGGGAAATCTCATTAAATTTCCCTTCTAGAACTATCTGAGAAATCAGATTAAGAAAATTAGAATGAGATTGCCACTTTTTGTGTAGTGAATATCTATGTTTTAAAATGTTACTTTTCCATCAACTTCTTCAGGGAAAAGTACAAGGGTAAAATGAGTGAGCTTGAGTACATACATGACCATATAATGCAATAGAAAAATAGGGCATGCTGGGTGATAAAATACCCTTTCCTGTTTAAAAGCAGCTAGTGGGGAAGGAGAAGAAATGGCCTGAAAGAAAGCGAGAACTTAGTGTTATGTCAGAATTGTGTCAATGCCAACATTTATGCTTTCAGATCTTGGCAAAATGTGATCCATTCCTCCAAGTGTAGTGCAAATGCTGACACAGTCACCAGCTAGCGTGTGGCTACATCACTAAATAAACCCAGTTTACCATGGGTTTCCACCAACGGAGGCAGTGGAATGGCAATTCTGGGGAAGATTGAAAAAGAATATTCTCAGCAAATTCATAAAAATACAATTCCCATGATTTCCCTGGAGAAGTCATGTCATTTAAAGCAGTATAAACCTGACCTAGGTTTGAAATGTAGATCTGCCTACGGTAAGTTTAGATTATTGCCAGCCCTTTTTATTTAAAAACAAACAAACAAACAACCATTTCACAGCGAGTGAAATACAACTGTGCTGGGCCAACACGGAGCAAATGGGGAATGCTACGCATCCAGCCTCCTAGACTTGACCTCAGTCTCCTGCCGCCAAAGGCAAAATGAGTGCTCATTTAAACAGTACTTCCTTTTAACATATTCACGTGTCTGTCTTTGTCTCCCTCCAGTGGAAGGAAAGGAAAATATCCTGCTTTTAGTATCAAATAACTCATTAAAGAAACAACAGCTAAGACTGCCAACTGTGCAGACAAAAGAAAGCCAAAAATATGCCCTGAAGTAGAAGCCAAGTCCTTTCTACGATGAAGCAACGTTGTAGGACATACAAAATGGATGCATGCCATCTTAGTATTTCAAAAGCCATACTCTACTGTACATAACTTTTCAGTCATGCAGCTGGTTGGTGGCCATTTTGTCAAGTTACCTAAGGAGAGTTCTGACCAAGATATCGAGACCCAAAATGTATCCTTGCAGTGCAACCCTGTGCATGTCTACTCAGAAGTATATCCCACTCAGTTCAACGGCACTCACTTCCCAGTTACGTATGCTTAGGAGTGCATCCTTAGTGTTGCAAATGTTTTCTCCTGGGCGCAGAAATACAAGTAAAATTAGTGAAGAAGCAAGCATAGATTTGTACTAGTAGGTGAAGCAGCCACTACAAGGTACGTTCCTCCTGCGCCACAAAATTAAATGTACCAGGGTGTTCTCTGAGCTTGCCTACGACAAGTGAAAATATACCCCAGCCCACTTGTCAACATGGAGTAACTGCCAATGCTTAATTAGGAGCACTCAGAGCAAAGTGCTCTCTATAGGCTAGGCTGCTTTTGAGCCCTTTTCGTAACAACAACATGTTCAATTTTTGTTACTGATCTCCACATCAGACCTGGTGGAATCTGAGTGTTGCAACTCTGACTGTAACATATCCAGTACAGAGTTGGTACTACCCACTAGAACTTTTATTAAAAATTATAAGAGAGTTATTTCACAAGAGGTAACTGGGCCTGCTTAGTCTCGCTTCCTCTTCACAAAGAAACAGTGGCCTGAGCCCAGGCGACCACTGCTAGCCCTCCCTTAAGAGAAACGGGACTTTCCCCAGACCAGGCCTGCGTCAACTGACAGATGAGTAGACATGAGATAGCCAGCCCAGCTTGAAATAATAAGCCAGTTAGTCTCCAAGATGTCACAGCATTTGCCATCTTTTTGCTACTAGGGACAACTACTGCTCTGGAGTTTATTCTCTTGGAAATTCATGGGCAGGAGTTTCCACCCTCTTTAAAAAGGTGTAATTCCTTAAAAAAAAAAAAGATTGCCACCCATTGCCTCATTTCACAGTTTGATTTGCTCAAAGGAAGGCCAACCGTTTCCTGAGAGAATTGCAGACTTTGTTTTCTAGTAAGAATAACCAAGAGAGAGATTCTCGCAATGTAATTCAAAGTCGTTATCTTAGACCATACAGATAGAAATGCAGAAAGAGGGAGAGCAGCTTTGCTGCAATCAGGGTAGAACCTAAATGTGCTTGCTTCCCATCTAAATGTAGTTTCCATCTCAAAATATCCCTATGAACCCGAGGATGGGAGTTCTTCATTATGCACCAGGGGTGTAAACTTGAATAAAATGGGGGGGGCAGGTAAACCTTGCCCTGCGTAATCGATGACATGACTTAGTGTACACACACTATTTGGATTACAATGCCTATCAACTTGTGGGGGGGGTGGCTACATCAAATATTTTATGGGGGGAGCGAAGGGACCTTGGCCCCTAGGAGTTGGCTCCTCTGCTATGCACCAAATATGACTCGGAAGCATCACTAACGGAGCAGGGGAAGGAAAGAGGCAAAATTTCACACTGTGATTCATTACCTGGTGCTGGGAGGCGAGCTAAGGCCAAAGGCAGCCTTGCATACTGGGTAGCTTCTGGCACTTCTAGGGAAAAAGAATGTGATGCTTTCTCCCTTGGCTTTCCTCTTCCTTCAAAACCTGATTCCCAAACATTGTGACATTTGAGCCAATTTAGCTGAAGTGGCAGAAAAGGTTGGCATTTCAATCAGCAGTGCTGCTATTTGTTCCACAGAGTGGCTGAAAAGTGAATAGTTTGCACATTGCACCCCACGTTTAAACTAAACACCTCAGAGAGAACACTAGGCTTAGGAAACATTGGAGGTATCAGAGCTACATTAGACCTGCATGTATAATTTGGGTTTTTTGCGGGGGTGGGTGGGTTTGGGTGCGGGGGTGAGAACCTTCCTTGTTCCCTTCATGACTCTGTGCCACTCAAAATATGGAAGGGCTGCACTGCCAAACAGATTTGCCGTATACGTTCTCAGTTCAGTAGGCTAGGCTGGTCAAAACCTGCAAGGCAGATAATGGATGGGGAAGGTACATAAGGTCTAGAAGACAGAAAAAGTAGGGAGAGGTATGTCTGAGAGGGAGGGAGGGAGGGAGGGAGGGAGGGAGGGAGGGAAGGGAAGAAAGAGAAAGAGAGAAAAAAGAGTAAGGAAAAGGGAGTGTACTGAGAACGGCAGGGGTGTAATTGCCATGCTGTGCAAGACCTGAACATACCTAGGCAAAAGTGGAGGGAAGCCAAGATGAGTAAGGATAACATGAGCACAGCACTGGGGTCCAGTCCCTTCCCTGTTCTCATTTATCATGGCACTAGGATTTTCCCACTCTCTGGTATGAACCTGAGGAAAAGGCTTGACGATGATCAGTCTAAGTTAGAGAGAGCCCTGTCTGGAGAGAACCCGATCTGATGAAGAAAGAGGCAGCACTCTGGGATAAGACCTCCCTGGATCATGGCCTCCATTTGCAAATGGATTTGGTATTTAAAAAAAAAAATCTACTAAAATATATATCTAAGAACAATTAATAGCACAACAAGGACAGAGGGAAGGGACGGGGGAGAAAATGCCAGCCAGAACTGCCAATGCAGCAGCAAGACCTCCCCTCTGAGCCCGTACTACCTGTGGCGCCTGAGGAAGCAAGGCCCATGTTTAATAATATATATATATATATATGTATATATATATTTTTAAAGGAGAAGGCACAATGCTCTTTCTCCTCTGCCGAAACAAAAACAAAAACCAACAACGGGTGGGAAGAAATGAAATAAAGGTGGAAAAACGATTCTACAAAAATCAAATTAGGAAATAAAAACCATCGACTGGGGGCGGGGGAAAGAGATGGGCATGTTTTTACTGGAGGCCCTCGGTGGAGGTGCCTGCGTCACCGTCATGGCTGCCCGTCTCGAAGCTGTGCTCCACCCCCATGATGTCTGGCTCCATCTTGCCAGTGTCATTGATGAAGGTGGTGTAAGTGTCGCCCTCGGCCATCAGTAGTTTCAGTTTGGGGATCCAGCTCTTGCGGACAACACGCCGCGCGTTCGTGCACATATCAGCAGCAATTGCATTCATCTCGCTCTCCTTGAAGTTGGGGGCAAAGTTCTGGCAATAAACTGAGGAAGAGAAGAAGGGCGTGAGCCCGGATCAGGGTCGCTATAGCGGCAACTGGGAATCAATATCCTCACAGCTCTTTGCCTCTCGGGAACCCAAACACCAACGCCTGCCCAAGCCAGCAAAGACCCCCGAGATGCTGGTGGAAGCCTGCAGTGACTCACAGCACAGTAAATCTTAAAACCACAGCTTGGAGTGAGACAAAGGACCCGCTTCCAGCTCTGCATTTGCTTCCGCTGCTGGAATCATTACGGATCTGGATGCTCCAATAGGGTGGAATAGGATATTCTGCCTATTGACCATATGACACACAGCTAAAATTTCCCACCTCGTGCCCTTCAAGAAAGCAGTAATAATATACTCCTAAGCTCCCTCCCCACCGCAGAAGGATCTATTAAGGCAGACACTCACACTTCACAGCATGCAGCACCCGGCTGTCGAGGGGTTTCCGGCTAGGGTCGTTGGTGGAGGAGCGGATTCCAGTGCCACAACTGTTGGCAAGGGTGTTCCTGGCAAGCGGTGTGAAAGAGAAAGCATTTAAATCCTTTACCAGCAGCATCTTATTGTTCTCCACCCACCCACCTTTAACTGTCCACTCCTAGCCGTTCCAGCTCCTGCCTCGCCTCTTGCTCTGGCAGGACTCCTCAAGCCCAGAAGTCCTGCCTCAAAAGCAGAAAGAAATGGTGTGGCAAAAAAAGGGGCTGGAAACAGAGCAAAACGGAGCCTTTCCCCCTTTCCTACACACTGGGAGGCTCACTCACCGGTCAAAGAAAGATGCTAGTAGTCGTCTGAGAAGCACTTTGTGTCGTGTCCCAGCACTGACATGACAGTTCATCAGCTGTGCCCGGGTGATGTACACGTTGGTACCTAGGCAGGGAAAAGAGACAAGGCCTGTTGTGAAAACAACAAGCTTTCAACTTGGGTGCAGACCCATAAGCCACCTAATCACTTGTGTGCAATACCAGATGCTTTCTGGAAGCAACAAGAAACAATTATAATGGGATCCATCCAGCCATTCTCAGCTTCCAACTCCGTGTAGAACAGCCTTTCTCAACCTGTGGGTCCCCAGATGTTGTTGAACTACAGCTCCCATCACCCCTAGCTAGCAAGGCCAGAGCTCAAGGATGATGGGAGTTGTAGTCCAACAACATCTGGGGACCCACAGGTTGAGAACCGCTGGTGCAGAACTATGGCAAGCACAAAGTTGGCTAACAGTCATTAACTCCTGGGTGAGTTTGGTCCCATCCTGTAAACACAGCTGCACAAGTGGCTTTTGAGAGCACACAACATCAGCAGGCTTCCAAAAGGAATCGGGTTGGCGACTGTGAGAACAGGATGCTGGACTGGATGGGCCATTGGCCTGATCCAGGCAGGGCCAGTTCTAATGCTCTTGCCAGCTTTATACGGACATTTTGGGGACGTGCTTGTGGCTAGTAACTTTGGTGGATTGGGGATGTTGGGAAGACAGATTCAAACCAATACCTGAGAAAGAGGAAGTTCACTTCTGTGTGAAAGGAAAGTTTGACTTGCTGGTCCCAGCAGAGGCTGGGCTACTGAGCAACTCACTCCCCACAGTACAGACAGAGCAAGTACATTGGCACGTGCAAAGGAAAGGCCAACAGCAGGAACCAAATCCCCCAAGATAGCTCTGAGCGGGATGTGGCATGTGCTGGATATGACTTACTTAGCTTGGGTACCAACACAGTTTCTCTCCTTCCTATCCCAGTGCTGGGCTCCAGCCTATAAGAGATGCAGCAGTGTGGGGCAGTGGAAAGCCAAAAGCTGGATTAGCTCATAAACAAGATTTACAAACTGATTTCCTGTTTTTCTGGCTTTCTTTCCAATAGTCTTTAGATCAAGAGTTTGAAGTCTTTCCTGCTAATTTGAAACAGTGCTCACGGAGTATGCTTTGTCTAATGCAACGGGGCATGGCAAGGACCCCGCCAGCTCCTTTTAACTGACCAGAGAATGCCACGGAACAAAGGTACAAGGGGCTGGAAGCTGGGATGCCCTGGTAGGATCATCTCAAGGCCTAATCAGACTCTGAGGCCATGAGCAGTCAATTTCTATGTAACATACACATGCATTACTTCAGGGTGCTACTCAGGCAGCCCCAGCCTCTTGACTCCTGCTTGCAACCTGCAACCACGAGAGCTGTGGTACCCGATTTACTAGTTGTTGTTTTTAATCTGAGAGAGGAAGCCCCCCTGAACCTGAAGGATCTTCTGGTATTTTGTAGGCTAATAATCAGGATCACCTTGCTCTTGTGGGGGGGGGGGGAGAAACTGCCACTTCGTTCTGCCAACAAGGCCCTAATCCATCAGACTGGGATTAATTTTAGGAAGCCAGCCAGATTTTTCCTCCTGACTGCAACTGGCTTGAAACCTACATGCTCACTCACCGCCCCCCCCCACTTGACCCCAACAAGCTGAGGCACCTATCTTACCTGTCACAAGTTCCAGCTTCTCAGCTGGGTCCCCTTCATCGTACAACTTGGGGTGGCACCGGTTCCCAATCTGGTTGATGAGCTCAGCAGGCAGCGAAGCCAAATCCTGCCGCACCCGTATCCGGTTGCGAGACTCGGAGGCCACCTGGTCTGGCAGCGCTTCCACTTTCTCTGCTGGGCGAAAAGGAGAAGGGAGGCGAGGAGGGAAAACATGAAGAAAATGTGTGAAAAGCAAGTAAGGAATGAAGCTTAAAGCTGTGGAATCTCAACAAGTATATATCCCACCACAAACATATATTCTTTTCCTCCTCTCACTATTTCCTCCTCTCACAAGAACAGAAAGCTGTTTGGAAGCTTATGTGTTTTTATCTTTTCAATAAAAGTGAAAGTGGGGAGAGCTCATTGCTGTTGTTGCCACAGGGATCTCCAGGCAGTGAAAAGGGTTAGATCCACACTATTCAATGGGATGCAGGGAGATGAAATGCTGACAGGTGGCAAAAGATCCATAATCCATAAGGCCTGGATGATTTTATGTTTCTGTTTGCACTGCTCATCTCAAGCAGGAACCTGTCAGGAGCATAGTACATCATATTTATAGGATACTTTCCGGAAGTGCTTTCTAAAAATTCACAGCCATCTTTACAACAACCCCCCTTAGGCAGAATTGTTATAGCCTTATTAAATACTGGGAGGGAGGGAGGTGAGGCTGACAAGAGCAACTTTCTTAAGGCTACATAGTAGGCTTATGTCTGAACTACAATGATACTACAGCTTACACTGCATTTTTACTAATGCTCCTCCTATTATTATTTGATTATATACCATTTCTCAAAATGGTGTACAAACAACATAAATGATTTTAAACTAGCAAACACACAAATGGAGTAGATCAAAAGTAACAAGTCACCTATCAAATGAAGATTAGAAAAGTCCTAAATTGCCTCTGAAAGGATGGCAGGGGGGCAGGCTAAAGGCACAGCCAATGGGAAGGCATTCTAGAATACTAGAACTCAAAGAGAGATTTCTTGTGGATGCTGAACTGTCCTTCATATAAGATGTAAACTTCAGCAGGGCCTCCTCAGTAGATGGATCATATGTTCCCTGTGATCAGGACTGTGGCTGTTTAAGGCAATAAATTAGCAGCCAGTGACTGCTAGGATAGCTCAGTCGGTAGAGCACGAGACTCTTAATCTCAGGGTCATGGGTTTGAGCCTCACAATGGCCAAAAGATTCCTGCATTGCAGGGGGTTGGACTAGATGACCCTTGTGGTTCCTTCCAACTCTATGATTCTGTGATTCTTTGAAATTCTTAGTATGTTATACAAGAAGGCCAGCTCAAGAGTCTACAACTGAGCAGCATTCTGCCAAAACTTCTGAACAGTCTTCAAGAGTTGACCCATGTAGCATGCATTACAGTAGTCTAGACCAGGAGTCACTAAGGCATGTATGATAGTTCTAGGTCTATGAAGCTTAACCATAACAGGATTAAAAAAAATAGTGGGAGGATAAGACTGTAAATGGCTACTAGTCATAATGGCTATGTGTTTAATATGAGAGACAGTATGCTGTGGACCAGGTATCCCCAAACTTGGCCCTCCAGCTGTTTTGGGACTACAACTCCCATCATCCCTCGCTAACAGGACCAGTGGTCAAGGATGATGGGAATTGTAGTCCCAAAACAGCTGGAGGGCCGAGTTTGGGGATACCTGCTATGGACCATGAACGGGACAGTGCTACTGCCCTCTTGCTGTACTTGCAGACTTCACCTAGGCATCTGGTTGGTTTGTGTGAGCACTGACTAGATGGGCTTTGGTCTCATCCATCAGAGCTCTTAAGTTCTTATTAAGTTCCTTGCTACATCTGCTCTTTTCAGTGCACATTTTTGCTGACTAAATCTCAAGAGCCTTGAGTATTTGGCCATGGGAAACTGGACTGGAAAGAGAGACTCAGAAGGCACAAAGACAGCCTTATCCCACATGGACATACAAGGCCATAGTGATGGTTGGAACCCAAGGTAAAAGTCACCCGAGGAATTAACCCCTAGAAAACCCAGGCCACCTTTGCTTGCTCCCTCTTTAGAGTCCAGTTTCAAAGCCCTGGTCACTCTCTTCCCTGCAAGCCACACCTCCAAGGTGCAGGGATATCCAGGCTTGATTCTAAGGCTGTGAGAAATAGAGAATTAATTGACTCTTTAATACAGATACTCTGCCCCCGGGGCAGCTTTCAATATGTCAGGGAGTGCTTCACACAGTAGAGGCCATCTAAAATACTTAGCAATTTTCCACTACTACTTAACGTATGGAAAGCAGCAACTTTTTAACACCACAAGAACACCCACGGAATCAAGATGGTGTGTCAAGCCCAACTGCAGCACTTCCGCCGTGTATTGTGTGAAGGGGTGGGTGACAATGCCCTCATCTCGCATTTCACCAGGCAGAAGTGGACACATGATGAATATCATGTACATACTTCTGCTGTGAAACGTGAAGAGGCCCAGACTGAGCCAATCCAACTCCACAGATTCCCGTGGATAGTGAAAATTCATTTGAGTGGGATGAGAGATGGAGGCCTGCTCAGTGGCTGCACCCAGCTTATGGAATGCCTTGTCCTGTGAAGTGTGGTTGGCACTTAGAATCACAGATTTGTAGAGTTGAAATGGACCCTACCAACCCCCTACAATGCAGGAATATGCAGTTGTCCCATAAAAGGATCGAAACGGCAAACTTGGTATTATCAGCACCATGCTCTAACCAGCTGAGATATCAGACTGCCGCTTCCCCGTTGTTGAAGACTGCTTGAATTCAGCAGACTTCTATTGTACGGCTTTTATATGTTTTGGTTTCAACTGCTGGCCCAGTTTCTTCTGTCAATTTTTTAATATTGCTGTTTTAACAGAATTGCAGATTTTAAGGTTTTGTGCGTCACTTTGAGTGGCGCTTTTGCACCAGAAGGGTAAGATCGAAATGTTTTAACGCACAATTTAAAAGCACTCCTTTCCCCAGCCTCCAATAACTTTCCCCATAATGCATCTCTGCAATGATTTTTTTTAAAACCCCAAATCACAGGTGGGCTACTTGACCCAATTCCCTTCCTGCAGGGAAGAAGCTGAACAGGAATGTTGTCCAGTCACCAATCTGCCGTTGCCACTCACCCGTCTGGCCTACATTCATCATGCTGTACATCGTGTACATGTTGCAGATCTGCCGGTACTGCTCGTCAGAGCCCTCCTCAGGAGCGTCCTCCTCCTCGTCTTCCTCATTGTGGTAGGAACTGGGGCTGTCGCTAGTGTAGGCACTGGAGGTACCAGGGCTCGTCTGGTCTGATGTGCTGGGGCCACTGACCACGCCTGCCCCTCCACTGCCTCCCGTTAGCGCCCCCTGTTGTTGAGACTGCTGTTGCTGCTGCTGCTGCTGCTGCGCCTGCCGGTTACCCCCGCTCAGCTCCTGCTGCGAGGAGATCTTGGCCATTTTGCGGCTGCCGTTACTGCCGCCTCCACCTCCGCCTCCCCCTTCCTTCTGGCTGCTTTCCCAGAGCCGCTTAACCACAAATGTGCACTGGACAGAGTCCGACTCCTGCTGCTCCGTCTTTACGCGAGAGACCAGGGGCAGGGGGGTGTTGCCGGAGGGCCAGGTGGAGGTCTGGGCCACGGGGCTCTGTGGCTCAGAGGAAGGTGCCTCTTCGGTGTGCAAGCCTTGGGAATCGCAGCTGGGCGAGCTGACCTTCAAGAAGAACTCAGTCCCCTTCTCCATGATCTCCTGGATCTGCAGGAACCCAGCCGTGTACATTAGCAGGAACTGGTCGCCCACGTTCATGCTGAGGCGGCCGGTGTAGCAGAAGCTGAGGATCTGCTGGAAGGACTGGGGCTGCACAGCAGCAGGAAGCTCCACCACCGTGCTCTTGCTGTTGTTGAAAAGGTCCCGGAAGTAGCAGCTGCTGGCCGCCAGCACAGCCCGGTGTGCCTTGAAAGCATGCCCCTTCACCACCACCGAGACGTCACAGTACAGGCCCTGCAATCGCTGCTCGTTCAGGCACTCCAGGATGCTGTTACCAAAGTTGGGGATCTCCATCTGGAGAATCTGAGCCATCCTCTCCTTCTCTTCACTTGGGTAGGTGAGCTGCAAAGGGAAGAAGGAGCCAGAGAGGTTGTAGATGGGTCCAGCATGGAAAGGCACATATGAGAAAAGGGGGAACATTGGGGAAAGGGAAGAGAAGGTCATCCATTTCCTTTTACTCCCTGGTAGGTCCCCCTACCAGGACGCGGGTGGCGCTGTGGGTTAAACCACAGAGCCTAGGACTTGCCGATCAGAAGGTCGGCAGTTTGAATCCCCGCGGCGGGGTGAGCTCCCGTTGCTCAATCCCTGCTCCTGCCAACCTAGCAGTTTGAAAGCACATCAAAGTGCAAGTAGATAAATAGGTACCACTCTGGCGGGAAGGTAAGCGGCATTTTCGTGCGCTGCTCTGGTTCGCCAGAAGTGGTTTAGTCATGCTGGCCACATGACCTGGAAGCTGTACGCCGGCTCCCTCGGCCAATAAAGCGAGATGAGCGTCGCAACCCCAGAGTCGGCCACGACTGGACCTAATGGTCAGGGGTCCCTTTACCTTTACCTAGGTCCCCCTTCATACTGTCTGGTGAAGGAAGGGTTACCTTGAAAAAGTGGCAGAGGGGAAAAAATACGCTGGCCACCCAATCAACTATTTTATGTGCCGTTTCTAGAAATGGCAACATCATTCCATTACAGATCTTTTCCAGCTTTCAGTAGTCAGAAGTTATTGTGACACACCAAGCGCAAGACTGGCTTAGCAATTTTGGCTAAACTAAGAATGCTATGAAGCCACATTCCCCATCAGGAGGGAAGTTAAGACACATTCCCCATCAGGAGGGAAGTTAAAACACAGTGAGGCATCAGTGGAACAAGAAGAGGGTTTGGAATTCTGCATAGAAGGGACAGGAACAGGAAATAAAATACAGTGGAACCTCGGTTTTCAAACATAATCTGTTCTGGAAGACAGTTTGACTTTCAAAATGTTCGAAAACCAAGGATCAATGGGCAGTCGGCAAAATCCATTGAAAAAATGGAAAAACCTGCAGCGGAAGCCATTCAACCTCCGAGGCGTGTTCGAAAACGGAAGCAATTACTTCTGGGTTTTCGGCGTTCGGGTTCTGAATCGTTCGGCTTCCGAGACGCTTGAAAACCAAGGTTCGACTGTAGCTGCTTTGAAGTCTGTGTTTATGGAATAATTTCATTATGGTTGCATTGATTAAACATTATTTGTACACACTGCTGTGGGGGGGGGAAGGTAAAATATCTACCTGAGTGGGGAGTAACTTAATGGAGAGTGGGTGAAGTCTTGAAGACAGGGAAGCCTACTTTCAATAGGAAAAGAATCCCTCCTTGCAGAAAACGTCCCAAGCTTGTGACAGCCTCAGGCCAAAATGTGGATATAAACAGAGATATGTTATTGAATGTACAAGTTTCTTTCTTGGCCAGGTAATGTGAGCAGAAGAGGAAGTATGTCATTAAGGTCAGAGGTGCAAGCGCTCAGGACAGACATCTCAGCCAACACTCTTCCCAACCCCATCCTTTTAAAATAAATGCTGCATTAAGTCCCCTGACCGACTAATCCATTAAAAGAAAATGTTATGTTTCCTTAAAGCATGCATCCACCCTATTGTTATAGCAGACATGTGATGCAACTTCTACAGGTACTGGCCCGTCAACATTTTGCCTTGGAAAAGGCAAGGGAAATCAGTAACTTTAAAAACAGAATTGCACACTCTACAACAAAGAAAGCCTTTCAGCAGAAGTTACTAGCTAGGCTATTTTGTAAGGCTAAACTTCAACTAGTTGCTCTTCATATATTTTGAATCATGGATTAGTAGTGATAGAAGGCATGTCAGAATGCCATTTAAGTCCAGCCTCTTGTGGCAGGAGACTCTCCACATCCAACATGCATCTCAGATTAGCCTTGAACAGTAGCTTGGGGGAACCTGCAGCCCACAAGTCTAATTGAGTCTTGCCAGGGGTCCTAATTTGGCCTTCAGGACAGGTTTCCCCAAACTAAACCCACCTGCCCTGCACCTAATGTTGTATATGATGTCAGATGTGCAGCCTGTAAAGATGCGACTGAAAAGGAACAACTGGGAGCCTTAAAATTGAGCACCTGATTGTTACTTGGCAAGCGGGGCTTATATTAAGCACCTTTAAAATTCTCTCTAATACAGTATATCATAGAGGACAGTAAACCAGGAATAGAGGGCAAAGATGTGACCAATGAACAGCTCACAAATGTGATTATGGGCTATAACCCTAGTAGCTCACAAACAAAAAACTTGAAATAATAATCCTGGGATTAGAGGCTCAATGAGGGCAAAGCATCGGCGCTTGAGGGCTGAAATGTCTCTGTCCTCCAAGAATTTTTGATGAGAGCACTGCTGGTTTTGAAAGAACCTAAAGGTCATTTCGTTCTGTTTCCAGAATCAAACCATCCTCTAAATCCAAACTGACCACAGAGACCAGACAGACTAAATTATACACCAGTTACAACTGATCTGAAATTGCATTATTGCTGGCTTTCAATGTTGACTCTTTTTGCACAGTACTGCTTTTACTGTATTCTTTTATTTCTGTAAGTTACTGTGAACTGTATGAGGAAAGGCGGTGCATATCCAATAAGCAAAGTGGGGCTTACATTCCAATATTGGCAAATCAAGATGGCTCCAGCAACCTTCGCAAATGGACACATCTTTTAGTGTGGTTCTGTAGAATATCTACTACTCCATCCTTGGCCGGCCAATATTCTTTTCACAACTGTGTGCTTGACTTACACAGGACTTTCCCCCTTTCAAAGTACTGTGCTATAAATAAACAACTGGCAAACTCAAAACTATAAAGAAGCACAAAATTAGGGATGCAAGTGATTGGGCACCTCCTCATGCAAGAGAGAAACAAGAACAGATGGTATGTGAAGAATACCCAATGACATATATACTGTATGTCAGTGGGCATATATTGTATATTATTATAGCCACACATGGATGTTGAATGTGCTAGAAGGAATGATCAACACTGCTTCTACTTGTAGCAGCAACCTACTACCACAAGGGATCATTTGCATATAACAAACCTTTTACAGTCCTGTGGTTATTAGCAATCAGGAAAGACATAATGTGCATAACGTCCTTATTGAATGATGCACCCCTTTTACACTAGCCTGATGCTGATAACACTCAGCAGTTAGCTGTCACAGGTATTATAGCATAACCATGTGAAACTACAGAACTCGTTTCTCTGATGTTTATTTTCATATTATCAAGCACTGTCCAGATTATGGAAAAGTGACAAGGTTAAAACATAGCTCTTCATTAGCCAGGAAAGGTTTGTGTTTGTTTGTCTAAGCTGGTGAAACATTGTTTGTGTTGGAAGAGACATGCAGACACAAACTATAATGGGAAGTGGCAGCTTTTGCTATTCCGCTCCCCCCCCCCCAGCCACATGGGGTAAACAAGCTGCAACCCAGCACTGCTGATCCACAAGCCCAGCGAGGCTTCTCTATTGTCAGCTCTAAGAAGGGACAGAACCCTGAGAGCGAGCGTATGGATCCGTCCCTCCCAGGGCACAGGGAGCTTTGAATCATGGGTATTGTCTGTTTAAGACAAACAGCATGTGTGCTGCAGATAAGAAACACTATGAATTTAAATGAAAGCTTTTGCTAAAAACAGACAAAACAGTCATGTGCTTTTTATTCCTTCACACTTGCCAACTGTGGGGGCAAGTTAATGCTGGGTGGAATGTTAAATACTAAAAATGAATGTACATTTTTACTGAGGAGAAGAGGTGCCCTAGTTAGTTTTAAAATGTGTCTGTCACAATGCGCACTGAGGGAACATATTACTTTGTGAGGCTGCAGAGAGCGGGGGGGGGGGGGGGACGGGACGCAAGATGAGCTCTGGAGATACTGCACTGTGACTGCTGCTTTTTAAAATCCCCTTGCATGCTAAAGGCTGGGTGCAAAACAGTGCCTGAAATGGCATTTGGAAATGGGATGAGCAGCTCAGGAATCACATTTTACCTCCCATGCAGAGTCACACTGAGTGTCCCACATTACTAGCAGTTTGAAGAACTGCCTATTTTTGAAAAACTGAAAATTTTGCAGATCTGCGTGGCATGCAAATGAAAAATCCCTAGTATGAATTATATTGAGCTATTCTCCTCAAACACCTACAATTCCCACAGTAGTTTAATCACCAGAGCCAGTGTGGTGTAGTGGTTAAGAGCGGTAGATTTGTAATCTGGTGAACCGGGTTCACATCTCCGCTCCTCCACATGCAGCTGCTGGGTAACCTTGGGCTGGTCACACTTCTCTGAAGTCTCTCAGCCCCACTCACCTCACAGAGTGTTTGTTGTGGGGGAGGAAGGGAAAGGAAAATGTTAGCCGCTTTGAGACTCCTTCGGGTAGTGATAAAGCGGGATATCAAATCCAAATCCAAACTCTTCTTCATCAACCCGTCTTTCCCAGGGAACTCTGGAAATTGTAGCTCTTGAGGGGAATAGGGGTTTCCTAACAGCTCTAAGCATCCTTAACAAACTGCACTTCCCTGGATTTTTGGGGTAAGAGGGGGAGCCATAACTGTTTAAAGTGTTAAGACACTGCTTTAAATATATAGTGCAGACGGGGCCAAAAACTGGTTGTGTCTAGCTTATATAGGGTTGCCATATTTCATAAAGTAAAAACCAAACCATCACGAAAATGCAAAAAACCCACGATTTTCCAATTGACTTGCCTAAGATCCAGGACAAAGTGCCGCCTTTTGGAAATCTACCCCCCCACCTGACGGCAATTCCACCTTTCAAATGCCAGTGAAATCCGGGGAAATCTGGTGGCTTTCAATGGGACTTGAAAGTCCTTATATTTGCTTTATTTATTGGTATTCTGTACAGCCTTTTTAATTGCATGCCATATAAAATAATAAAAAGACACCACGCCATTATTGTGTATGTGAACAGCTTGTTTTAGTAGTATGTTTTAAAAGTGGTGGGCGACATCTAGCTGCAATGCCCCACCTGCTCACAGACTTCTGTTTGCACAAATGGGACTTACTCTTTCTTCCCTCTGCAGCCCCCCACCCCAGCCCCATTTGGGGGACCCTTGAAAAGATGGGGGGGTGCAGGGTGACTGCAGGAGGCAGAGCAGAAGGGGGAATCCTATCACACCTGCTTGTCCAATGTATCTTTAAGAGGTTTATTCTGTTTCAGATAGGATATATTGGTTTACATAATAAGACATATTCTGCAATAATTTGAACAATACAAGAATGAGTGTAGGGCTAGTGGAACCCCCAATGTGATGCTCATGGACACTATGGCAACCTCAGATTGTTTGTACTCACCAAGGCCTTCTTGCCCCTGTCATTTTTGAAAATGGCTTTAACACCCCCCCCCAAAAAAAACCCCATGGGTATCCTTGGACTGGCTGGAAAATATAGGCATTATCAAGGTATTCTACCCTCCTTTTCCTCATAATGCCTTTGGTGTGCCCATTGGAATGCTTTGTCTACCTTTGCACTTAGCTATTTGTCTGAATGTGCATTTGGCCTAACTTTTTGGACTTTTGTTTGTTTGGAGGGGTTGTCTGCTTTTGTTGCCTGGGTTTTATTTGCCTTTGGGGGGCATGTTGATGGTTTGCCTATTTTATTTCGAAGGGGACTGTATTTTTAAGCACCTTAAAAGAGGTAAGGAATATAATTAGGATCCTCAATTTCCAAAATGGTGTGCAGAAACAAAACACAGGCTTCTCATCACAAGAGCTGAAATTGTAGCAGCTTTTGCTGTCTCTAGCAGAGATCCATCAGAAACTAGAGCCCCCCCCCCCCCCCGCTCCTTGGGGAACTGCCCCAGATCATGGAGTTCCTTACTGAAAGCACGCTCAAGCTTTCCTTCATTTATTTTAGAAAAACTGGAGGTAGAGATTACTTTAGAAGAGTGGAAAGGTATTTCAGAGACATCATCACTCACTGCTGACATTCTATGCTTTAATTCTGAAATGGAACTACTCCCTTCTGAGTAGTTAAATCTACAGTGTATTAATAGTTTAAAATTTAAGCTTGCTGCTACAGAGCTAAACCTTGCCCTAACCTTTATTCTTCAAATTGACAACGAAACTTCCTTATTAGGAGGCAGGAGGAGCGGAGTGAATTGTTAGGACGTATTTGGCTTTGAAGAGATAGTTTCTACTCTAGAAAATTTCACACCACAAAATATGTGTATCAGGCACTCAAACTCGACAGTGTAGTAGTTCTGATATTTTATAGCTTCTGTGTTAACTCTGTGCGACTGAGTCACTGATTCAGCAAGGCTGTATCACTTCGCTGGAAAAACATACTCAGTCAACTTCTGTTTTAAACCTATCATTATGCTTTTTTCAAGACAGATGAATTACCTTAAGTTTGCATCTTTTAGCAAACAGAATTGAACCATACTGTATTCTCTTCAGTGCTGGTGTATATTTAAGTATTACTTTATGGGTTTAAAAAAATCAAAATAATCTATAAGTTCTTGTACATTATCAGTTCTAGTACAATCTGAACTCTTGTGCCCCAAATAAGAACTCCGTAGTTGCTTGCCTTTAAGCATGGAACACATTTGTTTTGGGGTTTTGTATTACCTGTATGGAGATATGAATTTACTAAATGAAATACATATTTTATTTTTAAAATAGCAGCTCCCCCCCCCAAAAAAAACCTGGAACTAGGGTTAACCATTCCTTAAATGTGCTATTTTCCTCATCAAACTCTCCCTCTTCCAAAGCTATCTGACCAGATTAGGAAAAAATAAAACCTTTAAGGCTCTAAATTATCCACTTACTGAACTCCCATGTCATGACTCTTGCTTTTTAACTGGTATCCCAAAACAGAGGCCTACAGACAGTTTCTTACCACAGCTTTTCCATACAGGAGGTCCCAGTGAATTCCTATCCTTGAATTTAAAAGGTTAGCTACAATAGAGGTAGACTCTACAGCTTCATTTGGAGGGCTTATCTCCAGTCTCAACACTGTGGTGCTTAGCTCTGAAATAGGAGATAAAAGATCCCGCTGACTGATTTTCAGATGTCTTTTCTAAAGGGCAGGCAGAGGGATTTTAAAAATCTCTCAATCAGGAGAAAAATGCTGTATCAGCTCTTTAGAGATTCCTCTCTACAGAACAAAGATCTCCTGATCTGATTGGGAGATAAAAGTTTCCAGGGCTAGAGGGGCCATTTCTTGTGAGTTGCTGGACCAGATTCGGGCCATGGGTTAGCCATCCTTCTTGCAGAGCTTCAGGTGCTCACTGATCATTAACTACTAGGCCCACTCTCTGACAAATGGTTGCCATCTATAGTACTGGAGAATTGTGTATGTGTGTGTTTCTTCAACTGAGGGGTCAAAGTTAATCAGCTTATCATTTGCTAGGGCTCAACTAGCAGCTGTTAAGCAGGACTAACTCACAACTCATCCTAGAATAGACTCATTCAGTATAAGAAATCTCTCTCTCTCTCTCTCTCATTATTCTAATGTCACTCAGGAAGCCTCTGCTCTTTTGTACCTTCGTGCTAGCCACCTGGTTTAGACATCTGATACCTCCCCATTCTTCAGAAGGGAAGGTGCAACAGAGCCAGTGGACCAGAGAGGATTTATATACTAAAGCAAGAGTGAACTATGGAATAAAAGACCCAGGGGCTGCCAGGGGAAAACCCCTATGATTCTTCTTCCAGTGTGACCAAGGATCCCTCATGCCTAGCAGTGCTCAGATATCAAGACAGTCTGCAGGAATGTAGGATTAAAATCTGTGTGTGGTTAGGCAAAAGTCTATCCCGTTAACTGGAGTAATTTCATTGGAAATATGTGGGAGAAGGCAATGTTAAAGTTAAAACAGCTTAGAGTTCAAGAATGGGGAACTCTGGCTTTCCATGTCCTTTCCAATAAATTGCCTATGGAAGACCTTCATTTTGGGAGTGAGGTTTCTAAAGGGTTTTAAAAGGTGAGACATTAAAAGGATTTTAAAAGGTGAGACATTGATCTTTCTGAATTTGCACAGAGCAACTGCCTCCTTCCTTCCCCTCTCCCTTCCTCCAAGGAGCTTGGGTTGGCATACATGGTCACCCCCACCCCTACTTTTATTCTCACAAGTTCAGTATTAGAAACTGTGATAGAAAATCTAGGAGCCAAATGGCTTATGGGACCTGGGTTGTGGGCGCCGAAACAGAATGCCTAGTCACCATGGGTGGGGGGTGGGTCAGCAACACTTTTTATTTTTATTATTTTGATAGTCATAAACTAATGCGCAATTCACATAGGTTACACATAGTTAATATCACATTCTTAGCGGAAATTGTTAATACATGTTTAATTTGTTTACAATAAAAATATTGGTACCATGGTTCAGTTTTCATAACACTCTACGCTTTATTGTTAAACACCTTAACATATTGACTGTCCTTAACATATACTTTGAGGCTTCAAAGCACATACATTTCAGTAATCCCTGAGTGTCAGCCAGGTGCAAAAAATGACACCCAGACTTTTTGAGGTGCTCGCAAATGGAGAATCTTTAGGCACAAAATGCACCTGATGCCCTGCTAATTTCGAACCCCTATCCTGCAAAATAGATTAGGCTGAGAAATAGTGATTGGCCCAAAGTCACCCAGTGACTTTTGTGGCAAAGCGGGGATTTGAATCCACGTCTGCCCAGTCTAATCCCAACGCACTAGGCACTGCACTGGTTCTCACCTTGCTTAGTAACGGCCCTGTGACTCCCATGTTGAGAGTCCCACATTGTTAACCTTCAGCCAGTCACTGAAATAGAGAAATGAAGGCTAAATCTCAGTGATATTTCCTATCTAGAAAGCAAATAGTTTGGGGCAAAAATCAGTGGCATATCAGTCTGAAATGATTGAAGAGAAGGCTGAGTGTGTCTTGTATCACAGCTTCTCAGTATGTTATTCTGCTCTGTGCTATGGCAGCAAAGCACTTATCCACCAAGGAAGTCCCTATGGGAACATGACTCTGCTCTCAGAGTAATCCAGTGTTAGCAAGCACATTAATGAGGCTTCAGTTACGCAGCCGTGGTTTGTGGAACTATTCACATTCACCTAGTATTTTTATGAGCTAACACATTTCACTTCTCTCATTTCTATGGATACACTTATCAGAAAAAATACGATTTCCCCCATCAGTTTCACTGCCTGGCTCTCACAAAAGCAAGTTCACTTTTGCCCCCAGGAGATCTCAAAGTTGCCTTGCAAGCAGAGACCATCTCTCTCTCTCCCTCTCTCTTTCTTTTTGGAGTAATTTAGTGAGCAAAAGGCCAATTAAAATATAGCTCAACTGACAGCCTTAACTTCAAGTCCTGGGCCTGGATGCTAGCAAACCAAAGTAAAAGTAAGTCAGAGAGCAGTTTCACATAGGCTTATCACACATGTTAACAACTCAAGGGCAGGAAACCCTTTAACATGCTTCTGCTGGGATTGGGAATGGGAGGCAAGGTGTGGGAGTACCGTGGGACTCATAACACAGCAGCTTCCCACAATTCCTCATTAACCCCCAATAATATCATGGAATCAAATGACCAAAGCTTCCATCAATTAAGAGTTTCTGCTCAATAAAGCAGGATAGCTTCTGTTGATACCAAATTCCTTACTCCTTTGGAGTTGTGTGTTGTGAAATGTACCCAAGGGTTAGGCCCATAGCAAAGATTATAACCAGATGTTCAGCCTTGCAGATAGGTACCAACTGCTTACAGCCTACAAGAGGTCTGATCAGCCTGTGTCCTTGGGTGGCTTGAGTAGCAAGTCTGGCAAGTTATTTCCAGAAATGACTTGCCTTAAATGAAGTAGCTGTAAAGAGTGAACACAGAGCCTCCATATTCAGAGCCGGTATCTCTCTAGTTTACCAGGTGCTAGGGGACAAACTTCAGAGGAAGGCTCTCTCCATGATGCCCTGCTTTGAGCTTTGTGATCTCTGTTGGAGGCAAGAAACTGGACTAGATAATCATGTGCTCTAACTGAACTCTTAACTTAGGAGTAGTGAACTCATAAATTAGAAAATGCATGAATAAATTTTTTTTTAAAGGAGTAGTGAACTCAGTGGTACTATTTCTAAGTAAGCACTAAAAGGATTGGGCCATGCAGATTAACAAGGAAAGGCATTTTCTCATGAAACCCAATGCTTCTGTTAAAGAAGCGCTCTAAGAACATTGAGCAATTTAGGAACCTCAGAAAGTTACTGCCATGTATCTGAGGGATTGCAAGCCTGCTGGCACTTGGGCTGGTCTCTTCGTTATGCAGGCAGCGTAAATCACAGAACTTTTTGTGTTCTGTGTACTTTGTGTACTTTAGTGACAGTGACCATAGCACAGCTGAAGAAGAAGAGTATTTTTGCTTCTGTCTCCCAGGCTTAGAAGTTACTAATTAAGATTGTTAATTTCCTTGTTACTGACAGAACACACACAGAGATGCTGTAAGTTATTTAAGAGGATAAGGCAAGTAGATGCTAAATTTTGTAATATGAGAGCACCAGACTTCACCCCCTGCCCCCAAATGATGCTAACTCCAGCCATGGTTGGCAAAAGATAATTCAACAGCCCTTAATATTTCCTAGCTTCTTTCTGTCCCAAGTTTCTTTCTGTGTATATAAAACCCAAGTCTGTCACAGCAACAACATAAGATCTCCCTTGACTACACAACCTTTGTGAGTATAAAACAAATGCCTCACTGTTTCACCGACACAACACTCTTCTACCTTTCTTCCTTTCTTTCTGGCAAAGCCAACAGGAACCAAATTAATGCGTAGGACTTTGTGGCTTCCTTTTACACTTGAATCAATACAGGAACCAAAGTAGTAGAAGCAAAGAACCTGGAAAAATAACCAACCAGCAGCAGACCTGGTGACTGAACTGCCTCTTGCCTTATTTGTTTATACGTAGACAACCTGACCTGTGCCCATGAGCTCATACTGAGACATTATAGGGCCACTCAGAGGCTTCACTCTATTAATGTTCTTCATCCAAGACTCCAAACACACCTGCATCCTCATTGTAGTCTTAAGATCATCCTTCTTCCGGACAGACTCATCCACCAAGGACAAACTATGGTGGCTGGGTATTGCCAGGTTTAAATGCTTGGGAGGATGGCAGGATATACAAGTAAGTTTTAAAAAAGTTACTATTGCACAATTATTATCATTTACAGTGGTGCCCCGCAAGACGAATGCCTCGCAAGACGGAAAACTCGCTAGACGAAAGAGTTTTCCGTTTTGGAGGTGCCTCGCAAAACGAATCTGCTATGGGCTTGCTTCGCAAGACGAAAATGTCTTGCGAGTTCCTGGGTGTTTTTTTTCCTTTCCCCCCTCTTTTTCTAAGTCGCTAAGCCGCTTATCTGCTTATCAGATAAGCTGATAAGCTGCTAAAAGCCGCTAAAAGCCGCTAAAAGCCGCTAAAAGCCGCTAATAGCGCTAATCCGCTAATCCCATCAATGGGCTTGCTTCGCAAGACGAAAAAACCGCTAGACGAAGAGACTCCCAGAACGGATTCTTTTCGTCTTGCGAGGCACCACTGTATTATCCTACATATCCATGCTGGCCATGGAGGAAAAGAGTCCTCCTCTACGACCAACATCAAAACTCAGGCTACTAACCTCTCAGCAGTCCAGGTTTATTTTTTATTTAAAAAAAAAAAGTCTACAAGATCCTTCTCTCATTCATCACCCAATGAGTTTCCTTGTTGGCCACACAGGGAGGGAAAACTCTGCCAGCCTCTTTGAAATTCCTTCTTGCCTAAGAAGTCTGTATGAGATGTGTATATTCCATCACAGGGAAGTCACAAACATCTCCTAAAGTAAATAATCTAGTTTTTCTTCCCTGTCAAATTCCAATATTCCTCCTCTCTCTCTTTTTGTTTGTTCATCAGGGAACACAGCCAACTTCCATGATCCATGTTTTACCTCAAACTATTTTCTTACATTAAAAAAACTCTCCTACTCTTGCATAACCATAATATTCATATGCTACAGCAGAATTCTTCTAAGTGTCTAGGCTAGGGCAAATGTACACATGACCATCTTGGGTGTGCCCAAAATCTGCTACAGGGAACATTAACTGCTCAGCTTATTAATAAGGAACCTGCTCTTGTATTCTTTTCAGCCTTCAGCAATTTCAGGACTACGGACTCTTTCAGCAAAATGACACACTACCCCGATCATCTTAGATGGCATCTGCCTACCGGTATATTTCTATCACTCATAAATTGCTCTTGTCCTCTTTTGAACTTACTTATATGTTGGCTCTTTGTCCTGTGTCTGTAGCAAAGCAGTATCACAGGGCAACTGTACCGTGGGGGTAGGGCAGTTGTGTTAATTTAATAAGTGAATCCATCAGTTATTATAAGTGAAAGAATAAAACAGATTTTCCAATCTAGCTGTGATTTGCAGAAATGACTCATATTCTCACCTAGGTGTTGGTTATCTGTTCCAATGGCTCTCAGTAGGTTTACTTTCTTCTCATGTGAAAGGCCTTCTATACTCTGCCCACCCCTGCGTCTTTTCCAGTTCCACAATTTTAAGATGAAACGGCCAAAACTGAAAATCATATTCAACGTACAAATGCATCTGCAATTTATTTTGGTAACATGCATCATTATATAACCATATTAACACATTAAGCTCTCTCTGCCAGCACTTGGCCCTACAGCCACTGAATAGGACAATACCCCAGGCTCAGATAGGTTGCCATCAGATATGCCTCCTTACAATAGAACGTCACATCCCCAAAGATCACAATGGATGCCGGAGCCCGCTAATCTGGAGCACTGCAATTTCATAGAACTAGGGATTTAAATTCAACACCAATCCAACTATTTATTGCTTTGACTATCAGAAAATTTTCAATGAACGTGAACAGAACACACAAGCCCCTCGAGACTCATTACAGTACAGTAATAAGGTTCTAACTTAAAAAAAACAACCACCAACAACACTGCAATGATACATGCAGTTGCCACAACCAGAATTTACCATGTATATATGGAACCAATAGCTGGGAGAGTTTTTATACATTTTGAATCTGTCCTCCATACTCTGCCCTCTGTCTGGAAAGCAGGAGGCAGGACAGAGACTGAAGCTTTACAGCTCAGTGGAGGAAATAGGCAGGGAGAGGAAGAAATGTATGTGCCCTGCAAAATGCTTCCCCTTGGTTCAGCACTGCAGCAGTCTGTGTCCCTATTAAAGTGGTCGAAACCCGATCTTTCTAACCTTTGACCTATGGGTCAGGATGCAAATAGTTGTTGATTAAACAGTAAGATCCCTGACAAACAGGCTACTTCTGTGATAATTAGGCTTACAGGGACCCAGACAGCAAGTACATAGTCCAGCAGCCTCCCAGTGTCCTTATTCTCCATGAGACAATAAAGAGGGAATCCAGAAACATGGGGCTGGATGGGTGGAAACCATCATGAGAACATAATTCTTAAAAGGAATTGATTCACTCCTGTTACAACTCTTAGGATAAATAATCCAGATCACCAAGTGTTTTGCCTGTGTATCCGCCCCACTAGGTTCCAACATCCTGCACAGTTTTTCTATCCAGTATGTGTAACCATACAGAGTTAAGAACAGGATCCAATACTGCACTGCTGAATATCTCCACGTATGTAAATGACAAGTAAGTTTTCATACATGAACTGGAACTGAACCAGTTGGTTCAGGTCTGCTGAACCAGTTACTCAATCTTCACCTGCTTGAACCATAACACTTTCTGTCACAGATGAACAAGAGTTAAAAGCCAAAGCATGCAGGGAGGTGAGGCCAGGGAGAGCAAGGCAACAGTTTGACTCCCTGCAGCCCCATGCAGAACAGATAAATGGCCAATCATCTGGACACAACAACCACCAACTCAAAGTGCCTCTGTCTTCTAGAATTCCAGCTCAGCCTTTTGGCCCTCATCCACTCCACCACTGTACCCACAGAAAGCTCCAGATTCTATATTACCCTTCATCTGAGGATCACAGGGAGGTATACAGTATAAAAACACAAAAATACATAACATAATAACAAACAAAAAATAACCCCTTCCCACAGTTTAAAAGCCATAATTAACCAAAGAACTGAGAGAAGAGGAATTTTTTCACCTGGCCCCTAAAGATATGTAATGAAGGTGCCAAGTGAGCCTCCCTGGGGAGAGCATTCCACAAAGCGGGAGGTCATCTCACAAAAGGGCTGTTCTCGTGTTGCCACCCTCTGGGCTTGCAGAGGATGCATATGAAGAAGAGCCTCAGGTGATGCTTGCAGGGTCTGGGTCGATTCATATGGGGAGAGTCAGTTCTTGAGGTGCTGGGGTCCTGAGCCGTTTAAGGGTATATAGATCAAAACCAGCACTTTTGAATTGGGCCCAGAAACTAATTGGCAGCAAGTGCTCAAGTCATTTTGCCCCAGTGAGCAACCTAGCTGCTGAATTCTGCACCAGCTGAAGTTTCTGAACCATCTTCAGAGGCATCCCCACATATAAAATGCTGCAGTAATCTAACCTAGAGGTCATCAGAGCATAAACAACACAAGTTAGGCTATTCTTGTCCTGAGAGGGGTGCAACTGGCCACCAGCCAAAGCTGCTGGAAGGCATTCTGTGCCACAGAAGCTACCTGGCCTCAAGCAACAGCAACAGATCCAGAAGTACCTCTAAGCTGCATACCCACTTCAAAGGGAGTAACACCATCAAGATCAGGCAACCTCCCATCCATCTGGCCTAGGGAACCACCCACTAACAGTGCCTCTGTCTTATCTGGATTGAGCTTCAGTTATTGGCTCTCATCCAGTCTATTAGCAAGGCAAGACAACGGTCCAACACCTCCACTGCCACACCTGCAGATGTGTCATCAGCATATTGCTCACAATGTACTCCAAAACTCTGGATGACCCCACTCAGTGGTTTCATGTAGATGTTGAACAGCATGGGGGATAAAATCAAACTCTGAGGAACCCCACACTGAAGGCTCCACAGGGCCAAAAAGCACTCCCCAAGTATCACCCTCTGGAAATTACTATCCAAGTAGGATTGGAACCACTGCAAAGCGGTGCTTACCTCCCCTAACTTGGACAGCTGCTCCAGAACGATACCATGCACAGCTTCTACTGACAGAGATGTTATGGAGAAGTAGAGCTACAAGTCATTAGTATAGTGATGGCATGACTTCACAGGGTTTCTGCCAAGCTCAGAGAAGATAAGCTCAAATCTGCAAGTAGAACTATACTGTCAGCCCTCACTGAGTTAACAGTGCCATCTCTCCTCAGTGTCACCTTTCCTCATTGCTGAAGAGAGTGCAAGAAGGATGGTTCCTTAATTCACCTATGACTGTCATGCCCCAGGGAGTAAATCTTTTGACAAGAATATATTTGGAATAATAGCTGATATTTTGTGCCATCTGATCATCCCAGATTCAGCATTAGCCCTCCTGTCCAACCCCTTAGAACAGAAGAGCTCAGTGCTACACATGGATCTTAAAATCTTTCTGCTGATAGTGGCATAAATGGAAGTTGCACAGCACTTGGCCTCTCAAATCAGATTTACAATTAAGGGGTATATATCAAAGGCACAGCAGACAGTTTTCTCTGAGAAATTGACCCAACACTGCAACTCGGCAGGGGTCAGACTCACCAAGACCATCTCACTGACACCTGTCTGCCATACATAATGTGAACGGGTTTTTTGAAAAATATGATCTCCCTACTGATTCATCAGGAGGGCTAGTGAGTCTGCTGGAGCTCAACCAACACCTGTTTAAATGATTGTGTAAGTCATAATAATTTTGTAAAATGACCACTTCTGTACTCCAATTTTTTGCTTATTGTTTGTGATGCTCATCTTTATTTTAATTTATGTATATAGGAAAAAATAAAATAGATCCAAAGCAGCAATCCTGTGAACATTTACTTTGAAGCCCGATGTAACTTGGCAAGATTTACTTCTGAATAGACAGACATGCAGCTGTTCTACAAGAGTCTGTTATCTGTTTGTGCAGAACTTATTAGAAGCAGAACTTGGTTTGGACTGTGGCTTGCTCTAAACAACACTAAACAACACTGCTAACTATAATACACAGCTTCAAGTACCAGTAAGGTAATCTTTGGAGGAGAGTTCCATTGTCTGTGCACCATCTCCCTCCCATTAGTCAGACCTCAGTTGTGACAGAATATTCTTATTGAAGCCTTAATCTATATGAGAAGTTACTGCAATTTACAGCAGGATCTAACTTTTAGAGGCCCTTCTGAGGAGCTCAGTTAACAATGTATACAATGCCATATCCCTGTGCTCTTCCTCTTTTCAGAGCCAATTTTGCTGCAAAGTCGTCATGCACTATTTTTGAATAGCTCACCTGCTTATGAAAAATAACACAACAACTCTTTTCTGTTGTGAAGTCACAAGTTGACAAGACAACAATTGTGTCCTCTGGTATAATAAACTTGGCACTTAGAAAGGCCAAATTGGAATCCAGCGAGAGAGAGAGAGAGAAAAGCAAAGACTTAAGAAAACAAATAACATATGGTGAGCTATTCAGTGGCAACTTGTTTACAATGTTCATTTATCAGGAACACACTGCACCACCTCCACAAGTATCTTCAAGAGAACAAAAACTATCCTCAAGACAGAGCCACATTGTGACCTTCTCCTTCCCTTACCACGTGCATAAGGAGTTAACCTAAGTAAAATACAGATAATCCCACCCCTTCCAAAACAACCACTGAAAACTTTAATTCCCCACCCGCCACCCCAGGAAGTTGTAAACCAAGTCTATGTTTGGGAGTAAACTCCCATTAATCTCAGCGAGAGAGTAATACTGCAATTTCCGAGTAAACGTGCACGCCAAAACAGTTAATAATCCCCCCATTCCTAGCCTGGTCTCTTCGAACCAGTATCGATCTTAACTTCTGCTGCCCCACAAGTAAAAGTTTCTGAAGTTTCGTTTCTCGAACTTTTTCCCTGAACTCCCCCCCCCCCGCATTTTTAAACTCTGAAAGGTCCCATTGCAGGAAAAGGAACATTTTGCCCCCTCCCCACCTCCTCCCCCCGCTGGAAGAGGAGGAGGAGGAAGGGAAGCGCCCCTCCTCCTCTCCTCTCCCCTGCCGCTTTCTTTCCGCGCCCCTTCCCCCACCGTGGCCCAAAAGCATCCTCCGAAAGCCACCGAATTCCGGGTTTCCAAGCCAACCGCCCGGCCAGGCCTTCTTCGCCTGGCAACGCCAAGGGGCTCCCACTCGAAACTTCTCCCTCGAGGGTGGCCCCGCCGCGGCGCCCTTCCTCTAGGCGGCCGGGCCCGGGGGGGAGCGAGGCGAGGAGGAGCAGGACAAAGCCCCCGCAGGGAACGTCGGGGGATTTCGGACAGGCCTGCGGAGAGGGGAAGCCCGCGCCCTCCCGGCCAGCCAGCCTGTGCGGAGGAGAAGGCGCAGGCCGGGGAGAGGCAGCGAGCGCCACCACGTTGCTTGTGAGGTCCGGGGAGGAGGAGGAGGAGGAAGGCGGGTGGGGGGTAAGGGGGACATCCCCCCCCCAACACACACACTTTGCTAAGGGGTCGCCGACTGCAGGGAGGCCTAGCAGGGGAGCCCAGGGGCGCAGCTCCTCTCCCCCTCCACACCCGAAGGCAGGCGCAGAGGTCCTCCTCTGGGGTCTGGTTTGGGGTGCAACGGAGGAAGGGGGACGGAGGGAGGGTGGGGGAAAGAGAGAGACGGGGAGGGCTGCTAAGGGGGGCCTCTCCCACCCGGGGGGGGGGAATCGGCGCAGGCAACAGCTGCTATTTTAAGGATCCCCTTTCCCCCCACCCCGCCGCCCCCCTTGGGCGAGCCCGGCAGGTTAGAAGGCTGCTTGGCGAGGGCGAGGAAAGTTTAAACACCCGGGATAATGGGGGGAGGGGTGCATGCATTGGAAGGAGGGTGGCGGGTGGGTGCCCCGACTTAAAAGAGTGGGGCGGGGGGCGACCCTGGAGTGGTGAGGTCTCCTGGAAGGGAGGGGGGCGACGTGGCTCTCACCTGCGCAAAGAGAAGGGGGGGGAGAGGAGATGTCGCTCAATGGAGGGGCTCTGCTCCCCTAGCCCTCCAAGCAGCACTAGCAGCAGCCATTCATTGTCAGCCTAGGCAGGCTCAGCAGAGAGCCGAGCTGGTGGATGGAGCAGCCTGCGAGCCGCTGTAGCGCTCTGCCCAGCCAAGCCAGGCCTCCGTCTCTGCGCTCCCACAGGCCTTGCTAGCGGAGCTCCGAGCCAGCTCCTGCTCGCTCCCTCGCCCCTCCTCTCCCCTTTGCCTTGGAACTGGGAAATATTTGCTCCTGAACTTGCCAGCCCGCCTGACTTTGTTCTCCGAGAGTTGGAAGCGAGTGATCTCCCAGGAGCTGGCGGGAGAAGCTCCGTATTTAACCCAGGGAAGTAAATGTTCCAATCTGAGGATCCGCAATTAAAATAAACAGAATTTAAGGAAAGGGTTTCAGGATGACGGGCGGAATCCTCCCCGATTTGTGCCTAGAGGCGCATAAATTTCACCAAGTTTGGTTCCTGTCTCCAAACTCCGCCGACGAATGAAAACAAAAGGGAGCTAGCTTTTCTCTTCCCGCACCGTTTGCCCGGAATTAATTCTCAAGTCAACTACATACAGCGTGAGTCACACAGAAGTTTCCCAAAAAACCTGAGTCAAGTCATTCACTTTATCCTGACTGAAACAAAATCAAGCTTTCAGAAATCCTCAAATCCAAAAGACTCGTCATTAAACGGAGCTGAATAAAGATAAAAATTCAGGCTTTAGTCTTGGAAGAGGAAACAAAATGTTCAAGGCACCTAGCAACTCCCCAAAGTCAACACTGGGATGTGACAGGGGAAAAAAGGAGTTGAAAATAATGTTATATTCCGTACGAACATCTTTCAATACAAAAGAGAAAAATAAACTTAAGCACCTTTTCATGTTTTGAAGATATTCTCATAATTTTCTGATACAGAACTGAGCATCTAAGATTGCCTATTCTTACTTTTCCTCCACCCCGAATTCCCAGGTGCACAAACACAGTTGATCAAGCCAGTCCTCTGTTCTCATGCTCAGCTGGAAAAAAAAGTATAAATATGTAACTTCTCTTGCTCACACACATCATTACGCTTTCATCTCCCTTTTGCCCCTTGTCTAAAAGGAGAATGCAAGGCTTGGGCAAGGACACGTTTGCTAATGTTAAAGTGCTGTAAACACTGTCATATAGTTTCAAAAGGAAGCTAGTTTTCAGTGGATTAGGGCAGTCGCAGGTGCACAGCTTAGGGGCACTTCTGCATCTATTGCTGTCACAAGGCTCAGACAGCATCTGTGGTGTGGAGTACATTCCATCAGCTTGGGCTGGTGGCCCAGCTGCACCGCTATCTGGAAAGAGATAAGCTAACTTCTGTTGTCTATGCTCTGGTAACCTCTAAGTTAGATTATTGCAACATGCCATACGTGGGAATACCTCTGAAGACGGTTTGGAAACTTCAGCTGGTGCAGAATTCAGAGGTCAGGTAATGGGGCAAGATGGCTTGAGCATATTACACCAATCTTGGCCCAACTGCACTGGCTGCCAGTTAGTTTCTGGTCCCAATTCAAAGTGTTGTTATTTGATCTATAAACCCTTAAGCAGCTCAAGACTGCAACACCTGAAGAACGGACTCTCCCCATATGAACCAACCTGGAACCTATGATCATCATTTGAGCCACTTCTGTTAGTAAGAGCCATTGTGATGTTGTCACTAAACTTGCCAACTCATCACACAAAGGTACCTGGCCTAATTCTGTGCTTTTAGCTGCAGCTTTATCTGTAGAAACGAACAGGTGCATTTTCACAATATGCAGATGAGCATCATAACCTGCTGTTGGGTGGAGGAACAGGAACCAGAAAAGAGTTGGCATTCTTAGCAACACCTGGAGTTACATGGTGACCTTAACTTTGGAAGACTCAAATCTAAACTCCACTTTGACTATAACATTATCTGAGGGAATTTCCAGGCTGTCGCTATTTTCAGGTGTGATTGAATCACATACCAGCAAATTCAGGTTGTGCAATAAAAGTTGATTTGGAAGTCTTGCACAAGAAACCTGCTTCCCCCAAAGATCAGGCATTTTGAGATAGGAAAGTGATGGGGAGGGAAAGTGCACTGGACAGTGTGAGAAAATTCTTGATGCAACACCATCTAATCCACCCATCGGATCAAGGGGCAACATATTCTAGTATTTGGCCTCCATTTGTGATCAACCATATACCAGGTTGAAAAACTGCTTATAGGTAGACAGGGTTGACAGATACTCATCTTAAGATGGTGGCTGTAGCAACCAGGTTAAAGTCATCCAGTGAACTTCATTATTGAGTGGGGATTTGAACATCATTCATTCAATATGGGGTGCTAGGGGAGGGGTAGTACCTTTGGTGGGAGACATCATCCTTACCTTGCATTCAGCTCTCACCTGTGGCTCCTAGAAGCTGTCAGATGCAACAGTGGCCACACCCCAGGAACAACTTCGACTGGCTGGCTAAACCAGGTGAGTTAGGGACTTAACTTGCATGCAAAGGCAGGCTCTGGCAGATCGAGTGGATGAGACCAATAGTCAATAAGACGGTTTCTGCACATGCTGTAGAGGGAAGTCAGGGAGTAGATGGGGCTTATCAACCTAGGAAGGTTGCTTATCTAGGAGAAGGAAAACTCTGATCCTAAATCTCTGCTGTCTTGTGGGCTATCTTCAGGAGAAACAAAGTCTAACAGCAAACCCTACATAAATCAGGAGTCCCTAAGGCAGTTGGATGGCGCCTTGGATGCCTCCTGAAGCCGAGCTGGTGCCAAACATATTGCTCTAAATTCCTTTGGACCACATAAATGAGGCCAAAATGGGGGTCTTGTCATCTGGGCAGCCCATACACACTGGCCCCAAACCTCCATACACACTGCCCAGGCTTGTGCCCTGGAGAGGTCACTTCAGTGTCACTAATGCAGCGGTTTGACTTCATCCCCGGAGGCATATTGCATTGTCTCTCGAAACAGATAGATGCCAACAGCTTAGAGTAAGTACATTGCACAAAAATGGCTCTGAACTGTGTATGGGAAAAACAGTCCCTGCTTGATTTCTGCATTTAATCCACATTACTGCATCCCTGTGCCAGGAAAAGCCTTACCTGCTTATTTTTTCAGTATGAGATTGCTGCTAAAGGAGCAAGAACAAAAAAAGGTGGCAGCTAGGTGTAAAGGAAGATAGGCTTGCATACTTTTAAATAATTGTGTAGAAGAGGCAAGTTCAGCATTGCAAGACACACCTGCCCAAATCCTTCCTTCTTTACAGCTATTAAAGCTGCAGTCCTATGTGTGTTTATTTGGGAGTACTACAGAATGCAGTGGGATTTACTTTGGAGTAAACAAACATAGGACCAGTTTGTAAAGGTATTGGTGTGCTCCTTTGCATCTAAAGATCCTTATCTTCTTGTCTACCTGATTTGTATATATAGATAAACTTGACAGAATATTGCAACATATGTATAATGTATTACCGTGCAATGCATGTAAGGATATCCGTGCAAAGAACAGAGCAATGTTGCTGGCCTTGTCCTTGATGTTATCTGGCTAGCCTAGCCCTGCCCACTGAATGCCCATGCACAGCATGCAAACATATGAACAGAAACCCCTATATTTAAGGGATGGGATGTGGGGCTAGCCCTGCTATCTCTCTCATATGTGCTAGGAGGATAATCTGAACTGCCTAACACTGATGCTGATTAGCTCTAGAAAATCTCAAGCGATCTACCAAATATCAAACGAATATCAAATATATTGGAAGCCACCCTGAAAACATGTATTTAGATTGCTTATAAATCTTGTCAAATAAATAAAATTAACTGCTTCATAAAAGAGCGACTTACCTAAAACAGTGTGAAATATTTATGAAAAATACAGATAAAATCTGTAGATTTTAAGAACAAGGATACGTAACAAAATTATACGTCTGGGGAAGCTTGCTGTAACTAAGAAGTCTAATCAGCATAGTGAGGATGCCCAGCCTGGTGTTAATATTGTTTTCAATAAATTGAAGGGTAGCATATATATTGTTATTTAAAAATATACAGAGAGATATGTAGGCACAGATCAGCAAGTGTGCATAGCCACCCTCAACCTTGATGTACAATTTAAAGTAAAGGTAAAGGTACCCCTGCCCGTACAGGCCAGTCTTGACAGACTCTAGGGTTGTGCGCTCATCTCACTCATCGAACCGCCGACCATGCGATCGGCAAATCCTAGGCGCTGAGGTTTTACCCACAGCGCCACCCGCGTCCCTGGATGTACAATTTAGCTTCAGTCAAATAACCTCAAGGTTATTGGTTGGGTGTCTTCCCACTCTGACCCCCAGTAACGTGTACCCACCCCTTCCTTGAACTCAGGAGGCTGAGGACTAGAAAGTGGATGCTTTTATTGAACTGATGTGGAAATCGCAATATGTGAGTTTGGCGAAGTACCACAGTCCGACTCTGAATAATGAAGTGTTTCCAAATCCTTGAAAAGAGCGAAAGGGACCTACTGTCACCACACTCACTTATCTTGGTGTAGGAGTTCGCCACGTTGTTACCTTTGACTCTTTCAGACGGAGTTAATGCCTGTTCACGGAGAAATTATGCCCCACTGAGTTCGATATGGTTTAAAAGTTTTATATTGCAAGATGGAAAAGGAACTACTTTTCGCCCCCCGCCCCCGACAACAAAGACTTCCAAGAAATACCGGCCAACGGCTCACATTCCCACTGATTCTCATCGCCATTTATTGCAAATCGTTTCTGGGGAACGAAACTATAAACTGCAGATGTTCCCGTATAAGCCGCATATACATCCGGATCACGGAAGAAGTCGTGTTCAAAGGGACGACACATGACCCCTCCTAAATGAGTTTAAAGAACTCCAGGTTTTCTAACTCCGTTTCGGAAGCTGCGCTACGTCTCCTTTTTGACCCTATAGGCGTCCCATCCGCCGCAAGTTTTATTGGTCGGAATAGCGTCAGCTGATCGTCTCCCACAATTTTCAATATGGCGGCGTCGAGATAGCCTGTGCTGAGAAGCGTGGAAGTCGGTGCTGGTTGGTTGTGCTGCTTCTGGGAAGGAAATACTCTGGGTTGGAGGATGAGTTAAAGAGGTTGGTGATTGTTAGACTGGAGCAAGCTTCAGATTTTATTATGGAACATGTTTTGTTTCCTTCCGCCCGGAGTGTGAATAAAGCATTTACTTTCCTATTCTCCACAACCTATGCTGTTCGTGATATGCTGGCTTGGCTTTGTTTCCGATTCCTTAGACTAGGAGGAGGATTATAGAAAAGATGGATCTGAAGTGCTGTGTATTTTCTTTCCTTTTTCCGGTGCTGCTGCAAGCTTCCCAGTTCTGATCAGACGCAGAAACCTACAGCCAGCATTGCGGAGTAAGAGCATAATTATGGTGGTGTGCAAACAGCAGCCAATCGAGAATTCTCAGTTAGGTTATAGTTTGGATAAAGTGTTTCCTGAAGGTGGTTATTTAATTATTAACTTGAATAGCTAGCCTGCCTAACTCAGTTGCCCCTCCTGCATGTTGGAAGATGCGTTTGGCATCTCATCCATTTTTTCTCATTTGATTGGTGAGCTGGTGGGCCTCCCAGTAGTCCTGCACAAGTAAGATCTGCTGCACTGCCAGGTACCAATTGCCCTTAGGCAGCCGAGACAGGACTGTGAGCCAGCACTGCTCTAGAAGCCACAGAATTAGCCTTATACCAGCAGTATATCACAACATTTTAACTTAGGTGCATAGGAAGCTGCCTTATATTGAGTCAGAGCCTTAGTTCATCTAGTACATAGTTGTCTATACTAAGTGGCAGTGGCGCTCCAGGATTTCAGGCAGGGTCCTCACCCAGCAGTACCTGGAGATGCTGGGGATTGAATTTGGGACCTTTTGTATGCAAAATATATGCTTTACCACTGAGCTATGGCTGTCCACTTGCAGATAGAGTATAAGTGAGAGGAAGAAGGAGAAGCCAAGCTTGGAAGCAGTTTGCATGCTTTTTCCTGCTACCTCTGCATATCTTGTTTCCCCTGCCAGCTGGATTGCCAGTGTAACTAGCTGGCTGGCTGGCTCAGAGAATTCACCAGGAGAGCATGGGGGCAGGTGGAGGTCAAATGGAGAGACCCATCCGTCCACTCACCTGCATGGAATTCTCTGCATAGAATTCCTAAGTGCCTGTTGTTATCAGGTAAGTTGTTAAATTCAAGGCTGATTTTTAAAATCTGATATTTCCTTATCTTTTTTAAAAAAATTAAGGACCTCTTGCTGTTAAAGGCCAGTGAGGGCTTTCCTTCCTTTTTAACTAATCACCGCTTGCTACCCAAATCTTTGGAAGCGGACAGCTATCATAACATATGTAAGCTGTCACTCATATACAGAACAGCAGTGCTGCTGACTGGAAAATTATGCAATAGAAATAGCTTTTCTTATACTTTCAGAAAATACTCAGGAAGAAGCCTGTACTAATGAAAAGCAAGTGTCTCCTGTGGATTTGGACTCTGGGAGGCACCTTACCTCCTTACAGAAGGGCAGGAACTCTACAGCTTCAAAAGGCCTGGAATATTTCACCTTTAATTGCTCTTAAAGTCAGAAATATTTTTGTGAAAGCCATGGATGGTGATCAGGCACAATGTATGGAAACAGCTGACTCGAATCTGGAGCAAAATGTGGCTCAGTCCCCTATCGTGAGCACTACTGGTGGCAGTGAGGCAGTAAAGAATGGAGGAACCCTGGTCACTGAAGGGAAGGGGAAAATATTTTTTCCAAGTGCCAATGAAGTGTTCTACAACCCTGTTCAGGAGTTTAACAGAGACCTTACGTAAGTAGACATGTGGGGAGAGATTGCTTTCCATTTAACTTTGCAAATGATGGGACTGTTGGAATCTGCTCTTGCATTTTGGAAGAGGCTGCCCCTTTGATTTTGCGAGAATGAGAAGGGGCCTGCAACCACTGGCCAAATTAAACTTAGTTTTTGAGTGTAATGAACAAGAGAGGAACTGTGACATTCTCACGGTCAGTGCTTTTCTTCTAGGAAAAAAATGCTGGTACTGTGTACCCTTGAGTACCCCCAGAAAAAAGCTCTGCTTACAGTTGTGACCCCACTTCATTTTTTTTTTTTTACTAGCTCACTGAGGACTGCTCAATCCACCTCCTCAGGTTATTCCTATGGTGAAGGTGGGTTCAGTGGACCTTCATTGTGGAGTGGGGAGGTTGGGAAGCATTTGGTTTCCAAAGATGGGTACCTGATTCAGCTACAAGGTCTGCTTTTGCAGAAAGACTTTTCTCTCTCTTCTCTTCCAGCATACTGCCCCAGGGGCCCCTATTCTGCTCTGGAGGGTTGGGGGGAACCCCCAGAAAAGACCTAGGGGGCACATGGGGAGGGAAGAGAGGGGTGAAAAGTCTCATTGGGCAAGTAGAGCTCACTTAGCACTACATTGAATTCACCCCTGCATGTGCTTGGTGCTAAACTCTCCCTCTTCCATTGGGATCTCTTCAGTGGTGCAAGGATATGCACTTTTGTCACCAAAAGGAACCCTATTCTCCAGAAGCTGCAAGGAACCCTGGGGGCAAAAGGATCCTGGAGAGGCCTGCGTTTGTGTCCTGGGTGCTCCTCTCTTTGCTAGAAGGATCTTTGTGTGTGTGAGGATCGAACTTGAAGGCCATGTGCTTGAGAACATGCCTCCTAGTTTTTACCCACTTCAAGACCCTTTTGGTATTGAAGTCAAGTTAATTCCCCTTTGCTGGCAAGAGGGTTGATGAAAGGAAGGGCCAGTCCTTTGACAGAGAAGGGGCAGCCCTATTTTGCTCCCAAAAAGATTTCTGTCAAGTAGCTGATAGTTTCAGGAATCTGGTAGTTGAGAGGATTTTTTTTTTAGTAATAATAGTGATGATGCTTGAGTTCAGTGAGCCTTAAAAGCTGATTTATATAACATATTTTCTATTGGATTTGTCTACTGATACGTAACATAGCTTTTAGTTACCAATAACTACCCAGTAGTTTAGGCTGAAAAATATGGACGGGAAAGCTCGTTTAGTGAGTATGGTTTGAAGCGGAATGGCTTCTTGCAGGGGTCGGGGACCTGTAGCTTTCCAGATTTCTGGACTGCAGCTCCCATCATTCTTGATGGGTGGCACCATCCATGTTGGCTGGGGCTGATGCTCTGGAAAATGAGTGGTTCTGAAGACACACAGGGTCTTTAGTTTTGCAGGGGGTTTTCAAAATCAAGTGGTATATAAATTTCATGAAATCTTTTTTCCTATTATATCTTGGCTACAGAATAACAAAAATCACATCTCTGACATCTCTCTTCCCTCCCACATATAGGTGTGCAGTCCTTACGGAATTTGTACGGCTGCAGCTTTCATCAAAAGGGATTTCAAGTGAGTAGTAATGTTTTCCTCTATTTGAGACAAGACCCAGAGGGGGAAACCGCTGATGTGTAAGAGGCATGCATAATTGTCTTTTCAGGAATGTTGATTTACCTTTCTCTCTTGTTGTTGTTTGTCCTGTAGTCTGGACATTGGGGTAATTACCTCTGTCCATTGGAGGCAGTTTCTCTCTCTCTCCAAAATGAAACGTTTGACTAGGGCACTTCCCTATTCTTTCTCTTGACTGTGAAGTAAACAGGAGCAGAAGAGGTGTTGATGCTCTGATCTCCCCTGCACCTGGCTTTCTGCCAAGCACCCAAGGCACTTTACATTTTAAAATATTAAAACAAATAAATGTTATAAAATGTAAAGTTGGCCAGGGGAGAGAGAGGGGAGAACGGTTTGGCTGTAGCAGACCCTGATATTGACTTTGCCTGCTGTTTCCACTCTCTTCTTCCTTCTCCAGTTCTATATTGTTCCTCTTGCTGTGACAGCTGTGCTTTAAGCACCTGTTTAGGCAGGCTTGCATACTGTCAGCGGCTCTGTTGTGAACTAGCCATGCCCCGTTTTGAAGCCTTGGGGATTGTTCCTAGAACTACAGAATGTAGATCTGGTTAACACATCATTCTTTAGCCAAGACCCCACTCTGTACCATAAAAGAGCCATGAGCAGCTGTGGTCTTCTTGCACAAAATGTGCTAAGAATATCTATGCATGGTAAATAGAAGATAGAACGCTAGCTTGATTGGCACATTGTAGATCTCTTAGCACCCTGCTAACCTTTCTCCAGCTTCTGGGAAATGGCTGCTTAGCTTCCTGGAAAATATATGCAATCTCTTTGTCCACGCTGTTCAGCATAATGTTGAATGCCATATTACAGTTGTATGAAATGATTTCAGGATTGTGAAGCTCTGTAAGGAGAATGGCAGGCCCAGACTTCATGTCACTCTGTGTTATTTCCATCTGTTCCAGTTGCAGTCCCTGGAGAGGAGAATGTCTCAAAAGTGATTGTGGATCTCTCGAAAGGGGAAAAAGATGATGACCGGGAGCAGACACCTGGTGGTGATGACCAGCAAGATAATGAGGAGCATGAAGCTGTGAAAGTGGGAGAAGTATGCCAGGTGCTGTGTCCCTGTGTGTATGTACACTTTGGGGGTTTGAGGGTCTTGTAATGGCACCTTATTTTATTGTAGTGCTGAATGTATTGATCCCTTGTTCATCCTTGACCCTCCTTTCTTTTGTTTTGTCAAAATATATTTATTTTTGTACTAGTTTTATTGTGCTTAGTTATATTTTATCTATTTGATTTGTGTCCTGCCTTTCCTTCAAGGCTATCAAGGTGGCATACAAGTTTGTCCTTTTATTCTCACAACAATCCTCTGAGGTAGATTAGGCTGGAAGATAGAGACTGGATTAAGGTCACCCAGCAAGATTCATGGCCGAGTGGGGGGGGGGTTGAACTTGGGTCCTACCAGTTTGAATCTGACATGGTAACTGCTACACTGTGCTAGCTGTGTTACAGTTTTGACTGCAAGGTCTCTGTTTGGTGCAGAGGCCTGGCTTACAAGTGGTCACCAAATGCTCCACTAAATACTAACCACCTTGCATTATTCCCTCTCTCCTCCCCAAACTCCAACATTGAGTCTGTATTTTCGCACACATTCTCAAGAAATCCAAGATCTGGGGAACAGCTGGAGATTTTGATACATGCTGAGACATTCACAAGGCTGACCCAGTCTTTCAAGATCTGCTGCAAAAGTCATTCTGGGTCTACTTCACCATGTGCATTGGTCACAAGATGATAAGGCATATGAGGAAAATTTTGTTCTACATCTCCATCAGTTGTGGCAAGGGGATAACATTTGAAGTCAGCTGTTATGTTCATTTTTAGCAAGGCATCTGTGGAGCTCAGTTGCTTTGGGGCCTCCCGCCATCTCTCTTTTCTATATCTTTCTTCCTGTCTCTCTGCAGGAGGGAGTGCGAGTGCTGGAGGCCTTGGCTGCTTCTGGATTACGCTCCATCCGGTTTGCAAAGGAGGTTCCTGGCCTTCAGAGAGTGGTGGCGAATGACTTATCTGCCAAGGCTGTTGAGCTAATAACCAAAAACATCCAGCTCAATGATGTCGGACACCTGGTGACTCCAAGCTTGTCAGATGCCCGGTGAGTAAAGGTTTTCCATTTAGAAGAGAGATAAGAAACCCATGACACCCTGATTGTGGTTGGACTCCAGCTCCTTTCAGCCTCAGCCAGCATGGCCAATGGTTGGGGATCATGGGAGTTGTAGTCCAGCAGCATCTGGGTGGCCACAGATTCCCCACCTGTGATTCAGGGTCTGGGAGCTAGACTCCTTCTCCTTTTTCCATAGTAAGAACTGGGCCACTGTTGTCTTTTTGTTTCTTTTTGTATGTGGAGTGTGGTGCTTCTAAACAGGTCTTTCTCCCACACTCACAGGATGCTGATGTATCAGAGCAAGGCAGACAGAGACCTCTTTGATGTCATTGATCTGGACCCATATGGCAGCCCTTCGATGTTTCTGGATGCTGCGGTTCAGAGCGTGAGTGACGGAGGTGAGCTCATAACTTCTATCAGCTCCACTTTTGTGAGTGATGGTGAAAATCAGGGTGTTTGGACCACTCTTCTTCTGCAGTGGTTTTTGGTTTAGGAGACACCAACCTTTTTTTGCCTACTTAGCTTTTCTGTCAGCCCTTATAAACAGTTTTTTTTGGAAGGGGTGTTTCAAAACAAAATCTGGGTATAAATGTAAAATACGGACCATAACCTCACGTTGACTCATGACGGAAAAGCTAGGACTTTGTCAGAGACATACTTTTAGCATATTATATGGCAGTCTAGCTATGCAAGTTCCTAAAGCTCTCTGAGGATTGGAATACTCCTGTAAAAGTGAAATTGTTCCTGCTGTGCAAGCTACAGAACTCTTTCTGTATTCCTTCCCTGCCTCACTGAGACAGGAGAGTGTTGTTTTTCCCCTATGCACAGACAGAAACTGAAGCCAGCATATGTAATGGTTTGGCTATGGGCTTTGTGGCAGAGCAGCAGTCCAAACTGAGGTCATGGCACCATATGCTTTGACTCTACAGTTGTTGCTTGATGCCCTTTTAGGTGTGTTTTTTTGGGGAAAGATTGTGTTGTATCTCCTGACCCTTCCCTTCCCTTTGGGGACACTGTTGCAGGCCTGCTGTGTGTCACATGCACCGACATGGCTGTAATGGCTGGGAACTCCGGGGAGACCTGCTACAGCAAATATGGGGCCATGTCTATCAAGGGCAAGTTCTGCCATGAGATGGTGAGTGGATTGAGCTGCCAGGAACCTCAGACTACAAGCCCATGTCCCATCGCTGTATCTGTCCAGCCTTTGGCCCGTCTATTGTCTTCCTCAAGAGGAAATGAATGCTTTCAAGTTGGTGGTTCTGCAAGGTCAAGTGGTATCTACCCGCAGTGCCATTCAGGCATCCAGGACACTGCTGCAGTTCCACTCCCTCTTTTTCCCAGCTTGGCTGCCTGCTGCTGTGCTGGAGGACACACTCCCAAGGCCAACCTCAAGATAACAGAGTGACACTTACATTCTTATGGGGCTGACACATGAAGAGTTGAAGTTCCCATGTATCACAGTAATGTTAACTGTCCAAAATCAAAACGTAACAATAGCTCTCACTGTAGTTTCCTCCTACCTTCCTTCAGGCCCTGCGGATTATCCTGCACAGCATTGATCTGCGGGCCAACTGCTACCAGCGCTACATTGTCCCACTCCTGTCGGTCAGTGCAGATTTCTACATTCGTGTTTTCGTCCGGGTCTTTACTGGGCAAGCCAAGGTTAAAGCTTCTGCCAGGTGAGCCACCCCCAAACTTGAGTTTCAGTCCTTGGGTAGTGCCCCGTTTGTGCTTACAACCATTTTAGTGGCATCCAGTGTGGTGTAGTGGTTAAGAGCGGTGGACTCGTAATCTGGTGAACTGGGTTTGCTTCCCTGCTCCTCCACCTGCAGCTGCTGGGTGACCTTGGGCCAGTCACACTTCTTTGAAGTCTCTCAGCCTCACTCACCTCGCAGAGTGTTTGTTGTGGGGGAGGAAGGGAAAGGAGATTTTTAGCCGCTTTGAGACTCCTTAAGGGGGAGTGAAAGGTGGGATATCAAGTCCAAACTCCTCCTCCTCCTCCTCTTCTTCTTTTTCATGTGATCACTGACATGCAGGTCCTTTTGGACACAGAAGAAAGTAGAATGTGGGGCAGGGCAAGGAGTGTGGGGACTGTGAGCGGCACCACTGTGCAAAATGGTCACCACGTGTGTGTGTGTGTGTGTGTGTGTGTGTGTGGCTGTCCATGGTGCTCCCAGTTAGCTGAGGTAACAGGGAGCTTATCCACTGCAACCAATACTTATTGAGGCCCATCCCTGGGCTTTTCTTTCTCTGCCTCTTATTTGTTTTTGTTTTTTTTCAAATGATATTTATTAAAAGTTTAAAAATTACAGAAGAAAGAAGAAAAAAGAAATAACAATAAAGTAGAAAAAAACAATAACAAAACATATAAAACATATAAAAACCATACAACAATACAGCAAAAAAACCAGACAAAAAAGAAACTAAAAAACACATCCAATATTCCATGTCTTTACCTTTCCTTAACTTGTTTCATCGACCTCCTCACACCTCCCTTTTTTTGTATTCTAGTTCAATTCACTATTTCAGCAAGTTCTTCCCATCTTTCTCAATTTTGGTTCTATAGTTTTAACGGTCTAACCTTAAATTTTTTCAATTTAACCCAATATCAATCAACTTTTACTTAATTCTTTGTTGCATTTCTACTAAAACCATGTAACTTCATTCCCGCATCCTTCTAACACTCATTAATTTTACAATGTTTCTGTAAGTATACTTTAAATTTTTTCCAATCTTCTTCCACCGACTCTTCTCCCTGGTCTCGAATTCCGCCAGTCATTTCCGCCAGTTCCATATAGTCCATCAACTTCATCTGCCATTCTTCCCTGGTAGGTAGATCTTGTGTCTTCCAATATTTCGCAATGAGTATTCTTGCTGCTGTTGTAGCGTACATAAAGAAAGTTCTATCTTTCTTTGGCACCAATTGGCCGACCATGCCCAGGAGAAAGGCCTCTGGTTTCTTCAAGAAGGTATATTTATATACCTTTTTCATTTCGTTATAGATCATCTCCCAGAATGCCTTAATCTTTGGGCATGTCCACCAAAGGTGAAAGAATGTACCTTCAGTTTCATTACATTTCCAACATTTATTATTGGGCAAATGATAGATTTTTGCAAGCTTGACTGGTGTTATGTACCACCTATAAATCATTTTCATTAAATTCTCTTTTAAGGCATTGCATGCCGTAAACTTCATACCAGTGGTCCATAACTGTTCCCAGTCAGCCATCATAATATTATGTCCAACACCTTGTGCCCATTTAATCATAGCAGATTTCACCATTTCATCTTGAGTATTCCATTTCAACAGCAAGTTATACATTCTTGACAAATTCTTAACTTTAGGGTCTAACAATTCTGTTTCCAACTTTGATTTTTCCATCTGGAAGCCAATTTTTTTATCCAAATTATACACCTCCATTATTTGATAATACTGGAGCCAATTTCGTACTCTGTTTTTTAATTTTTCAAAACTCTGCAGTTTTAATCTGTCACCCTCTTGTTCGAAAATTTCCCAATACTTCGGCCATTTGGCCTCCATATTGAGTTTTTTCTGAGCCTTTGCTTCCATTGGTGACAACCATCTTGGGGTTTTATTTTCTAACAAATCCTTATATCTTATCCAGACATTAAACAGTGCTTTTCTTACAATATGGTTTTTAAACGCTTTGTGTGCTTTAACCTTATCATACCACAAATATGCATGCCAACCAAATACATTATTGAAACCTTCCAAATCCAAAACATCCGTGTTTTCAAGAAGCATCCATTCTCTCAGCCAACAAAAAGCGGCTGATTCATAATAAAGTTTTAAGTCTGGCAGGGCAAATCCACCTCTTTCTTTAGCATCAGTTAATATCTTAAATTTTATACGAGGCTTCTTGCCCTGCCAGACAAATCTGGAGATATCTCTCTGCCACTTCTTGAAACAGTCCATTTTGTCCAAAATTTGCAGTGTTTGAAACAAAAACAGCATTCTTGGCAATACATTCATTTTTATCACAGCAATTTGGCCTAACAACGATAGCTTCAAGTTTGACCATATTTCTAAATCTTTTTTCACTTCAGTCCAACATTTTTCATAATTATCCTTAAATAAATTCACATTCTTAGCAGTCATATTAACCCCTAAATATTTCACTTTCTTGACCAGTGTCAGTCCTGTCTCCTTCTGAAACTTCTCTCTCTCAATCTCTGTTAAGTTCTTTTCTAATACCTTAGTTTTCATCTTATTCAGCTTAAAACCTGCCACCTGACCAAATTCTTGGATTAATTCTAATACTCTTTTAGTATTAGATTCTGGCTCCTGTAAAGTCAATACTAAATCATCAGCAAATGCCTTCAATTTGTACTGTTTCGCTCCCACTTGTATACCTTTTACTAATTGGTCCCTTCTAATCATATTTAACAAAACCTCCAAGACCGATATAAAAAGCAATGGAGAGATTGGGCAACCTTGTCGTGTTCCTTTCTCAATCTTAAATTCTTCCGTCACTACATTGTTCACAATTAATTTGGCCTTCTGTTCTGAATAAATTGCACTTATACCGTTTCCAAAACCTTGACCCACCCCCATCCCCAATAAATTCTTCTTCATAAAACTCCAAGAAATGTTGTCCCTGCCTCTTATTTATAGCCAGGTCTGCTACATGTTAATAATTCTCTTTCTTTTGGCAGCAAACAGGCCTTTGTCTATAACTGTGTGGGCTGTGGCTCCTTTCATATGCAGAGACTTGGCAAAGTGGCTCACAATGGAAACAAGTAAGAGAGCTGGGGAGATGTTTTTTACAGAACAATCAAACAGCATTTCCCCTCTTCCTCCTACCTAAGACAGTCAGGTGGGCAGATTCCAGGAACACTTGCGCTGCCAGATGTTCCTGTGTTGACCAGGGGGGAAACTCATTTCCCGGGTGGCTCTCTTAATGAGGCATCCTCTTTCGGTGGGGGTTCATTGCAACATTTCCTTTATTCTCAGCTTTTGGCCTCAAATTTTAAAAACCAAAGTTTTGTGTGTAGTCATACATAATAGGTTTGTGGGAGTCAGAAGCAGGGGGACGTGTTGTTTCTGTGAGGAGAGGAGGGTGTGTTTAGGTGCAAGTTTCTATTAGAGTGGAAATCATGCTAGCTCATTTTTGGATGCTTCCTATCGGTGTAATAGAACAATTGGCAAATGGGAAGGGATCTTGGGGAAGTGAAGATCAATGTTTGAACCCCTCTGTGCCTGCCTCTTCTGCCTGATGCCAGAGATAATGGACACAGTTCTGAGCTACCAATCAAAGGAGGCAAACTGACAGTCTGTCTGATGGATGCTTAAATGATATTTGTTCCCTGTATCAGGAAGTCTTTAATGTTTTATTATGTTTTAATATGTGCTGGAAGCTGCCCAGAATAGCTGGGGAATCCCAGCCAGATGGGTGGGGTATAAATAAAATATTAATAAAAATAAATAGAGAGAGAGAGACTTGGGCACCTAACAAGCAATATTTAATAAAACAACAACAAAGGAACAGGGAAAGAAAAAGTATTGGCCCCATTTACCGCAATGAGGCTCTTAAATACTGCTTTTGCTCTCTCTGACCAAACAACAGCTTCAACTACAAGGCTGCCTGTGGGCCTCCTGTGGGACCATCCTGTGAGTATTGTCAGCAGCGCCACCAGGTGAGCCCAGCTGATCTCTACACCTCATAATATGCCCCTGGCCAGAAGATCTCAAGCTAACCCTTGCTTCTCTCCTCCTCCTCCTCCTCCTCCTCCCACAGCTGGGTGGCCCTCTGTGGGCAGAGCCCCTGCACAATGCGGATTTTGTCCAGCGGGTCCTGTCAGCAGTTGCGAGTAACCCAGCACGCTTCCGAACAAGCCAGCGGATTCAGGGCATCCTGAGCATGGTGATGGAGGTGAGGAAGACTGTGCAGAAGAAGAAGGCGATTGCCATACAGGATCCCTTCCCTTTTAGACCACCCCCATGAGCCGCAGCTTTTTGCCAAGGTGCAACAAAGGATGTTGGGTAGTGGACCACTGAGTTGCGCAAACTCTCACTGTGAATGAACAAATGAATACAGTATTGTGTGGCAATTGGTTTGATTTAGAAATTCAAAGGGAAGGGTATGTTTTGTGCTCGGCACCCTTTTCATATAGGGCGGTGGTTTTCAAACTTTTTCTAGGGCACCTTGGGGTTCCTTGGAAGCCCATCTAGTGAGAAGATTAGCATGGGTAGACAGAAAAAAAAGAGATAAGAAGGGAGGGACGCCAAAAGGGAAGGGGAAAACAATGGTAGATAAGCAAGAACTTGTATACTGCAGTCAGTCTTCTTCTGCAATCCACAGCCACAATGGAATACCTACCAGTGTCTGGCAGTGTTCTGGCAAATGCTCTCACCTTGTGTTTAGCAAGGGGAGTGCCTGCAAAAAAGTTCGCTCTAGAGCAGGGGTGGGGAACCTGTGGTCCTCCGAATGTTGTTGGAAAGTCCAACTCCCATTGCGTCTCATAGTAGCTGGAGCAGCAGCACCCAGAGGGCTGCAGGTTCTGCACCTCTGCCATAGAGCAGGCCTCCGTTCTCACAACCTGCAGTAGATCTGAAGCAGATGAATCACCGTGGAAAGGAATCTCTGCAGGGAGAAGAATCACCCAGTGTACTCTGGTCTATTGACAATCTAGAAATAGGGCGGAGAAACAAACAAAGATTAAAAAGCCACCACTGCAAGATCTTTCTTTGTATATAAGATAAACTGGTGGTGTTGTCTTTATGGCAACTGTAGGGCAAACACCCGGTTTTAACTAGTATTATTTTCTCTCTGTGCGATAGGAGCTCAGTGATGTCCCTCTCTACTACACCCTTGACCATCTCAGCAAAACCGTCCGTTGCAGCAGCCCTTCCCTGCTACAGTTCAGGTGAGATTGGGGTTTGTGCTGCAAGTACCTATCCTAAAGTAGGGGAAAGCATACAGAGAGGGGTTGTAGTTTGTGTGGGTTGGAGTGGGCAGGGGCTCATTTAGCTGGTGGCAGAGTCAGGCTCTGAAAGCCTTTATAGAGCTATACTGGAGCATTGTGGCTTCCTTTGTTTTCTCACTTCCCTACTCAGCAATCTTGTCTGGCTTAAGCCTTAAGGGTCCTGCTGTGGGACTCTTGTGTTTTCTTGTAGCAGGGGTACCTGATCCGTGGCCTTCAAGGTGTTGCTGGACTGCAGCTCCCACCACCCTTGCCTATGGACCAGAGTGATTGGGGCTGATGGGAATTAGAGTCTGGAAAAAACTGGAGAGCCACAGGGTCCTCACTCCTGTCCTATGGAGTCCTATTGTGACTCTCTGGTCTCTGTAGTTCAGACCTGAGCAGGCTGGTTGTGTTATGCTAGGTTGCTGCTGGAACTTTGCTCTGTTATGCAGGAAGCCACAGGTCCTGTTGCCCAAAGTGATAAGCTGTAGAAAAGTACCCCCCCTTTTCTTTTTATAATAAATTTTATTCAATTTTAAACACCTAAGCACATTAACTTAAAATTCAATATACCGTATATTTCTCTTAAAAAATAAACAAGGTGACTTCCCATCCTTACCTCTGTGGTGTGTTTATTCCTACCCATATTCTGCTGCATTATATGTTAAACTATAATACATATTTCTTCTATTACAATTATTGTCATTTTCCACCCACTGCTCCTAATTCAAATCCTGCCTGCAGTTTCATTTGGCTATAGTTCTTTTTCAGATATTCCAAAAAGGATTTCCATTCTTTAGTAAAAAGCTCATCACTTTGCTCTCTCACTCTTGCTGTCAGTTTTGACAATTCTGCACAGTCCATTAGTTTTGCAATCCATTCTTCTTTGGTTGGGACTTTTTCTACCTTCCAATTCTGCACACATAGGATTCTTGCAGCTGTTGTTCCATACATAGTTTAATAATATTCTTTGGGACATTTGTCCCCCATATCCCTAGAAAAAAAGCTTCTTTTTGGGGAATTACCAATTTTAACATCATCTTCATTTCATTATATATTATTTCCTAAAATCCCTTAGTCTTTTCACATGTCTACCACATAGGAAAACTTCCCCTTTTCTAACCAGGATGGATTGCTCATGCTATAGGTTTTCTGGATCCAAGACAAAGTCGCTTCTAGGATGGGGTCTGGCAGTTTGAGGGTGGTCATCTTCAAATTGTTGCATTGTTTGGAAAGAATGACACTTCACAGAGTAGCTAAGATGAACAAGTTGACAGACTATAGTGCTCCGACATCAACAAGCAACAAATGTTTAGAGATGTGCAATGAAATGGTCTGAATCTGACCAAAATTGGAATCCTATGTTCTAATAATGAGGTAACAAGTGATGTTGGCTACAGTTTGAAATACAGAATTGACTCAAACAGTGAGAAACCCTCCACTGTTTCTACCAAAGTTCTTCCCCTTTGGAAATTAGGGATTTCTGTGCAAATCTTCCCTGGATTTCTTTTCCAGGTCAGCTCTCCTCCATGCTGGTTACCGGGTCTCACTGTCCCATGCCTGCAAAAATGCCATCAAGACAGATGCGCCACCATCTGTGCTTTGGGACATCATGCGCTGCTGGGTGAGCAAAGTCTTAACCTCTGCATAAAGGAGCTTTTCTTTCTGGATCTTTTACCGTAGGCACCTCCAGAACAGCTATTTGTTCCCTGTTCTCAGACTCCAGCCTGTGGCACTATTGCTTTTTGTCTGCAATGACGGGGCATGCTCCTGCCACCTTGTACCACTGGCCGCTGTTTCTGCATGTATACTTTGCTCTTTGGGTCTGGTTTGATAAAGAGCGATTAAAACACAGTCCTGAGATGTTTGTAAAGGACAGATTCCTAGCCCATCCTTCACTTGAAGTTTGTTTCTTCATTTGCGTTCCCCTTTTCACCTCTTGAGATTAAACCCACTTCTTGTTCTATTCCTCCTGCCTGTCTCCCAACTTTAGGAGAAACTCAATCCTGTGAAAAGAGAGCGCCTTTCCGAGAGCAGCCCAGCTGCCCACATCCTTTCTGTAGAACCCAAGTAGGTATTGGGGGTGTACTGCCAGACTGGGTGTTGGATGGGCAAATATGGACCTTAGGCCAAGTAAGAAATGGCTCGTTGGCAGGAAACTCTGGAAATCAGGAGGGCATATATCTATAGGCTGTTGTTGTGGGGCAGGGGTGGGAGTGACAGACAGCTGCGGGTTAAGATAGATAGCAAAATAAGCTCTTAGGTATGTGTGTGTGTGTGTGTGTGTGTGTGTGTGTCTGTCTGTGTCTGTGTTCAAATGCTCAAGAGAGTTTCATCTAATCTAGAAGTTGTCCCATTCTGACCAAGAGAAGGTAGTGATCCCACTTTGTGAAAGGGTTTGGTTCCAGGTTGGAACTGTCTGCCTTCCTTCCTTGCTGACACTCTTAAACTCCACAGGCTGCAGGCATCCTTCACTGTCCGGGCAGATGCTAATCCTAGCTCACGAAAGCAAGGCCTCAAACGGTTTCAGCTAAATCCAGAGCCTTTTTGGGGCCCAAAAGCAAGAGCCAAAGCTGGGTAAGATTTAACATGGAACCTGGGTGTGCTGGGAGCAAGCTAGGATACAGTTTATGTAACCTGGGATGGGGAAATCAAGGTCCTGGGGTGGGGGTGGGGCATTAGAACAAAGACAGGCCCAGGACTCATTCCTATTGGTTAAAAATGGTACCAGAATGCATTACTTTTAAGGATGTCATGGAAAAGCTGACAAGGAGAACTATGGCACCGGTATCTTCTGGTATTGCCTTTCCCCATTCCCCCCCCCCCCAACTTTCTGGGAAGTAGAGGAAGATGTATCTACCTCATTTGGGCTACTCCTTCTGGTCTTTGGCCCAGGTTTCTGCCCTGACCATCCTGGCTAGGGCAGTAGTGATGGGGACACTGAAACAAAAGCATCAGCCTCCTTGGCTCTGTTCTGACACATCTGCTGGGGGCAGGGGTGGGATCTCTTCCTCCTTGCAGGAAAAGAGAAAGCTACACCAGAACAAGAGGAAAGAATGTGCAGAACAGAGTGATGGGGCCCACCTGAAGAACTTTCCCTGCAAACGGTTCCGGCAAGTGAGTAGTCACAGCTACTGTGCTGTTGGCTTAGAACCGAGATGGTGGGTTGGTATGTAAAAGAAACTGGGTAGCCTTTTGGGGGAATCTGAGTGTTGATGACAGCAGGGAATAGCTGTGCTTAAAAGTGCAGAGAAGGGACATGGTTCTCTGCTCTCTGCCCTGTTCCATCTCTCTTTTGCTTTTTTACTGTCTAAGCACATGGCCTGTGCAGCTAAAGTTCTTTAAGCTGCACTCGTGGCAAATGGAGGAAATGGTACCTGTGTAACTGATTTTTATTTCATAGCATGAGCAAAAGAAGCTTGAATAGAATGGGGAACAGGAAAGGGTTAAGCACACCCCTGTTCTCTGGGTTCTGGTTTTATTCCACTGGAGCTGCATGTGGTTTGCCTCTCTGCCATGTGGCAGGCAGTTTTGTAGGAGTGCTCTTGTCAGCTGCCATTATTAGTTGTAGCTGCTGGCAACCAGAGGTCATTATGCACAACCTGTATCGATTGGTCTCATTTAGGGGAGTCAGCTGGGGAATACAGTTCTCAGTAATCATTTTAAGCCCAGCTACAATTGCCCTGTCCCTAAACACCATTCTATGTTTGGTATGAGGATGACCAATGAAAAGCAGGGTTTTTTTTGAAAAAAAGATACTGTTTTTAACCAGGCTTACATAACTTGTGACCCACCAACCCAGGCACAGCTTACCTGGTGCTTCACAGCTGCTCTGTTTTTACAGACCTAGGCAGGCAGCAAAACCAGGAGGTTCCTTAAACCTGGGTTACCCTATTTGGCTGGCTGGGTCCTTAGTTGTATGTAAGTCTGTTTTAATTTTACCTGCAATATTTAAAACACTTGCAGACGGCAAGTGGGCTGTTTAGAGGAACCTTGAAAATTTGGTATGTTTGGCTTTTATACAGAACAGAATGGTGAAGGCAACTAGAGGTGTAGCTATGGGTTCTGTTCCCAGATCAGCTACAGCCTCCTTAGGCCAAGCTGCCAATTTCTCTTTTGCCTAAGGCAGGGGTCAGCAAATTTTTCAGCAGGGGGCTGGTCCACTGTCCCTCAGACCTTGTGGGAGGCTGGACTATATTGGGGGGGGGGGGAGAACAAACTCCTATGCCCCACAAATAACCCAGAGATGCATTTTAAATAAAAGCACACATTCTACTCATGTAAAAACACACTGATTCCCGGACCGTCTGAAGGCTGGATTTAGAAGGCGATTGGGCCGGATCCAGCCCCCGGCCTTAGTTTGCCTAAGGGCCAGCTGCTTCAGCCACAGGGCTGCATGCAACGACTTGAATGGTTTAGTGATGTTTGGCGTTGCTTTTCCCTTACAGGGCAACTGTTCACTGGGGGACAAGTGCTGCTACTCCCATGAGACAGAAGGAAAGACGGCAGAAAACAACCCAGCACCATCTTGATGAGAAACAGTCTTTGGTATCTGCTCCCTTTTGTTTTATATATTTGTGCTAAATGGAGAGCCTTTATTTTCAAATGACTGTCCATTTATGATGTGCCTGCCATTAAAAAATGGTGTTAGCTTTTGATGGTTCTTGGTTTGCTAGATGTTTTCCACCTGATCATGTTCAAACTGCTCTCTAGTAGATCAGCTGCCTGCCCTGTGAGCCTGCTGAACTGTCAGGCTCTTCAAGTACTGTTGCGGGGTGGGGTGCGGGGAGATGACCCGATTACATCCCCAAAATGGTATTTTAAGAACATTGCTTCGCTGTTGATGTTTGTCCATTCTAAATAGTGGAAGGTCATGTCTGAGAATCTAGTGAATAGACAGTATTAAGAAACCCTGTTGCTTCCTCACAGTTACACTGTTTATCACCACAGGCTCCAGCCCAATGGCATGTGCAATAATGAGTCAGGGTAAAGCCAAATCCTTTGCATGCAGCAACAACTCCCAAGATTGAAATCCTGGCTCTGCCAGACTGGGCTGGGAAAGACCTCTCTGTCTGAAGCCCTAGAAAGATGCTATGTTAAAAGAAACAAAACTGCCTGTTTCGCCCTCTTATTGTGTACAGTGGTACCTCGGGTTAAGAACTGAATTCGTTCTGGAGGTCCGTTCTTCACCTGAAGCACCACTTTAGCTAATGGGGCCTCCTGCTGCTGCCGCACCGCCAGAGCATGATTTCTTATCCTGAAGCAAAGTTCTTAACCTGAAGCACTATTTCTGGGTTAGTGGAGTCTGTAACCTGAAGCGTATGTAACCCGAGGTACCACTGTACTTAGATGCTAGACTGGGGTCTAAAAGCAGAATGTTTCAGCGTGTTTTTAAGTGGTTTATTGAAAAGGTAATGATTGCACTTACGGTAGCCCAAGTACTCCACCAACTCCACACCCTCCCCTGAAAATGATCCAAGTTTCTTTGGTGTGCAGGTGTGGAGGAAAAGGGAGTCTAAAGGCATTTTACAGTGATCCCTTATTCACCAAAATCATTGCAGAAGTTCACAGAAGCTGATTCTACTGCCTTTTAGCAGCCTAAAAGAATCCTCTCTCCACGAGAATGTCTTGGCTTGGAGAGAAATCATTTCATCTCCATTGAAAAGGCCCTGTCAAGAGCTGCAGTGTCCTGCCCTTGCTTGATGCAACTCCATTTGGACGGAGTAAGAGGTGGAACATTAATCCCTCTGCTCAGATCTCTCTGCCAGGCCTTGTTTTGTGCTGAATATGAGCCAGGAATGTCCGGATCTCCATGGGTTGCAGTGCAATGTGTGTTGGGTCCAGCCTGCTTCTGGACTGCTGTTTTGCTGCTCCTGTGGATAGAAGGAGTTTAGGAAAGACAATATTGGAACCCCAGTCCCTTGTCGATAAGACGCTTTTGGAAAGAAACAATAGGACTAATTGTGCATCTAATGAAGTAGATAAGCAATGGCACAAGTACCTTTGGTCGACTAATTAATGCAATTGGTCTTAGCTTACATACATGATCCTGTGGCTTCAAGTCCCTTGCATCTGGGAGTCAGTAGCTAGCATTTAGTGGAAAGCCTGTGAGTTACATGCAGATGATTACCAGCTAACTGGCAAGGGTAGTCAATCTTATGACAGGGAAGGACAGATCCCTGCAACAGTGCTGGTGGAAAAAAGGGCATACACCTTCTGCCTCACCTAGTAGCTTTGTATCTTCATGTAGGCTACAGCAGGAATAACTAATAGGAATCTAATAGGAAAGGCCATAGGTCACTGGGAGAGCATCTGCTTTGCCCCAGGTTCAACACCTCCAGGTAAAACTAGTAAAGGTTGCTGCTTGGAGCTTTGGAGGGCTGCTGCTAGGCAGTGTAGACCAGGGGTTGGCAAGGTTTACCTTGCCTGGGCCCGGTTCACTCCAGCGGAGATCCTTCCATGGGCACGCCCCCCCGCGATTTCGGGTGCTGCAAAAGCAAGTCCCCATGCTGCACTGGTTTAGTGCAGCATGCGGGGATTCGCCGAGCGGGCGGCTCGGTTCAGGGGCAGCTCATGGGCTGGTTAAACGACCGCCATGGGCCACTTGTGGCCCATGGGCCTTAGGTTGCCGACCCCTGGTGTAGACAGTAATGAGGCAGATGAGCCTCTGGTCAGACTTAATATTAGGCAGCTTCCTATGGGATTTCAAGTGTCAGTGGAAGGGGGAAAGAAACAGGACTGAGCCCCTCTGCCTTGGGGAGACTGTTCTGAAAGGCTCTTTGCCTCTTATTCACACACCCAGAATCAGAATCTGACAACATTAGAAGCAACCACTGCACAGTAAGTTTGGTCTAAACGGTTTCAGTGATGCATGGTTATCTATATGAGACACTCAGGGAATTCTGGAATCTTATGAAGCTTTGGGGGACAGTTATATAATTAGGTAAAGGACCCCTGGACGGTTAAGTCCAGTCAAAGGTGACTATAGTGTTGCAGGGCTCATCTCACTTCAGGCCGAGGGAGCCAGCGTTTGTCCACAGACAGCTTTCCGGGTCATGTGGCCAGCATGACTAAACCGCTTCTGATGCAACGGAACACTGTGACAGAAGCCAGAGCGCATGGAAATGCCATTTACCTTCTAACCACAGTGGTACCTATTTATCTACTTGCACTGGTGTGCTTTTGAACTGCTAGGTTGGCAGAAGTTGTGACAGAGCAACAGGAGCTCACTCCGTTGCGCGGCTTCAAACTGCCGACCGATCAGCAAGCCCAAGAGGTGCCGTGGTTTAGACCACAGCACCACCCACTCTGTGTGCTCTGGGTTCCATCATGGCGTTCTGTTGCACCAGAAGTGGTTTAGTCATGCTGGCCACATGACCCTATAGTCACCTTTGGACTTAACCGTCCAGGGGTCCTTTATCTATATAATTGATAGTCACATGAGCAGGATGGTACCAAATTCACCCTGTTCCAGAGGTGGAATAGACTGGCTTGACCAAAGGCTGTTTTTTTCACAATAGCATTCTTACACGTATGAACCGTTGTCATTATGAACACCTCTGCTGCTTAGGACACAAGGATCAAAGCAGTTTAGTGCTGTAAGCACAGACATAGCCAATTATTATAGTTGGTGTGAAGGATTACCTCAGAGGAAGATGGGTTCTGTGCTACTGTAGTTTAGAGTAGTGAGCCACCATGGTCGCATGCATTGTAGACCCACTGAAGTCTATGGATTTGACTTAAGTAACTTGGTTTCAATGGATCTAGCAGAGGGTATTGCCCAGTGATTTGTGGGATTTTTGGTCACCGCTGGCCATCTTCCTCTTATAGCAACAGATATGGCCCATCAAGTCTGTCACAGTAGCCACATTCAGAGTTGAAGGTTTACCTTCAGCTGGCTGCCAGATCAGCCTGTTCACGTCTTCCAGCTTCTGGTTAGCAGCCAAGTTCATCTCTTGCACACTGATGATGTTGAAAGATGAGAACAAGTTCTAGGGTGTGGAGATAAAAGCCATACAGGATATGGTGACAACTCAAAGAGATTCCATATCATGCTGTTAGTTGAAGTTATAGCTCAGTGCTAAACTCCTTAAACAGCCAATAAATTCACTAGAGTGCCTCCAGTAAGTCACTCATTGTGAGCTAGCTTCCTTCCCTCATCTGCAAGACAAGAGAAATAAATGCTGGCATGCCTTATAGGCTTTCTTGTAAAGGGATGTGAAGAATATTACAAAAGAGACCTACCAGCAAGTTAACAACAGCAGGCATGGAGCCATTGACGCTCTCCCCCCTTTCAAACTGGTGCTCCAGACGGATGAGAACGGAGTCAGGCTCCCATTGGGCCAGCGTAAGCAAGTGGACATTTGAAGGGAGAGCCTGGTGCAGAGCAGAGAACTGGGATTGGGGAAGGAGAGAGTCAATCAGGCAAGCATCGTAATATGACACTACCCAATTAGAACAGAGCTGAGATTCACTAGCTTTTACTTTACTGATCAGCCATTTCAAAGCAATAAAGTAAGAAAACAGTGAGACAAATACGTTGTGAAAGTCAGTAAAAGGGGCTCAAGAATAAGAAACACATTCTAAGAATACAACATCTGTGTCCCCACCTGTCAATGAATTGTTCTTTTTGGATCACATCATTTCCTAAGAAAGTTTTGTGGACTAGTGGGTGGGATGTGATTTATACAAAGAAATGTGTTCCCCAAGATATTCTGGGCCCAGACTTGTAGAGCAATATGAGAATCTGCCTTGTTTGGAGAGTCATGGGTTATCTAGCCTAGTACCATAATAATAATAATAAATTATTTATACCCCGCCCATCTGGCTGGGTTTCCCCAGCCATTCTGGGCGGCTTCCAACAAAGTATTAAAATATAGTAGTCTGTTAAACATTAAAAGTTTCCCTAAAGAGGGCTGCCTTCAGAAGTCTTCTAAAAGTCTGGTAGTTGTTCTTCTCTTTGACATCTGGTGGGAGGGCGTTCCACAGGGTGGGCGCCACTACGGAGAAGGCCCTCTGCCTGGTTCCCTGTAACTTGGCTTCTCGCAGGGAGGGAACCGCCAGAAGGCCCTTGGCGCTAGACCTCAGTGTCCGGGCAGAACGATGGGGGTGGAGACGCTCCTTCAGGTATACTGGACCGAGGCCATTTAGGGCTTTAAAGGTGAGCATCAACACATTGACTTTGAATGAGAGCACCTTTCCAAAGGTTGGGGCAGAGACCACTCCCAGCTCTGCCCTCTTTAGCCAGAGGTGGGACCATTTTGCATGCCAAGCATGAGCTCGCCCACAGAGCTGCATATGCAAGGCCTTGAGTGCGTGCAACTGGCAGCCACAGCCAACTGACTACATTGCTTTCCCAACCGTTCCCTCACCTCCTTCACGTTGTCCTGGCCAGGCTGGTATGCAGGCCCCTCGCCGGGGGCCAACACCAGCTGTGGTGCCATGAACTCCTGCTGGGCCCACAGGCGGTGCTGCTCAGCTGACGACTCTGCTGTGTCCAAGAGGATGAGGTGGCGACCCCGCACCACCAGCCCATGGTGGAAGTCGCCAGGTTCCAGCAGTGGCTCCCCTACGCCCCGGCTATCGTCATGCAGCAGCCGTCGATGTACCTGAAGACCACGAAGGAGGAAAGGGGGAGAGGCGATGCAAGTTGGGAGAAGTACTGCAGGTCGGGCTGGTTTGCTTGCCTTGCAGCTGACAGGGCCTGGTGCTACAAAGTGGGCTTGCCACTCTAGGATGCTGAAGAACCAGCAATTCCTTCACTGGAGTCACCAGTATAAGCTTTGGCCTTACTATTATTTAAGGCAGGGGGGGCAACATCAGGGTCAGGGGCTGAATGTAGGGCTCCCCCACCCTCAGGTCTCTCCACCTCAGGCCCTATTCCTCCCTGCCCCTGCTTTGCAGCCCGAGTGTCTGATAAGGCCACCTTCCTGTCTGGATACAAGATGCAGAGGTATAACAAGCCAACTGCACAAAGGTAGCATTTGTTACTCCACCCACTTTGGCCTCTGGCCCCGCCCACCGCTGGCATGGAGACTTCAAAAGCTTGCCCAGAAGGAAATGTGAAAGTTGCACATCCTCAGTGACTCCCGACTGGGTAGCTCTCTGCTTTCTCTGGATGCCCCCAGTCACCCGGCCTATGAGGGCCTCTCTACTTGACCGTGGTTCCTTCTCTTCCCAAGCCTGATACTGAGGCAGTTTGCCCTTCTTGCTACTTGGAAGTCCTGCTGCGCTCACCATGAGCTCAAGAGAGCCGTCAAAGACGCTGCTGCCTCCCTGCGAGCGGTCCGTCAGCACCGTCAGCTGCACCTTCTGGTCCTGGAGCGATTCAAAGAGAAAGCAAGGACAGAGCTGCATGCGTGTGTACACTAAGAAAGCCTCCTGCCACACTGCTCGCTAGGTGCTACAGGAGGGAAGGGCAGGTGTGCCCTTTCTCTCAGCCCCCCTTCCCACCACACTTGAACACAACCCACAGCCCCCTCCCTCAACCTTTGCCCCAAACCTTCACTGGAAACAGAGGAGCACCTGTCCCTATATTTCCCACAATTACGCTGTGCGGGTTGATAGATCTGCAGGTGGGCCCGTCACAGTGCGCAAGGGGTGCTATTACCTTGATGTAGATACGGCTGTTGACAGGGTAGTAGTTGCCGGCCACAGGCTCTGTCTGGCTCAGGTTCCACGTGGCCCTGTAGTTGCGCCTGCACCAGGGTGAGCAGAGAGAGAAGAGAAGGGGGAATATCAACCTCCTGCCTTTCCTCAGCCAGTTAGGAACCCAGACACACCCAGGCAGATATTGTGAGGAAAAACAAAACATGGAAGGGTAGAGGCAGAGCAAAATGGACCCCAAGGTGCTGGCAGCAGCAACTACATTAAGACACTTCTTCCTAAGTGCATGTCTATTGTATTAGAATTTCTTAGAATAAGCATGTATTATCCTCCCCATTACACATCTATTGGGAGATGGGGGAGAGGAAGAGTCAAGATGGAGAAAGAGCAGCTTGCACCCTGCGCTCTTAGCATCCTCTGCTCCTGCCCAGGCTATGGAGGGACAGTCCCAAGACACAAATGCTTCACTTTGCCTGCTGCTCCTGCCAGTACCTTCTCTCTAGGATCTCACGCCCGTTGGAGTCTGTGTAGAAGCGGCCAGCGGTCTGCAGGTCTGTCTCGAAGCGGCTGATGATCTCCTTGCCAAGACCGTCACTGTGGGACAACCCGGAGGTCAGAGATGTACTCTGAAGAGAAGGGGAAGGCCCCCCCCTGCCCCCAGCTTCCTAACACTCACTGGATAGGGATGGGCCCCACCGTCCATTCCAGCTCAACGTACGGCTGCCCAGCGTAGAGTCGCACCACCTGGGAGCACCAGGCAGAGAAGTTCTGGTACAGCTCCTCCACCACTTGGGTCTGCCAGATAAGAGACACATGCAGCTTTTATTTATAATTTTCCTGTCATCGATATGCAGCCCCTTCTATCGATAAAAAGTGGCACGGATGGGGTTGGGGAGACTGTGCACAAGGGGGGGCGTGAAGGAGGAAAGGAATTGCAGAAGTTGGCTTTTGGGCATACAAAAGTGGTAGCCAAAGTAGTCCAGGGCACTCTATTGCCACACATGCATGAGAAACTTTAGGCTTGAAATTGCATAGGCATGAACTATAAGCCAGGAGGCTAACATGCAGCTTCCCCCTTCCCTGCACAAAACCCTGGCAATGATAAACTTATTTTAAATAATGTAGACTAGCTGATGGGAAAAGTCTTCTGGGTATCAGCCTTGAGAACAGCAGATCTTGCCTTCCCCACTTTGGCCCCTGGTGGGCTGTCCAAGGGTCAATGTGGCCCTTGGCCTGGAAATGGTTAGCCACTCCTGCTGTACATATTAGATGCTTCTATTCTTGGGGTCTGGCAGCAGAATCTGCCTTCCCCAATCACTCAAGAGCCACCAGCAGAAATCCAAGGAGGAACAAAGCCCGTTTTCACTACCAAGCCCTGGCAACTGCAGTTCGGCCACCGCAGAAATTAAAATGGAACCAGTATGCATGAACCAATATACATGACAAAACATCCATGAAAATGGGGCTGGGAGCTGTGACAGCTTCCAATCTCTTCCTCATTCTCTCCTATATCGCCATAACTTTCTCATCTCCTGGGCTCCATGCTGCAACTTCAATTCTCTTCTGTCTCTTTAGGCCACAGTGAAACACTGAGCATTCAGTGGCAAGGCAACACTGTTCCTGCAGCCCAAACTATGCAAAAATGCCCAGCAAAGCCATACAAGACATTCAGCATGCTCTGGTTGTGGGATTCATTGTTAATGAACGTGGGATTTAGGGTACAGACCACTTAAGAGAGCCAGCTTGGATGTGGCCACCATCCTTCTAACAATGGATCCAAAGCTCTTCAGGCCCTTGGTGACGGGGACAGGCTAGCAGCCCTTCTAGGCTTATGATCGTCCCTCAGCCAGTATTTGTACCGTCTTCTGCTGGTTTTTCCTACCTTCACATGGTGCACCTGGGCTCCCTTGGCAATGGGGAAGGTCTGAGAGGTGTCTGGGCGGAAGATATAGGCTCCAGAGGCCTGGGAATTCTCTTCATTCCCAGCGCTGGCATTGTACCTGAAAAAGTCAGCCAGTGGACAGAACCGGTTAATGCAGCTATAACAAGTTACCCACCAACTACTGCCAATAATTCAAGCAGGAAAGTATAAAGACAGCCAGCCCATCTTTAATATCTACCTTCCACTGAGGCGAGAGTCCAGCTCGCAGCCAGGAAGTCCAGGTAGAGAGCTCCCCTCCACACTGCTTCCCAAAGCTTCTCCCTTTCAAAGCAGAAGACAACTCACCAGAAAAAGTTCTGAGACACTGGCAACGAGATGTTCTTATCCAGGTTCTGAATCTCCTTCAGGAGTCCTGTTTTGGGGTCAACCAGAACTCGTAGATGCTGGGAAAGGAGGAGGAGGAGCGAACGAGAAAAGGAAAAAAATTGCTGTAGGAGATGCAGTCTGGAAAAGATTCTTACTCTGGATGTGCATGAAAAGATGTGACGTCGTTCCAGGGAAGTCTGCTTTCAAGAAACAGATCCCTACAAAAGTTTTAAAGTAGGAAAAAGTGTATCATGTGATCATCTCATTCTACCCAAGTCGTAAACAAGGGAGGAGCCTCTGATGGATTTCTTTTCAGTGCTTTCTCGAATGTCTCCAAGGAAGATGACTTCTCAAGAAAGCTTGTTTTGTTCCTGAACTGGTCTTAGTTCATAGATTTGGGTTATACTTCTTTCTATAGATTGAACTCATAGTTTGGCTCCGATTTCAGGGGTCTGGTAACACTTTTGTAAAGAATAGTCTAAAGTTTACACCAAAATGGACATTTGGGAATGGAGAACTGAAAATCCAGATATTTGGTAGTATTCAACCAAGTTTTGCTCAGGATAGACCGACCCACTGAAGTTAATTAACCTCAATTAGTCACATCCATGAATTACAATGAGCCAACTCTTAGCTGAATACCACTTACTGTTGGTAGGAATCAGGTGTGGGAATCTCTGCTTTCTCTGTTGCTCAAAGTTATAGTATTTTGTTCCTTGAGAAAAACAAATTGCCCTTTGAAAGTTTTCTAAGAAAGGCTTGTGCCTCATAGGAAAAGAGTGTGCAAGACCAGACCAGGAAGACCGAAGCAGAGTCAGCCAAATGTCAGGGTGAGATTGGTGAATACCTCATTCTGGATTGACCAAGAAAGCTGGTCTGCTCCAGGTTGGTGGGGCAACCTCTTCAGCAGTCTGGATCGCGCTGGCTCCTTGCCGGGCAGTCTAGAGACTGAGTAAGTGGTGTAGCCCAGCGGTGGGGCAGATGCCTGGAACACCAACTCATTGACAGCATCGCCCCGATCACGCCGAACAGCACGGGTGAAATTTGATACGGGAATGACCTGGAAAGAAAGTTTGCACAGTTCTTCATTCCACACAGCAGAGCACCTGGAAGGGATACTCTTCTCTTGAAAAACCCAGGGGAGTTTGGTGTTGTGATATTCCATACAACATGGGACATCAGTTTCATGGCCATTGAGTAGAGAAGCACTAAGATAGTGGACAAGCACTGATGTTTAGTTTTGATACAATTAGCCCTCTGTTAGCTGCATTTTTGCAGCAGGGGGAGGATTGGGAAGTTGGCAAGAGCTTTGGCTTACGTTGGCCACCCCACCAAATGTTTCATTACCGGGCAGCCCCAGTGAGGAAAACAGTGCCAATTTCAATTCTATCTACCCCTCAAGCATCCCCAGCTACAGGGGAAACAGGGGCTGTTTGCTTCCTACCTCATTCAGAACAGCCTGGCCACTAGGATCTAAAACGGAGTAATGGCTTCCATTCACCGGCAGCCGGACGTTCCATCCCACAGGGCGGGCCAGAGGGTTATAGACGATCACCATGAACTGCAAGGGCAGAGAGCAACATGTTAGGGAAGGAATGAATGACTGCAAGAGGAGCCCAGCCAACTGAGATGGTGTTGGAAGGTCCCCCCGAATTCCAAGGCACAACCCTTGATGCTTGGAGGTAAAGAGGGAAGTTACAGATTTCAAGTGTTCAGTGGGATAAGGGACTAGACAAAAATGATGGTCCCTTACAGTAGAGGCAACTTCAGTCAGCAGGCAGACACTGATGTTAAGATAGGTGCAATAGATGAAGTTCTCTTTGCTTCCAACGAGACTGGTGAGGGCATTGCTGACCACAACCTGCCAGAGAAAAGGGTAGCTATAGGTTAACCACTCTCGCCACCTGTGCAAAGGTGCGGAAACATAACAAGGAGATCTCCAGGGAAGGTCAAAGTCCTGAAAACAGAGCAACTTCACGCATTTATATATTTGTACACACCCTTCCACCCAAAAGAAGTCCAGGGCAGCAAAGAGAACATCGCACAAGCAAGATCCAGATAAATAAATAAATACAGGTCTAGGAAAGGCATCAGCAAACATCTTGGAGGAGAGCAGAGGACTGAGGAGCCAGGGCTGCCCTCCATCTTTTCATTCAGTAACGCTCACATACATCTGCATGTGAGATACATCGGGCGGCCACTTTCTTGGTTCAGAGCACACACCTCACAGGCATCCCAGCCGGTAGACAACTGTTTGGCGTAGTCATTGGTCACATGCTGCTTTGCTGTGCCAGTCACTGCATCGTGGTGCTGGGCAACTCCCATGGCCTGACCTGCAAGAAAAAGAGGAGCGTGTCACGTGACACTGGGATGGGACCCCAATAGGCTGGCTCACACATGCAGACAGTGGCCACCCCAACTCACTGGCTCTCCAATACAGACACCACTGCCCTCTGCCTTGGCTTTTGACACCTGCAAGTGTATATTTTTACGACTCCTCTTATTTTTGTCATTGTACATTGTTTTAAACTTGTAATACTATGCTTTAATGTTGTGAACCGCCCTGGGATCTTAGGCTGAAGGCCAGGTAATTACGAATAATCATCACGTTCTCCAAGTTAATTCAGAATTTAGACCAGATCCTGGCTGAGACCCTCTGATAGCCACCATGGCAGCTACTGCTGTTTCCTGGCTCTTACTGTAATATCAGGATGAACCCACCCCTGCCGAAACCCTCATGATTTCACCTACGCAGCACAGAACTGCTGGCATTGCCGTAAGGCCCCACATTTGCTTGTGCGCCAGCCAACACTTCGAGCTGGTTGCAGACCTGCAAAAGTAAAGAAACAGCATCAGAGGCACGAGAAATGCTCGCCTGTCAGGTATGTCCTGAGCCTAAGGGGTCCGTGATGGCAGCGGGACCAGGACCCAGGAGTTCTGGTTCTTTGCCTCTCCCCTCCATATCTTGTGGGAGGAAAATACTCCATTTTTTTGTATTCTAACCCCCCTTCCCCCCCGCAACTGAGCACTGACCTGCAGGAAGTTATTGCTGAGCCGCTCGTAGCGTTTCAAAGCCGGGCGGCTGGTGAAGTAGCCTGTCCAGAACTGGTGAGGACCGTCAGCATATGGGAAGAAGTCGTCATATTTCACAGTCCTGCCCAATGCAGATTTCATTTCAGCCAAGATCTATACCTGTGTATGGCCTATCACCCTCCCCAGCACCTCAAATGGAGCCTGCGGCAGGTGGTCAGCACAGGATGTGAAGACATGGAGAGAGGCGTCCCAAGGCCAAATCCATCTTCTGCCAGGGATTCACTGACTGACTGCGTGTCTATCAGCCCCTGTATTCCATCTTATGATATGGAAGTGGCTAACCTTTACAAGGCTAGACAAGTAAAACACTAAATGCTTTTGATGATTAATATTAACAATAATCCCACTTTACTATGTACCCAAAGTACACGATGAAGGTTACTGGCATGGAATGAGCTCATTAAGCAATTCAGATTGCACATAAAATCAATGGGTGGGATTCAAGTAATGAGCTCCAGCCCTGCAAGAACTTCCACTAGCTCAATGGGGCTTCTCCCCCACCCTCCTCAGCCCTGAAAATTGGCTCAGAGGAGGGTGGGGGTTAGGAGAATCCCCAGAACAGCACACTGAGGGAGAAGGGAGCAGCTGGCTCCATCAGGGAAGCGGAAATGCTTGTGCCTTCTGAGCAATCTGCTTCGGACTACAGTGACGCTCTCCCCTTTTGTTGAAGGCTGTGCTCTCTGCGAGCATTTGTGCTCTCTTTAGATCTTCAGCCTGGTGAGCGTGGGGAGACTCCTTCAAGTCACCAAGCTGCTTGGGGAACAAGAAGGCCTTAACCCAACAGAACACGCAAAAAAGATGGAAGTAGATGGCAGGGATGCAGGTGTGGCGGCCAGATGAACCCTCCCAGTTCAACAGTGGGAAACAGGCACTAAAGGGGTTTGGGCCTAGAAAGAATCTATAGAAAAGAACACTCTTTTTTGAGGGGGGAGGGTGTGCCTCTGGCAGCTACATGCTGCGTCCTATCAAACAGACAGCCCTCATGCAGTTGAAACCCACCCTCTCTTGCTAGCATTCAGCAGCCTTCTCGCAGGGGTAGAATTAAGCACCTGCTTGGGGAAGAGGAGGAGGCGGCCAGCCCCTAAGGAAATGCTCCTGCTGCAAACACGGGCGGCCCAGCCAGCCAGACCCAGCCCTCTCACCATGATATGTTGGCCTTATTGAGCTCCCACAGGTAGCAACTTGGGGTGGAGTAGAGGATATTGACGCGGCTCCCGTTCAATTGCTGCAAGAGAGAAGCGAGGGAAATTAACAGGCAAGCACTCACTGAGGAAAGGAAGGGCATGTATCGGCTATGCAGCAAAGACAGGGCACGATGCCAGCTCTAGCTTTCTTTCAGCGTGGTCCAAGTCATATCTCTCTAGCGAGCGTTTCCAGAATATGGCATGTGAATGAGGAAAGAGGCTCATTCTCAGTTCCAGAGCTGACTGGGGGAAGGAGGAGAGAGGCTTTCCCTCTCTGTTTTTCACTGAAAGTTCAGCCTAGACAAGGCTGAGGTTGTGTCAATGTGACATTTGACTACTGCAGTAATTTATGTTTAACCTGTTCACTGTGTGTGTAGAGGCTGCTTTTCCTCTAAGGTAGGAATGGGGATTTCTAGCTCCCGCCAGCCATATGCTGGCTGGAGCTGATGGGAGCTGAAAGCCAACTACACCTGGAAGGCCACAGGTTCCCTGGCAAAAGGACCAGGTCCAAAGCTTGACCCACCTTTGTCACCAGAGGCACGAGGGCTATTGCCAGATGCAACCGCCTGGCTTAAGAAACCTATGCCCTGCTGGCCTCCTGCTCAGATTATAGGGATGCGGGTGGTGCTGTGGTCTAAACCACTGAGCCTCTTGGACTTGCTGATCAGAAGATTGGCGGTTCGAATCCGCAAAATGGGGTGAGCTGCTGTTGCTCTGTCCCAGCTCCTGCCTACCTAGCAGTTCGAAAGCATGCCAGTCAAGTAGATAAATAGGTACTGCTGTGGCAAGAAGGTAAATGGCATTTCTGTGCACTCTGGTTTCTGTCATGGTGTTCCGTTGCGCCAGAAGCGGTTTAGTCATGCTGGCCACATGACCTGGAAAGCTGTCTATGGACAAACGCCAGCTCCCTCGGCCTGAAAGCGAGATGAGCGCCGCAACCCCATAGTTGCCTTTGACTTGACTTAACCGTCCAGGTGTCTTTTACCTTTACCTTTGGATTACGGAATGTGCTGTCCTACACCATGGTCAAGGGGTGGGTATGTCTTTGAAAACAGTCTGGAAGCTTAGCAGAGAATATGACTCCACAAATATAAAGCGGGAATACCTTTGCATTGACGTGCTTGATGAGCTTGTCCATGTTCTTGTACCAGAGGAGGGCATTCTCGTACTGGAAGTCGGATCCCATTGTCATGACAATGTGGTTGGTGCGATAGTGTTTTGCCTAAAGGAAGGAATGCTGAGAGTTGGCCTGTCTCCTGACTCCACAACAGCCTTGCTGCAGCATTTGTGTAACGCTTCCAAGAGCTCAAAGCACCATGGATAAGTGAAGCAACGGACCATGCCCAATCAGCAAAGCCAGCAGCTAAAATAAGGGAACTTAATAAGGACTGTGTTTTATGGACGGATGGAAGCCTTTTTCGAACTATTTAAAGAAATGTAATAGGATGAATCCATGAGCGGGATTTGAACTATGAGCAACAGAAATAATTAGAGATTATTGTATTATGGTTATTGATATAAAAGAATGAAGACAGGGTGAGGCACCAGGATAGAATTAAAAAAAAAAAAATCACAAAAAAATGGGATGGAAAGCGGAGAAAAGAAAAGAAAAAGTTATGTATTAGAATTTTATATGAAATTTGTGGAAATTTAATATATATATTTTTAAAGAGTTCGAAGCACCGTGTGCATTTATATTGCTGCAATCCTTAAAACAACCATGTAGAGAAAGTATTATTATTCCTCCACCACTGCAGATGGAGAGGCTGAGGCTAAGAGAGAGTGACTTGAACTAAGGCCACCTAGTAGAAGAGGCAAGATTTAGACTGCAGACTTCTCAGTTTGTACTTCAGTCTCTGTGCCATTATGCTACACCAGCTCTCAGCTGCTCAGTGTGGGGAAAAGCTGTGGCTCAGTGGAAGAGCATCTGCTTTGCATTAAAAAGTCCCAGGTTCGATCCCCAGCAGGGACAGAAATCCAGATAGGGTTTTCTGAAATCCTGGAGAGCCACCGCTTGTCAGGGGAGACAGTGCCGAGCTAGATAGATCAATGGTCTGATCCTGTGCACTAGTGAGACACCATCTTCAGAAATGACCCACAGGTTGCCTTATGTCAGGTGGGAAGTGCTTTTTTGACCTAGAGGGGCATAAGGCCCTGTTGCCAATCCTCCGAAAGTACCTATGAAAAGTGGGCTAAAAAAAGTGGGTGGGACCAGAGTTGGCAATGGTAGCCACTCTCAAAGAAACACACAAAAAACCACACCAGTCTTTGTCTTTATACACACACACACACACAGTGTCTCAGCTGAGGGATGGGATATCTGCATCCCCTTTATGACACTGGGATAGACTGGGAGGATTAAACTTCTCCACCCACCCAATACTGCGCTGGAGATGGAAGTTACATGGAAATGGAAATGTATAATATGCCTGTATTGCACTGTGAAGCATGGCTGGGAATTTCCATGAAGCTGAACAATTGCCTAACAGATTAATCATTAAGTGGGGCTGTATCTTTGTAGCTCAGTCACAAGATGTTTAGCTCACAGTCATAAGAAAAGGGTTGTATTACAGGTCTTTGGCATATGCTAATCTGTAGGCATCCATCTTGGGTGGAGTGCCCTCTTTGTTCTTAGCTACTGAAGAGAATGGATGTGTGAATCTCTTGTCTCCAGCAAATAGTCCAAGGCTAATGGAGGCTGCAAAGGAGAAGAGAAGGAGCTTCGATCTTAGATCAAGATGCAAGATATTTGTAACATATATTTGTAACAAACCTGTAGCTTTAGGGCTAGGACCAGAATAAGGAATATGCAAAGGACCAGAATAAGAAATATGCAAATATCCGAATGTAACTTCATTTTTAAAAGTTGTTTAGAGTGAAGTTCGGTAAGTAAAGCCTATGAACCATATTTTTCCTGTATTATTTCAATACAGGAATCAGTTTGTATTCATCCAGTGGTTTCCATGTCCAATAGTTACACCACCCTCACTTTGTGCACTTCCCAACCCTTCCTCCTCCCCACCCTCATGGTGGCACTGCCATAAAATTAAGTCAGGGGCTGGCAGGCTACTTGGGAAGGCTCAATGGGTCAAGTCAGGCCTGTGGTTGTCTCCTGTTGTCTTAGATCTTTGCTGTTAGCAAACTAATTCCCTTTCCCCTCCCCTGACTAAGGACAGAGCTGCAAACCCTTGGTCCCCTTTGCTCTAACCTGAGCCGCCGCCGTCCCCAAGAAATATGCCACGATACTCTCCACGTTGTTCTCATCACTGTCGTCGTCGACAATGGGGTTGTCCGAGCAGATCTGATCCCAACAAAGAGACATGGGAGGGTTGTAGCCGTTTGGCAGGACACCTGCCAAGAGAGAGTTGGGAGAAATGGGAGCTTTCTGACCAGAATGTTCTTGGTAAATGAGAAAGGCAGGGTGAATCCTACAAGGCCACATTCAACAAAAGAGGAAGCCGAGAGCCATCATGGGGAAGAACCACCCAGAGAGAGAGAGAGAGAGAGAGAGAGAGAGAGAGAGAGGGAGGACTGAATAGAACAAGGAGAGCATTACCAAGAGGTACTGGGATAAATACACTTTACTGAGGAATCAGAATTGGGAATATCTAAGTGTGAAAAGAGACAGTTAATACAGAAACAGAGAGACATGGTATCAATTGTTGAGACACAGTCAAGACCGATATTACTGAGAGAGGCTGGATAAGAGGAGCCTTAAGAAGACTCCTGTCTCTATGGTTATTTGATTGCTTGGGGAAACAACTTTGCTGCCCAGGAGGCACTAAGCTGCTTTGTTGGTGGGTTGGCCAGGGCTCATGGCATATTCTGGGGCTCATGGCATATTTTGGAAATCTATGAAACTGCTGTCAGCACCACAAAATACCTAATTCACAGAGGATACTCATACTAATACCTCCTCACCCCAGCTTTTAAAGTACCTGTACACACCCCCAAAAAATACAAAGCCAAAACATGAAACCAGGTTACACTCCCCCAAAACAGCCAGGCTATACTCACCCAAAGAATCTCCCACCAAACCAACCCTGCCCCAGTTATTTAAAATAACCTGGGAGGGGCAGGGGAGCTTGGCAGGCACCAAGAGTGGTGTCTTAGGGTGATATGGTGCCCATGAGCACCACATTGGGGACCACCAAATCAGAATAAGAGACGTCTGACAAGTCAGCCTTGCTCACCAGTGAAGAGATCAGCAGCAGGGGGAGGCAGGCTTCCGCTTCCACGCCACAGCTGCTCCATCTCCCGCAAGGCCTCGCGCTGGGCCTTGTCCTGGTAGTCAATGCGGCCCACAAAGAAACCATCATAGCCCATCTTGAGGGAAGGAGAAGAGAGAGTGGGTGAGCCCTCAGCGACTGGAAGAGGAGACACAGAGTACAATCCTGTAGCTGTTGTGTGCAATAGGAATATCCTGGGAACAGAGGCTGACCTGTGCAAACAGTGAGGCCTGTTCCCGACTGTGTCCAAAAGGATCAATGTGCCAGGCCACACGGGGCCGGCCACATTCTCCAAATGTTTCTTTCAGGAAATGGAGGCCGAGGCTCATCTGGTCAATGACTGGGTTGTAGTGTACGGCTGCTTCATCGTTCATGCACCACCCGCCATTCACAAATTCCAGGCGCCCTACCAAGGAGTGGAGAAAAAAAGAGAGAGGCCATCAGGACAAGACTTGTGCTGCCTTCCATTGTTGCTCTGAAGGAGAGCAAGAGGTGTTTAGGCAGGTAAGCGGAGATGTGACAGCAGGTGTGAAAAAGCAACTGGCAGCCTCTGCCACAAACAGCCTCTGGGTAGTGTTCTTAGAACCTGGGTCCCAGACTACAACTCCTATCACTCCAGGCAGCTTAGTTAATGGTCAGGCGTGATGGGAATTGTAGTCCAATAGGCCAGGTTGCCCGGTCACAGCCCAGAATATCCTCTTGCCTCTTTATTGCCCCCAATGAGCAAAGGAGGCTCCCCTCTCATGGCTTTTGCTACCCTACTCCCTCCAACCTCAGCCAACTGGAGAAAGCAGGGCCCTGCTTTCGCCCCACAGCAGATGGGAGAGGGAGTGAGAGGAACAGCAGAGCAGGAGAAGCCATATCTGCATGCTTTTGCACAGATATGGGGCAGAGAGAGCGCTCTCTCTGGGCTATGCCAAGTGAAAGCAGTGGCACTCACTTCATTTCCTCAGTTGCAGCAAGACTTTTGAGCTGCTCTGCTGCCTTGGCAACCCATACATTTATGTATTTTTTTTCTTGTTAACCTCTCTGAGATGTTTCACAAATGGAACAAATAAAACAGTAACTAGTTGGCTCCCTGCTTGCCACTCTCCCTCAGGAAAGCTCCCCCATCCCCAGAGGCAAAGAGCTCCCTGTTTTCCTTATGCGCACAGAGAAGCCAGGTGGGAAACGGAGACAGGGGCCCCACTCTGCCCGTCACACTTACCCTCCGCAACAAGCTGCCGCACTGCCTGGCGCATGGCTTCAGTCTGCAGTCCCCACCAGCGGGCAAAGAAGACCACTTCCACGTAGATGAAACGCTTGCTGGGGTCAGCCAGTAGCTGCGGGATGACGGAGTCCAAGATGTACTGCACCCCAGCATGCTGGATGTCGTTGCGGACTGCAAGGCAACGGACAAGGGATGGGGAGAAGGTGAGGAGGAATCAGATAGCTCATGCCTGGACCAAAAATTCTCCAGGTACTGGGTAGATGGAAGAAAGTCCCCCCCTGAAGAAGACAACTAAGAGCAGAATCTCATATTTAAATAAATTAGGAGATAATCCGGGCCTCTGTTTTGTTTGTGGTATGTTATTTTTTGTTATATTTATGTAACTCCCCATTTAATGGTTGTGTTTGTTTATTTTATTTATGTACCGTATGTCCCTGCAGAGAACTTCACATTATGTGGCACCATACAAATATCCTGTCATTCCTCAGTCAAACAGCTGTCACAACTAATATCTGCAATTGTGGCACTGTTCTGGCCTTGAAAGGAAACATGCAAAATCCACCCACCAACCTGCAGCTTTCAGAACAGGATGTTGACATAGAAAGCACTAAGGCTTATCTCCCAGTGGGTTCTTCTCAGAGGCAGTGGGAAACAACATATGGACTTCTTGTTCAAAAGAGAAGCTGGACAATTCCATACTTGAACAGCAATTTACAGCTCAGACCCAGCAGGTCTAACACAAAATGAAGTGCATGACATGTAGGCCAAGAAGCCCCCGATTTAAAAATTTACCTCAGCTGTGAACTATAGTTAAGAGAAAGTACTACAGTGGTACCTTGGTTTAAGAACAGCCCTGTTCATGAACTATTCGGTTTACGAACTCCACAAAACCGGAAGTAGTGTCCTGGTTTGCAAACTTTACCTCGGTCTAAGAACGGAATCCGAACAGTGGAAGGGCACCGGCGGAGGGAGGCTTCATTAGGGAAAGCGCGCCTCAGTTTAAGAACAGTTTCAGTTTAAGAACGGACTTCTGGAACGGATTAAGTTAGTAAACTGAGGTACCACTGTATCTCTTTACCTCAACCCTCATTTCTAGCATGGAGTGAATAATATGTGTGCACCTTAGAGAACTGTTGCAAAGGTTACTGAGCTTTAAACAAGTTCTGAATGCATTTTTCACACCTTGTGAAAATATATCTAAACTGCCTTTTACGGCATATATAAACACAATTGTCTGTTGGAAATGAGGTACAAGGTTTTGCTCCACTAGGGCATCATTCCCCCAACACGGTCCAGTCAGTCAAAGGTCGAGGCAGCCCAGCCCTGTGGACTGATCCCCCGTTTCAAGGAGGGAAAGTAATCCAAACATGTCCACACTGGTCTACTATGCCTAGAGCCACGTTTCACAGACTCAACACTAAACTCAGAGAAGGGCTCTTGCTTAACCTAAAGTACAGATCCTAGAAACTTACAGCCTTTTGCCAGGCCTTGCTGTGAGACCGCTTACAAGCTTACTTCACAGTTTCAACTCACCTCCAAAGAAATACTGATCCACAGTCTTCAGCCAGCCCACATCATCATGTGTGTGGGGGATAAGGTGAACATTGAGCATGTCGGGCTTTGTCACCGGGCAGGACTAAAAGGAGGGGGAGAGAGAGAGAGAGAGAGAGAGAGAGAGCACATTTCTGAGCCAGGAGAGACAATATATACACAAGGAAACATTTCAAAATCTGCCACAGGAAAGCCACAGTCATCTAAACAGGTAGTATAACTCAGTATAACTGTGAAGGAGGCAGAAACAATTCCTGCTAGCTACAAGATAGGGAAGCGCTACTGGCTAATACTATTGGTAACTAAACATTTTGCATACAGTATCAGTGGTACAGTAATTTTTCTACTGAAATATAAACCCTTTGCTTACAATAGCTGGGATCCAGAATTCCTTGCTGCTTGTAGAGAAGCACAATTCAGAAGATTTCAGAACAGCAGATAATGAGGTCTACAATGTTCTAGCACTGATTTTATTTATTAAAAAAAAATCTAACTCACATTTTAGCACAAGGCTTGAAGGCAGCTAACAATAAAATATACAGTTGATAAAAAAGAGAAACACTTCGCAAAAAACACAATAGAAGCACTTAAAGTAACACAGCAGAAATCAAAGGTTATTCATGAAAATTAAAGGCAGAATAAATATATATTATCTATTGAAAACTTGAGATGAGACAACCCTGATGCCTAAAATGTTTAGGGTTGTACCCAGTGTAGAGCTAAGTATAATGTTCTGTCAGAGCTAAGATTTTTCCCTGTGTGGTGGAATGTTTTTCGCCTTGCATGCTCCATAAATCTGCCCCAGTTTCTCCCACTCTCCAGAGCAGATCTGGGGAAACTCCATTGCACTAGCACTAATCTTTGCACTAACACAACTCTCTTCCATGTAAAATGCGGAGCTCTGGTTGGAGGGTCAAAAGATACTGCTCAAAGCAAGGGTAGAAACCACAAAGTGAGGACATTCAGATTAACAGTTAGAATGTTTCTGCTGTGCTGCACTGGCAAACAGAAACAGTTTACCGCTTTCAGGTGTTATAGGTCTCACAGGTTGCCTGGATTTCATTACTCCAAGAGTAGACCTTGCTCCCCGTGAGCAATCTGACCCTGGCATTTGATCTCAGTTTATTGTGCCTTGCCTATGTGAAGCTGACCATTTGTGCTGCCAGTGTGGAGAAGTGCATAGGCACAGAATTTACTAACAGAGGAGAATCAGGAGTGCAAAGATAAGTGTTTCCTGGTGTTTCCTGCTTGGCAGGGGGTTGGACTCGATGGCCCTTGTGGTCTCTTCCAACTCTATGATTCTATGATTCTATGACTCTAAGTATTTGACCTTCAGTGAAGCCATTTCCCAGAACCTGAGGGACAGGAAGGAGATTTTACCTTGGTTTTTTTTGTTTTTTTTAAATGATATTTATTAAAATTTCAAAAAATACAAGAATTACACAAAAACAAAAAATAAAAAATACAAGAAAATACAAGATACAGAAAAAAGAATAACAAAACCCTTATTAAGATATAACAAAGAAATGAAAAATAAAAAGAAACATACAAAATAAAAACAGTTAAAAACACATTAATTTTCCATAGCATATCTTCCATACACTTATTTCCCCGTACCTCCTCGTACCTCCCTTTTTTGTATTCCAGTTCAGTTTGTTAGTTCAGCAAATCCTTACCATTAAGCTGAGATTTTACCTTGACTTAAGTTTGCTCAGTATTCAGACTGAGAGTTGCCCAGGGAACAACATTAAGTAGATAGGGAAGTGAGGTAGCAAATCAAACATGAAGGACATTGCTAATTGGGAAATAACAAACACTGAATCAGCTTTCCAGAGCGCTCAGCCTTGAATCCCTAATCCGCCCACGCTCTCAACCCATCTCAAAAACATCAGTGTTTACAGAATAAGAATCATCAGCTCTCTGGGAGATTTGCAGTTGTGGAAAGGCAGAATGGATTAGCAGATTCCATCCAAACAACCTTGGGGACAGCAGTGGAAAGCTGAAGGTGGTTCTCAATCACACTGTCAACGGAATTAACCAACACTGAATATGATTGTGGCCACTAGCCTACATAGCTTTAAAATAAATCAAGGGGCAGCAAACATGGTGTCCTCCAGAAGGTGTTGAACACCCAACTTCCATCAGTGCCAGTCAGCATGACCAATGGTCAGTGATGGTGGGAACTGTAGCCCAACAGCATCTGCAAAGCACAATGTCAGCTACACCTAAATTAGCTCAATAAAATTATGCTCAGATGCATCAGAATACTGGATATTCAGGAATGACCATCAAAAGTATATAGGTGGTTAATACCAGGAACAGATAGACCTTGGTGTGGTCTAAGCGGGGCAAATCTTGTGTTCTTAGTCTTCAGCCCTGCACCAAAACTAAAACCTGAACTGTGTGGGCAGTCCCAGGTGCAAAAACAGTCTCTTCTGTAGCTGAATCTTCCCAATTTGGCCACACCTCCCACCCCCATTTCCTTTGTGCATCTGACAATTTTCTCGTGACTACAACCCACTCCCTTTCTCAGGTTCCTCCTTTAGAGTATTCTGGCCTCAGCAACTATCTCTTACCATCCACTCGTGCCTAATTTACAGAGTGGCACTGTCTTGCTCCTTTCAGCTCATCCTTATAGGGAGTGCAGCTGTAGGATCTAAATAGTTATACAGTAGCTAACAGTTATTTCAGACGAATTAAGAAGAATGACAAAGCTATACGCATAGTCTTGAGTCCCTCATCAGTGTGCTTCCTTTCTCGAAGGGTTTTCTTTACAGAATCCTCCAGGCTTCCTCTTTTCAGTTAAGTAATGGCCTAGCCGTATTTATAGCAGGTCACCTTGCTAATTTTGCTCAGTTTTCCTGCCCAATGGATTACAAAAAGGACCCTGGGTTTAAATAAATCCCTACTGCTGCACTCCTGCAGAATACCATATAAAATTCTTTAGTGATTCTTCACGATCTTTTTCTTGAGCAGCCTAAACGGGGGGTCCTCTCCGTTTCCTCACACCGCACGACCTCCCTTTTCATTTAGACCTCACGAATCCCACTCTCTCCATATAGGCACCTCCTAGACCGCCGCGCCTCTCAACCTTCCGCACAACCTTCTCCATTCTCTGGCGCCAGAATCCAGAATTTAGTGGGACACCCTAGCTTTCCCCATAACAGCCGTGCAGACGTAGACCGCCTTACCTGGTAGCCGCATGTCGCCGCAGCTGCCGTCACCAGCGCTGCTCCCATCAAGAACCCCAAACCCGAGCGGAGCCCCATAGCTGAAGCTCCTGCAGCAGTTGCCAGAGAGGCGGTCATGTGACCAGCCACTCACATGACAACTAGAGCAGGGTTCCGGGCAAGCCACGCCTTCCGTGGGTGGGGGGAAAACGAAAGCGATTGGTGGGCGGCCCAGCCTTGAAACTCATTCAATTAACTTTGCGCGAGGCTGACGGAGCCCTTGCAATTGGCTGGCTGGGAAGAGTGGGCGGTGACTATTAATTGAGCGCCTGTTTTGTCGAGTGCAGGAAGCAGGAAACGTAAAACTGCAAAGCTTGCTGCTTTTCCTCTAGGTCTCGTCATTGCCAAGGGAGAGAGGCCAACCCATTTGTCCTCTGGCACAGAGTCGTCCCCTTTGGTCCCTTAATGACCTTAGGGGGCCTGGCTATTCCAAGAATTAGAAGGGGGCTTCAAGCATTAGAAGGGTCTCCATCTGCAGCCTACTCCTCCACCCAAACTCATAACAATATCTACATCTTTTAAATTGAACCTGCCAATGCAAATGTAAGCCCCGCCTCATGTCATTAGTATCTCTGTACTGCAGTGAATTGCTTTGTGGTTGAGAAAGTGTGGGTTGCATTAGCCCTGCAGAGAAACTCAGTACTGCTGTAGTAATATTGCTGGGTGTGTGCTGTTGTTGTTGTTGTTGTTGTGAGACAGTAGTGTATGACAAACCTTCAGTGTAGTCCAGTGTTGTTATTCAGTCTCTTGGTATAGTGGGGTTTTGGGGGGAAATGGAATGTGGTTGGAAGGCTCTTTTGTGGATTATATGGGAAGGGAATGATAAATTGCTTTCCCACCCATCAGGAGGAAATAGGGATATTCTTTGGGATGGGTTTTTGCTGCTAGATGTTAAAAGACTCAAATCGTCCTTCCCATAAAAAAGTGGGGGAAAGCCCAAGTTCATGTTAAACATTTTTAATACTTTTACTTTGGTATCCTCAGTTTCCCAGGCAACCTAAGTGCATCTAACAAGATACAGGTTCCATCCAAGTTGTTTACAGCGTCACAAGCGTATACATCTCAATCCAATGCATGACTATGCAGAAGTAAGTCATGCTGAGTTTAATGAGATATATTCCCATAGGATTGCAGCCACAGTGTTTGCATCTGTACCACTTCTAAGACGTCACTCTCTTGTTTTAAGTAGGTAATGGATGTAGGATGTAGGATTTAAGAGGTGTCTTTTTGGCTAGGCCTGACAGTTTCTTTTTTGTTTGTCATCCAAACATCTGATGATGCTTACAACAAGTATTCTGGGGACAGCCAGCACACCACTTTAGCTCTTTGGAAGTGTGAACTTGCACATCCATACTGCTAGCATCTTTTTCTGCTGAGTTACCAAGTAACAGAGCTTTGTCTCCGCTACCAGCTTGGCCATTATTTTCTGGGTAGCTTCATAGAATCTGTCAGCATGTGACAGCAGCCACATCCCAGGAAATGGCTTTGATTGACTGGCTAAACCAGGTGAGGGAAGCCAATGGGTTTCAAACCTTCAGTGAGTTAGGGACTTCCCCCGCATGCGAAGACAGGCTCTGGCAGATCAAGCGGATGAAATCAACAGCGGGTCCAGGAGTCCAGAAGGCAGTTACTGCACATGCTGTAGAAGGAAATGAGGGGGGAGGGGCTCATGTACCTGTGAAGATAGCCCATCTAGGAGAAGGAAAACTCTGGTCCTAAACCTCTGATAACTTGTGGCTATACTCATTCATGATAAAGGCTTCAGGGGTAAACCCCAAGGAAAAATCGATACCCACTGCCTTGTGGGACATCTTTGGGAGAAGAAATGGTTAAGGAGTAAATCCTACACAAATCCGTGGAGTCCCTAAGACGGTTGGATGGTGCCTTGTACATCTCCTTTCAGCAACTCCTGCAGCCAAGCTCGTCCCAAATGTATTTCTCTGGTTTCTTTTAGATCACATCAGTGAGGCTGAGAATGAGGTCTTGTTGTCTGTCTGGCCCAGGACCTCCATATGCATAGCCCAGGCTTGCACCAAAGAGGTCACTTCAGTGCTGGTCATTCAGCAGAAACAACGCGGGAGGCAGCAGTTACCAGTCTCTGCAGACTTCACCCCTGGAGGCACATTCTATTGTCTCTCAAGACAGATGGATGCCAAACACAACCTGCATTGGTAGAGAGGGCAGTGATTTCTGTTGACTCACCATGTGGCAACTGATGCTGAAACCTACCTTTTCAATGACAGAACTGCACTTGTGAATGCATAAACATATGTCCAGGCTCCCAGACTGAACAGTTTCCCCAGGTGCTTGAATAGTAATGGGGTGACTGATGAGGTGGATATGCAGTGAATAATGTGTGTAGTTGCTACGCAGTTGCCATAGTTTATGGCTTCACTCCAGCTTTAGGTAAACCATTAGTGCTGAAGTATGGTCAATTAAGGCCTTGTAAAGCAAGTTTAGATTTCTGCAGCCATCATACAGGCAGTGGGGCTTATTACCTTCATGTAAAACCTTTCAAATTAAAGGTATGCAAGTGCTATAAAAGGAAATGTAGACACACTGCCCTTATTGCCAACTCTAAGTGGGGCTTTGTTAGTTCCAGCGTATGTCAAAGGCAGCCCCACTAGTGGCCATTATTTGGGATGTTACTGGCTTCTTCCATGAACATCAAGAGCCCATGGCTATCTCTCCTTGCTCCCATATTAACACACCTACAGGTGCCAAACTGACAGCATCTTAAAGCACTGCTAGAATCCAGGGATTGCCACTTGGTTCCCTACACACCAAATTTGGTCCTTGAAGCAAATTAATCTGGCCAGCATCCCTATATTTTAAATCAAGGAATAATAAACATTTTATTCACATTCTTAATGGAAATAAGTGAATGTGTATGTGTGAGAGAGATGCCATACCTTAGTGATACATCTTCCTTTTTTAAATTTAACACTGGTTGACAGCTCCTTGGAGACTTCATTATAGAACCAGAACATCCATGAAGAAGTTGGGAGGTGTAGCAAAATTCCCTTCTAGTCCTTAGGTCAATGTCTGTAGAATAATGTGCTTTCCCCAGAGAATACTCACATTAGTTCTTCCTGCCATTCTAACTTTATTCAGAAGATACCACCCACATTTTGGTTAACACTGGTGTCCATGGTCAGCATGGTCAAGTATCTGCCAAGGGCCCATACCCCAGCCAGGCTCCTGCACCTCTTCTCCTATTCACCACTGCAGCCTGCTTATTTGCCCACTTCTCATTCTCACCCAGATGAGAGCAGTAGTGAGGCAAAACAATAGATTGCTTGCTAACTTGCTGGCTTTTGACCTGGCAAGCAAGGAGGTGGCAGCAATGCCAAGAAAGAAGAGCAGCACTATATTCACTATGGGAGCGGGGACCATGGAAGAGGTCTTGCCCATGAGCTCTCCAAGTCCTGAAACCTGGACAACACAGGAGCAGGGGCATGCTGAATAGTCCTACTCCCAGTCTTCACACATACAACACAAGCACCATTCTGCTCTCATGTGATTGGGGCTCCAGATCATGATGAAGCATTTGGAAAGCCCCATTGGTGCAGGCTGCCATGCTGCTCATGCAGAGACTAGTTACTAGTTGCTCATGCGTTGAGCAACACTGGAGCAGTATCTTCTGAAGAGTCTCTTGCATGTTCTAGCCTTCTGCTTTTACAAGGAATGGAGAGAACATGCAACTAGTTTTGAAGGCACAGCTGGTCCCAAGACAGATCCTTACACAGTGCAGATAAACAGTGTTAACTAAGCCCTGCTGCATTGCAGAACGGTAAGCCAAATTTTTATCGCAAACTCCATTTGTACTTTGCTGAACTAGCAGACATTACTCAAGGGTCCATCAGTGTTGAGGAAGTGTTATACAGTATTATTTTTTAAATAAACTCTTTCTTGATAGGATAGGCTTTTCTGGCATAGATAAAAATGTTCCATTGTGGTGCATTATATTTGAGATTAACTGGTTGAATCTTTAGCATGTATGTTTTACCTACAAGGGATCTTGCCTTCGGATTGTGCTCAATGGGCCCCTGTGATTCTTTTTTCAAAAGCTTTGTTGCTAGAGCTGGGGGTATTAAAGCTGTAGGGGCTCAAGATGCTGACCTGCATGTGGCCCACTTATATGGGATTTGCCTGAATTCAGATACAGGGCTAGACCTGCGACCACAATTGTCTCTAGTAGTAATGCTATTCTTGAGTGTTTCAGTCACAACTGCTGAACACCAGCTGGTCTTTCAGTGTAGTAGCTTTCTCTTCTGTTACAAAGAAGTTGTTAGTGATAATCAGTTTTTTTGCCAATTTATAGTTGGGGAGTAACTGCTGAAACAGCCTCAAATACAGTCCATAAGAATTTTTCTATGTGTGTATCAAATGACCCTGAGAATCACTCTTGTATGAATGTACATGTAAACATGCATTGCTTGTATGTGAAAAATATTTGTTTGCAATCTCTTCTGTCAAATGGGTACAGACAAGGAAGCCAGGACTGGCCAGGTCACTCCGTCACATATACACATAGTGGCAAATATGCATTGTTCACCATCACATGTGTGAAAGTGAAATATGTAAACTGAACACACACCCAAATCCATTTTTGGCCCTGACATTACTCTAATATTGATAGACAGTGTTATAATGGGGAAATAGGTTTGGAGACCATATGACACTTTCATTATATATTCAATAGCGAATTTCATCCACCAATCCTTGTGATGTGTCTAGCAGCTGGGTCACAGATGAAGAGAGAAGACAAAGGGCTTCATTCTCTGGTGCTTTCAGCATATCACTCCAGATGTTGACTACAGGGGCCTCAGGTATGGTATAAAAATATACAGACAACCAACTAGGTGTCTGTCAGGGTGAAGAGCTAGGTAAGAGATCCCATTGTGGTTGAACACAGACATATAGTTGTACTTGGGAATTATTAGATTATGAAAAGACCCACATTCGATCCAAGGTCTCTTGTTGAACAGCTTCTGCTTAATGATCTGATTTGTTGTTCGTTCTTTGCAGCTCAGACAGCAGCAACCAATACTTCTCATCAACCATACATAGCTGTACA